AAGCGGAACTCACAAATCTGCCATTCCCTGCTCTAAGGTGCTTCAAGATTCCACTGGCTCGTGCAGCAGACCTGCTTAGTGAGCATTCATTCTGGTTTGTTTGAACAGAAATTATATGAAATCACCCAACATTGCCTTTAACCCACTTTCTGGTGCATTTTCCCATAATTTTTCTTACCACAAAAATTCCATGGGTTTCTTCTTCTTGTTGTCGTTTTGTAAGTGAGTTTGTTGTGCTAGTGTGACAAATCCATTATATTAACTCAACCTAAATTGCATCATTAAGCCATTGCATAATTAAATCATACTCACAAGATACAGTGGTACCTCGGGTTACAGACGCTTCCGGTTACAGACTCTGCTAACCCAGAAATAGTACCTTGGGTTAAGAACTTTGCTTCAGGATGAGAACAGAAATCGCGTGGCAGCGCGAGGCCCTATTAGCTAAGGAGGAACCTCAGGTTAAGAACAGTTTCAGGTTAAGAATGGACCTCCAGAACGAATTAAGTTCTTAACCTGAGGTACCACTGTAGTGGTGGTCTGTTATTTTTGATGCAATACACTAAAACAGCCACCCCTCCAGTGAAAGTATAAAGGCGTTTGTACTGGGGGCCAACTTCTGTCAGTTGCCAACACAGAGCTACTGTGGTGCAATGGTTAGCAGATTGTCAGGTGAGGACAGGGGAAATCCTGGTTCAACCCCCAACTCAAGCATGAAGGAGGTGACTTTGGGCCAGTCCCTGACTCTTCATTTAACCCACCTCACAGTGTTGTTGTGAAGGTAAAAGGAAGGGATAATGATGTAGTAATTTAATAGTAAAGACCAGCGTTTGAGCTGCGCAAAATTACTTTCCAATGGAAGGCAGAACGTTTGTCATACAGAGATGAACAAGAGGGGTACACATAAATGCTACAATGCTAAAATTCAAATATTGCTGTTCCTAGAGGTGGCCAGGCCTTGGTCAATTAAAAAAGATGTTGTGTGGGTGTAAGCCACATTGAAAGCCCAGCCTTAAGTTCTAAAATGCCTGTCCACTAGCAGCTAGCTTGTCACTGGTAGGAGACAACAGTTTAAAGGTGATTTCCTGGCATTTTAAAGACAACAGCAACTTTGTTTCTGGACAATATGATGTGCATCTCTTGTGGCTGAAGTGAATGCTGCTAGAGAAAAGTATAGAATACAATTATTTTAGGCCAGAATCTTGACAGTAGGGTTTGTTCGGCTTTTTGTTTCCTTTCTTTTCTTTTGAGAAGCGTAAAATATGCCTTGGGCATGAGATGCAAACTCATTCCACTGTTGCCTCTGGTCAAAAGGTGTTGCAGGTTCTTGCAGTTCTTCCAAAGCTCTCCAAACCTGTCTGAGTTTGGGAGAGTAGCAGGATAGAAGAAAGTGAGTTTGTACACAGAAAGGGACCTGTTTCATAACACCACTGGCTCCCTTAGAAAGCATTTTACAGATCTCTGCTTCACAGATCTCTGCTTTCTGTTGTGTTTGCTCCCCTAAAATCCTAGAATGGACAGCTGCTTTATTCTGTTTTATTGTTTCCTATCTCATTTCTGCCCCTTTCTTGTAATCCTTGAAGCTTACAGCGGCAGAGTGGACCTTACAGGAAGCCGGAAGAGGGTTTTTTGCATACAGGAGGAAGAGACAGAAGGAACCCCTCCAAACAATGAAAGTTGTGAATGGGCTGAGATGGCTGCTAAACTCTGTCTGATGGGACAATACACAACCCCCCTGGAGAGACAACCTGGCCCATCAAACCAGCTCTACTCACATCTTCACAGAGGGGGAGCACATCCCTTGGTTTACATAGCATCAGACAGACCTTCCTGCTGGTGCTCTGGGTGTCTGCAGGGATTTCCTGATCTAACCTTAAACACAAAACTGTTATGAAGACTTTGTGAAAACTGCCAGAATAACACCCTCCCAAAGAACTTTGATTGCTGCCCCAAACACTCTCTGTCTGTCACTCTCCCCCCAGCTGAAATAGTTCTTTTTCATATAGCACCATCAGTTTCCTCAGCATAGTAATAATAATAATAATAATAATAATAATAATAATAATAATTTATTTATACCCCACCCATCTGGGCAGGTCTCTCCAGCCACTCTGGGTGGCTCCCAACAAAATATTAAAAAATACGATAAAACATCAAACATTAAAAACTTCCCTAAACAGGGCTGCCTTCATATGTCTTCTAAAAGTCAGATACAGTGGTACCTCGGGTTAAGAACTTAATTCGTTCTGGAGGTCCATTCTTAACCTGAAAGTGTTCTTAAACCGAGGTACCACTTTAGCTAACGGGGCCTCCCGCTGCTGCTGCTGCGCCATGTGATTTCTGTTCTCATCCTGAAGCAAAGTTCTTAACCTGAGGTACTATTTCTGGGTTAGCGGAGTCTGTAACCGGAAGCGTTACATATGAAGTAATAAAGATAAACATATGAAGTAATAAAGAACAGCACAATTCTGAGCATGTGCAGAGTAATGCAAGTGGCCACCACTCCAGAATGAAGAAAACTGAGCTTTTTTAATACAGTGGTACCTCGGGTTACATACGCTTCAGGTTACAGACTCCGCTAACCCAGAAATATTACCTTGGGTTAAGAACTTTACCTCAGGATGAGAACAGAAATCACACGGCGGCGATGCAGCGGTAGCGGGAGACCCCATTAGCTAAAGTGGTGCTTCAGGTTAAGAACAGTTTCAGGTTAAGAACGGACCTCCGGAATGAATTAAGTACTTAACCTGAGGTACCACTGTATTGTGACATTTGCAAATGTAAAGCTTCAGTTCTGAGTTTATTTCCTTGGCGGTTAATTCTGTTGACATCAGAGGATTTCCCTCAGCCCTCCCCAATAAGATTGAATTGATAACGGATTTGAGGAGTTGGTTGTAAGAAATCTCAAATCATATGCCCTAAGTATGATCTGCTTGCTTTAGTCTGAACAAGAACAAAAAAATGAGACAATGTAGTTCTTCAACTCCCCGGCTAGAGTTAGAAATACACATAGACATGGTAAAAATGCCAGTGTTCAGTTATGGAGTGGGAGAATATGAGGAGCAGGGATATGACTTTATCTTTGCAATTTGGCATTGAGGCATATCAAAGTGAAATGCTGGACAATTATGTTTAAGCATCAGAATGTACAGGACAATGTTTAAACTTTGATCATTCCTCCCAACCCCTCAATGCATCCCTTAAATTCAGTTCTATAATTGGCAATACTAAAAACCATCAAAGAAGTATTGAGTTGTATTCAGATTGAACTCATTGAAGTTCATGGACATAACAAACTTGGGTTCATTGATTTCAGTGGGTCTACTCAGAGTTAACTTAATTGGGTGCAACTGAGAATGTTTACAGGCAAATTCACATTAGGAAGTACCTACAGCCACTTTATTTGTTTCTGTTCTGCTGAGAGAGAGAGAGAGAGAGAGAGAGAGAGAAAGAAAGAAAGAGAAAAAGATCCCCCAAATGGATTGATTTAAATAGATCTCCTTCATACTAAAGCAGTGAACTCTTTCTAAAGGGGCACTTGTCAATGAATTTTAAGATCAGTACCTCAAACCCAGGTGTCATTATAATCACATTTATGTTCAAATCACACCTGGTAATGTTGTATGTTCTGCTCTCTCCCCCTGTAAATCAATCAAGATGGTAAATCTTAATTTCCAGACCCATTATTTAAAGCAGAAGTGGGGAGCCTGTGACCTTGCAGATGTTGGTAGACTACAACACCCATGATGCTTACAATTGCTGGCAACGGCTTTAAAGCAAGCCACCGTCTCTCAACCTAACCTACTTCGCAGGGTTGATTGGAGGATAAAGCTGCAGAAAAGAACTTCGTCGGAGGAAATGAGGTTATTATGAAAGTCTTAAATCAAGGCTTACTGGTTAGCTCAGTTGGTTGCAGTGTGGTGCTGATAACGCCAAGGTTTTGATCCCTGTATGGGTGCACATTTCTGCATTGCAAAGTTTGGACTAAATGATTCCACAAAGTCCCTTCCAACTCTATGATTCTATTATTCTGTACAGGCAGGGAAACCTTTGGTCTTCCAGATGTTGATGGACTCCAGCTCCCATGCTTTACAAGCACAGACAATGGTCAGGGATGATGATAACTGCAGTCTAACAAAATCTGGAGGGCCAAAGATGTACTTTAATTAATTAATTAATAAGCAGTGACTGGGATGTACCAAAAACAAAACTCTCTTAATATTTTATGTTTTATCTTATTACATTTATACCACTCCTTTCGTCCCAAAGGAGCCTAGAGCAGCAATGAGGGTGGGGCGAGGGAGGGGAAGGAAGTGGTCTTGCACGCCTGATCCCTGCATATCGAACAAGAACTGTTCACACAGACGGCTCTCTTCACATGGTCAGGAACCCTGCTTTTTCAGGGTTCACACTCAAGTGGAGGCAGCTCCCTGTGAACACAGATATATATGTGGTGACCCCTTTTTTAAAAAAATAATATTATAATCAACCTGCAGATTTGATTGTCTATGCTCAACCTCTGAAGTGGGAACCAGGAGTTCATACAGTATCTGAACCTGAAAATAGAATATAAGCATCACCCTGACACCACAGAGTTTTACTCAGGCAGTTGGTTTTAATTCATTTTTAAAATATAATATTTATTGAGTTTCAGAAGAAACACCCCAAAAAAACCAAACCCCAGAATAGTTACTTATATTTGAATGGAGGAATATTCCGTCCAAAACAGTACCAACCATATGTAAATTTGTTTATTATTCTAGGATATAACTAGGCAAAAAACCAAGAATACAGAACTGGCATGTTGGAAATAATAATAATAATGATGATGATGATGATGATGATGAGAAGAAGAAGAAGAAGAAGAAGAAGGAGGAGGAGGAGGAGGAGGAGGAGGAGGAGGAGGAGGAGGAGGAGGAGGAGGAGATCACTTTGGAAGAACCTGTCTTCTTAATTCATTGGAGCGAAGCTTGCAGAATTGAAGGGGAAGGAGCAGCGGAGGTGGGCGTGTCTTGGAAACTCCGCTCAGCCAATGGAAGCGAAGCCGACACGAGAGCTCGAACGCTGTTCTTTTAATAGGAGGCAGGTCGAGAGAGCAGTTTTCGGAGGCGGCGAGGATGGGCTGGGCAGAGTAGCAAAGAAGAGAATAAAGTAGAAAGGGGGAAAAAATAACCCCCCTCTTGAGATCCTTAGGAAAGAAAAAGTAGAGAAGAAACCCGGAGTTAAGCAGCTGTGATCTTGACCCATCAGCTGCCGCATCCGGATCTGGCGAATATATAAACAACCCAAACTTCTGGCGATGTTTTACGATGCAGGAGAAAGCTCGGCTGCTAAAGAAGGATGAGGAGCGAAATTGAGCAGCCTCGTTCCGCCAAGTAAGGAAACGGACCAGATTGCTGTTGATAAAGCGGACTAGGCTGGTCTCGGGTAGGGGACACCACTGGGTGTCCCCTTTCCCAGCCACGATGAGCCTTTGAGGGTTTCAAGCCAACCCTCGGGACTTTCCCCCCCTTCCCTGCTTACTTACCTACCTACCTTCCTCCTCCTCCTCCTCCTCAGCCCTCCTCCTCTTTTTTCCTCTGCTGCCAACTCCCTCCCGCTCTCCCCCACCCCACCCCGTCAGCCTTTCTTCAATGGGCGCTTTGGATTCCCTCGCCGGAGGAAGCGCCAACCCGACCGCCGCTGCCCTCACCATGCTGAACGGGGCAGAGAGCCAAAGTTTCGCCAAGGAGCCGCCAGACCTCCAGGGAGCGGCGACCAAAGACCCCGCCGAGCTGAAGATCGGCGTCCCGCAGGAGCGCTTCTACTACCCGGAGCCCCACATGCAAGAAGGCGGTTGCAACTTAGGGCTGACCTACGGCGCACAGATGGTGCAGGGAGGAGGCGGCGGCTTTGGGGTGAGCAGCCCGGCCCCATCGGGCAGGTTTCTAGGGCCGGCCGTGAACAACTGCTCCTCTTACAGACCTCCGCCTCCTCCTCCTCCCCCGGTTCCTGCTCCTTCTTCGGCTGCCCCTGTGGGGAATCCCGGCTTCTCGGTGTCCGCGGCCGAGATCTACCCAAGCGCCGGGGACCTGTATCCCAGCGCGCCCGGGGGAGAAGGCTGCTACTCGGCCGCCGTCCAGCACATGTTCCCGCGCGGGCCTCTCTACCAAGTGCCGGGCTACCAAGTCTCCGGGAAGATCCAGGTCGTGCTCAACAACTATCCTCTCTGGGCCAAGTTCCACAAGCACCAGACGGAAATGATCATCACGAAGCAGGGCAGGTGAGCAGCAACGCGCGATCGGCCTGGAGGGCGCACGAGGTGGCGCGGGGTGGGCTGGCCGGCGGGAAGCGGGAGGCAGGGATTTCAGTGGAGAGCAAAGACAGAAGGAATGTGCGGATCTGGGGGGTCGAAGCGTGATCCCAATGGAAGGAGAGGTGGGAAGCGCCGAGGGATCCCGCTGCGCGCCAAGAACTTCTGGAGCGCGCCGGGAAGAGGATCTTGGGGAGGTTGGCAAGGGTGGGCCCGGCAGGGAATATTCCCGGGTCAGGCGCGTAATTGGGGCAAATATGTCCGCTGGGAGACCGGCTGTTGGCTTTTGGACTGCGCCGCGGAGGACATAAACAACCCTAAAGTCTTGCCAGGGAGGGAGAGAGAAGCGCCTAAGGGCGTGCGGCTGAAGCAGGTACGCTCGAGGTGCGGCTAGCAGCGCGCATTGTTTTGCTTTTATTTCTTACCTTTATACTCCAGCCGCATAAGAAGAGTTCTCTGGGTGGCTCACAAAAGCGCGCGCGCGCGCGAAACTACAGTATAAAGCAGCAATGGAACAAATTAATCGAAAACCAAAAGCCGATTAAAACGCAGTTCACCTGTTCCTTGAATTTGCCAGGTTCCCCAAGCATCAGAGCTACAATCCCCAGAACTACAGTTCCCAGGATTCTTTGTGTGTGTAGTGGGGGTGTACCTTAAATGTATAAACACCCGCTGACTGTCACAGGCCCCGCTCTGGAATGCCTTATTCCTAACGTGCGAATGGGAAACCCGTGTTTCTTAGTGGTGTGACGGGAAGCCCCCGGCCCTCGGCCTTCTCTCCCGCTCACGTTCACATGGCTGAGGGGCAGCATGGAGAATGCGAGTCGTGGGTGTGAAGGCGGTGAAGGGAAAGTGAGCTTCGTCTCTTTAATAACTTGGAGCTGGTTGTCCTTCATAAGAGGTAAGAGCAAAAAAACAGAAGGCCAAAAGCGTGGCTGGGCTACTGGGATTGCATTTGCGTCCAAATTTGTGAAGAAGCAAATGCAAGTCAGTTTTACCTCAGTGCTGTGACTAGTGACAGGGCTGGGCTAAGATATTTTGCAAGATGGCAGCGCCCCTCGAAACCTACCGGACTGGTAACTGACTCTTTAACACTAGTGATGATGGGACAGTGTTCTCCTTGTGCCTGAAGAAAGCAGGCTACGTGCTATATTACACATTTCATATCTCCAGGCAACTCACTGTGGCTTTCCTCTGCATTTCAGCATCTACTAACTGAGGCATCCGCCTCCCTCTGCCTAATGGTAGAGCCAGCTTTGACTTTAAACTACTTAAACTTTGCAATATGTTTGGAGAATATGACTGAGGCACAGCAGTTGTTGGCATAGTGTGCTTTTAAATTATTTTTAAATGGTGTAAAAGGGACCTGAAAAAGGAAAACTAGGTTCTAGTTCAATGAAGATTTAGTTCTCTGCTGAATCTAGTTCTCCTTTCATGTTTTAGGCCTTTTAACAACAAGCAAAACTTTGTAGATCTCTTTCCCCATCAGTACCAACAAAACCTCCCCTCTAAAAAATGAATGCAAAAGCTTCATCACTTGGAATATACATTCAGGGTTGAGTTTGTGTCTTTGTTTTAAATGACTTTCTTGTGCTTTCTAGTCCTCCAACATCAGGATGCAATTTTTTATTAGATTAACTGGTAGGTTAATGCACCAAGGTTTTTAAGGTAGTTGATTCTGATAGCTAAGTTAAGTCTGAGTTATGGACTTCTCTCCCTTTCAGGTGTCATTTCTCCCTTTTAGCAAAAAGTGGAGGCCAATTTCAAGGGTGTGGTTAAGTCTTAAAGGTACATTTGTTTATGTATTTATTTGTAAGGCTATTTTGGCTTTGGTATGTTACCATAAGGAGGAATTATAATATTAACAATATAGTAACTTGTGTTTTTTTAATTTTGAGCTACCCTGCACTTCCTTCAATATTATTATTGTTTTTTTAAAAAATGAGAGCCTGGTAATATGGACATAAATACAATCCGTTTACAACTAAATGCAATCCTGTGCCTACTCAGAAGTAAGTCCTCACAAGATTCAATTAGATGTGCATAGGATTGTATACACACTTACCTGAGAGTAAGTTCCATTTAACTCTGTGAGGCTGATGTCTGAGTATACATGTACAGACTCACTCTGTAAATGAGCTATAAGGCAGGTGATTAATCGATTGAAAATTCTTTAATGGGTTGACGGCTCTATTTTGATAGGGTTCTCGAAATAGGTTTCTAGTACCGCTTATGAAAACATGCTAGGCCAGAGATGGTTAGTGCCTGTCTTTTTAGAGGCAACTTAATTTTCCATACAACCTGCACTGGACACATGTGTGCACACTAACAAATTTTACTCCTGAAACTGATGCGCTTATGAATGACCAAGCCCCTTTAAAAGTGTTGTCAAGCCAGGAGGGCATCCCTTTTCCCCTGAGGTCAGGCACAGCATTGTAAATACAGAGGCCTATATATACAGTGGTACCTTGGGTTACAGACACTTCCAGAAATAGTACCTCGGGTTAAGAACTTTACTTCAGGATGAGAACAGAAATCGCACGGCGGCAGCGGGACACCCCATTAGCTAAAGTGGTACCTCAGGTTAAGAACGGACCTCCAGAACAAATTAAGTTCTTAACCCGAGGTACCACTGTACATACTACATACAAAATCTAAAGAAGAAATGTAACGTTAGAATGTTGAATGTCTGTTTTCTACAGCTTGGAAGGAAAGCTTTTGCTCTGAAAGTGAAAACTTGACTTCAATTTGACAGAGGCATGACGTGGACCCATCTGGACTATAGTCTGCCAGTTACCCATCCCCGGCCTAATCTGAAGAGAAGGGGAAAAAAGACTAGGTTGCTCATTGCTGTGTGCAATTTGTTCAAGTTATTTATTCATTTATTTTTATTTCTCATGATTTATATACCATTTGATGGTAATAAAACCTCAAAATGGTTTAAGAAAAGAACAAAACACTTAAAATTATAAGTCTAAAACCATTAAAAACACCTATTTAAAATATTTTAAAAAGTAAAATCTGTAAGAAACTAAAGAACCAGATTGAAACATATGTCTAGATAGGCTCGCCTGCCTGAACAAAAATGCTTTCAGCGGGCACCAAAAACAGTATATTGAAGGTGCCTTCCTTATGTCGATGCACAGGGAGTTCCAAAGATTAATTTCTTGCAAATGCAGAACTAGTATCAGTTCCACAGATTGAAGTGATTAAGTAGGCATATATGAGGTAAAGCAACCTTGCAAGTAAACCGATCCCAAGGTTTTCTTTTTGAGCAATGGGGGACTTTGGTCTTTCAAAATTATACAGTGCAAAAATTGTGCACCAACCACCACCTGCCACCTCTAAGTCACTGTTGTGGTGCCCTCTTGGCTCTGCACCCAGTGCAGGTGAACCGGTGGTGCTCACCTAAATCTGCCTCTGTTGTGAGGTTTATAACCTGCCCTTCATTCCAAAATGCTCAGTGAAGCTTATGTGGCATGCAGATATTTCAAGCAAGCATGAAAAGGACGGAGAGGGTTGGTATGTGAGTGGGCAGAGTTGGCCCAGGTCTATAAGTCATCAAATCCTAGTTTGCATCTTTCAGACTTCTGTTTTCCTCACTTGGCATGAAAAATATCATAACGACTCTTACGGTGTTTGTGGGCACTGATTTATCCATGCAAGAGAGCCTTTTTAAAACCTGGATAAATGTGTGCTACTAGCCAATATGGATCTTAAGAGAGCCCCATCCCCATTTCAGAGCTAGGAAATGCAAAGGGCAAACTGAATGTCATGTGTGAATACACCATCTGGCTTTGCAAGATGCAGACAGAGCAGTGGTAAAAATTCAGCTCTCATGAGCCTCACTGATGGTACAAAGAAGGGGATACAGATATTGTTAATAAAGGAAATTAGTGTGTTTGTGACAATTTTCTCTGTGCTCACTCTGTTACACACAGAGAGGGCGGGGGAGAAATTAACTTGATTTGTTCTAGAGTTCAAACTTTGCATCTGCTTTCAACAGGGATGGCTGAATCTGTCAATTTTGATTTCTCTGCATTTCTCATTTCCCCAGTCTTAATTTCAGTTTAGTTTCTGCAACAGTTTGCAACTTATTTTCTTTTTTTAAGTGAGGTGCATTTTCATGCACATTTCTGTGCCTTCTTTCCCCTAATGTTCATGTGTTTTTTTAAAAAATATTTTGAGCAGAAAATTTTTTTGGAGAAGCGAGCTCTTTGAAGGATCGTTGCTTTTCTGTTTGCAAACTGGTTCAGAAACTGCGAGTTAGGCAGGTTCATGTGGAAATGGGAAACCAAACTAATTTGTCTCCTCGCCCTTGGTTTTCAATGTCTAAATCTATGGATGTAAAAAGGCAAGAATAAAGTGCCTTTTTAGAGCTTGCTTCTATCCATGCTGATTAACTACAGGTCACACATTTCAAGGTTTGGAGTGAAGGACTTCTCAGTGTTGATGTGCCCTTTTCCTAGAAATTAAGCAGAAAACACACACACACACACACACACACACACACTTTTATAATCTCTCACCTTTCCTCATTTCTCCTCCAGGCTGTTCACTGTCAGGTCTGCGAATCCTCTTTATTAACCACCATTGTGGCTCCACAACTTCTCCCCCCCCCCCCGCAACCTCCTTTTATTTTCCACTTTCCTCTTTTCAGTATATCTGTGGATATGCTGGTAGGGTGATTAGGCATTTTCAACCAAGTTGGAAATCCCCAGGCACCAGCTCTGTAGTGGAGGGGGGGGGGCAGCGCCATACAAACATAATCGCCAGAGTTTCCCCCTGTTGCAACCTGGCCTGGGGGGCGGTTTGCAGGTGGGGTGTGTGTGCAGAGAAGAGCTGTTCTTTCCACCCTTCCACTGAGCTGTCCACAGACACGCACTCACACCCCTGTTTGTGGAAGGGATTGCTTTAAGTCAGAGGGAGGGGGGGAATTAGGAAAAAAAGAATTGAAAGGCTGCGAAGGTTCATAGATAGGCAAGGTCCCCAGGCAGTAGATGATATGGGTCACAGCCACAGAGGCTGCGGCAGACACCAAAATCCTTTCCTCCTCTTCCAGCCTATTGAATGTTGGGCCTTTTAAAGCCACACTCCATGCAATAGGATCAGATGGAAGCTGAGTTCGGTTGAGCAAAGGGCTAACAAGATTCAAGTTTTGAGATGTGGGGCTGACTCACACTTCACATTTTGTACTGGGACGGTGCAAACGGCATTCGCAAATGCACAAAGACTGAAGGGCAGGAAAACGTAAAAGTCGAAACGTGTCCCTTTAAAAATAATCAGAAATGCAGGCACTGTCCTTTTTGATCTGTTGCTTCCAAAGGTTTTTAAATAACATGCCCCCTCCCCAAATAATTCACAGGGGTGCTTCCTTGGTAAAAGGTGCATGCTCGTCTTCTGTATCCACCCAAGTGCAAAATGTAAAAACTGGGTTTTTTTAATTATTCGTTGTGGTTGTTTCAATAAATATATTGTGCTTTACATACATGTATTTTTAATCTTTGTTGGAAGCTGCCCAGAGTGGCTGGGGAAACCCAGCCAGATGGGTGGGGTACAAATAATAAATTATTATTATTATTATTATTATTATTATTATTTATTATTATTACATACAGCAAAAATAGGCAGGTCCCTGGTCCCAGGGAACTTGCAGTCTTAGGCCTATTGTCACTGAGGTGGTAAATCAGGACAGCATAGTACAAGGTTTCCCAAACTTGGGGGTCTTCTGCTGTTTTTGGACTACAACTCCCATCATCCCTAGCTAGCAGGACCAGTGGTCAGGGATGATGGGAACTGTAGTCCAAAAACAACTGGAGAACCAAGTTTGGGAAACCCTGGTATAGAATCATAGAATGATAGAATTGTAAGTGACGCATTTTCAGGCTCCGGGTGGAGAGCTCACACGACAAACGCACATATAATGCCAAAATTACCTGCATATAGAAATCTAGCATATTTGGGAGAAGGTATGACTAGAACTCTTCTCCCTGATAGGCTACATTTGTATGTAAAGTGAACGTTTTGAGGTCAGACCTCACATTTGAAGTCTGAAGTGGTCTAGTCCAGACGCAGGTTTACTTTTTCATTGAGGGCAAAGAGAGACGTGATGTGGGACATCTGTGACTGAGGCCAAATTCACACCATACGATTTAAACACTGTGGTACCACTTTAAAGAGGCATGGCTCCCCCCCCCCAAATAATTATGGAAGCTATAGTTTGTTAATGGTGCTGAGAGTTGTTAGGAGACACCCCCTCCCCCAATTCCTCTCACAGAGCTCCAGTTCCCAGAATTCCCTGGGAAGACCTATTGATAAAACCACTATTGATAGTTAAACCACGTTGACACTTGAGATGCATATTTTAATCCCACCTAATTTCTATGACAGTAATTTGTTTTAAACTATTTTTCATACTGTGTTTTAATTGTTGTAGTCCACCCTGGGACGTTAGAATGAAGGGCAGATTATTATTATTATTATTATTATTAATAATAATAATTAATAATAACAACTTCCACTCCTGAGTAGTTTTGTGAGTATTTCCCCCGAGAGTTGATCCAACCCCATTTTTGTCTGCTCTTTTATTGCATAGTATTTTAGGTTTATAAAATGTATTTTAAAATAGTTATGATTCTAGTTGGCCCTGATATCCCATTGTAATGAAGTAGGGGGTTATAAATATTTTTTTTTAATCAAATGTACAAACCTTCTTGGAGTCTAATCTCTCCACGATGGACAGAAAGTTTTGGCAGGTACGGCCAGTAAGACATTTTGTTGCCGTAGAAGGGGCTGCCACCGAAAGCCTCCCTGCCCAGTCAAGGTGCAGAGCAGTATCCGCAAGGCCAGTCGATATATTTTGGCACCTGAGGCAGGAAATCACAGAATTACCTCCCTGCCAGTAAAAATAGAATAATAAAAAATTGAGTAACTAACAGTTTGCTGGCCTTTCATGACACAGAACATCTGTTGCTTCGGATGCCTGTCTCATTCTGTCTAATGGTAGGCGCTGGGCTTGAGAAATGTGAATATGGAGAAAGTAAGTAAGTTACACTCCCTCTTTCACCTAATAATTTGGTGAAAATAATTTGGGCTATGTGTGACATTTAAATCACCATCGTATTATTGTCTGTTTGCTTGTTTACGTTTCTTATCTTTCTTTCACAAAACTATAGGCGTGAGGCCAGTTACAAATCATCATTTTAACAAGTTTTTTGATACAGAGGGCAGCTGATCTTCTGTATTTGTTGAAGGCAGACGCTCCAAGTGTCCCTATTTTCTAGGGACAGTCCCGGATTTACAGAAGCTGTCCCGGTTTCTGGTTTGATCCCCAAATATCCCGCTTTTCCTTAGCACGTCCCTGTTTTCATCAGAGAAATGTTGGAGGGTATGGTATGGGATGCGGGTGGCGCTGTGGGTAAAACCTCAGTGCCTAGGACTTGCCGATCGTATGGTCGGTGGTTCGAATCCCCGCGGCGGGGTGAGCTCCCGTCTTTCGGTCCCAGCTCCTGCCCACCTAGCAGTTCGAAAGCACCCTTAAGTGCAAGTAGATAAATAGGTACCGCTTTATAGCGGGAAGGTAAACGGCGTTTCCGTGTGCTGTGCTGGTGCTGGCTCGCCAGAGCAGCTTTGTCACGCTGGCCACGTGACCTGGAAGTGTCTCCGGACAGCGCTGGCTCCCGGCCTCTTAAGTGAGATGGGCGCACAACCCTAGAGTCGGACACGACTGGCCCGTATGGGCAGGGGTACCTTTACCTTACCTTTACCTATGGTAGGATGTCCCTGTTTTCTATGGGGAAATGCAGGAGAGCATGGAGTTATGTGACCTCCGAGCCTAAGGGGATAAGTAATTATACAACCTTTAGAAGACATATGGAGGAAACCCTGTATAGGGAAGTTTTAAAATGTTTTATTATATTTTTATATATGTTGGAAGCCATGTAGAGTGGCTGAGGCAACCCAGTCAGATGGGTGGGGGATAAATAATAAATTTTATTATTATTGAATAGGATGTCCCTTTTTTCATCAGGGAAATATTGGAAGGTATATATTCACATCTACTCAGATGTAAGTCTCTCTTAGTTCACTGGGCCTTACTCCCATGAAAGCATGTATAGAATTGCAGTCTTAACCTTGGTTGCCCATTAGCTCTGCCAGCTTCTCTGTTTCTGCAGAAAATGCAAAATGCAGCCTTTCAAATTGATTAAGCAGTTTTTAAAAATACTTAATTTTTCAAAGAGTGCGCATGTGCAGTACAGTAATAACCATTCTGAAACTTTATGGTTTCTTGATTTATGGTTTCCTCAAGCTAATATTATGGGGAAGGAAAGGAAATTTTAAGAAATGAAACGGGCTGGTAAAACGACACCAATTCCATTGTTAAACATTGCTGAGTTATTTCCATTAATGAGTGCCTTCCATGACATCACACCACATCCCTTCTCAAATGACTTGAGTGTCTCCCTCTCTCATGTAAGAACTGGCACACTGTTAGAACAATTGCCACATAACACTTGTTCCTCATTTGTAGGAAATGAATCTTTTACTGTGGCAGCACCTGCACTTTGGAACTCCCTGCCGATTGAGAGCAGGCAGAAACCTTCACTGTACTCTTTTCGGTTCCTGCTAGAAACATTTTTGTATAGACAATCCTATCCAGATCTGTAGTATGTTGGCCTGTGTTTTTTTAATAATAATAATAATAATAATAATAATTTATTATTATTTATACCCCGCCCATCTGGCTGGGTTTCCCCAGCAACTCTGGGCGGCTCCAACAGAATATTAAAAACATGATAAAACATCTTTTGCTGGCCACATACAAAGAACTGAACTTGCATGACCTCCTGCTCCAGAATCTTGGGTCTCTTTGAAACAAAGCCATTTAATCACAAACTCATGACACCCACAAACTTATAACATTTCACTTCCTTGCAGCCTAAGGAAAGCTGTTTATTGGCAGAACACACTGGGCAGAAACGGGGATGAGGAGGTCCAAGGGTGAAGTCTTGCTCCTGACCATCATAATACTGGACAGATTACTACAAGGTGTTGAGAGGGGTTGTTTTTAACTATTAAGTGAGAAACAGCAACTATAGTCTAGGCTAGAAGTGTTTTCCTTTGGTAACCCCACCATACTGAAAAGCGTGTGTGTTTGTGTGGCGATTCCTGTCCTTTCCAGAAGATCACTGAGCTGCATGAAAAGGGGTCTTGAACTTTTAAAAAATAAATTAAATAAAACCGCTTAGCCCACTAAAATATATATTTTAAAAAATGAATATTAAGGGGAGCCATGCCTATTGTTAAGCAGGGTAGCTAAAGTCATGGTGTCATGTCCTCCATTGTGACCCGCCCCCCTGCTGAGTGACTTGGCTGAGGACCTTGGGAAGAGCAACTATTTCAGGATAGTTAGTTTGAGGAGCTAGAGTTTGTGGGAAAGCCAAGATGTTTTCCAGTGCAGTGAAGAGACTTTCTTCATCTAAAGTGTAAGTCGGATTTCTAATTCTTTCTTCATTCTGCTTCTTTTGCTATCCCTCAAAATTTAGAAACATAGGGAACCATATTATGGTTAGATTAATTTTTAAAGATTGTCCTCAGGGCCACCTTAGAGGCTTTGAGGGAAATAAATGGCTTGCCTTCTTCCTTGTGGGCATCATCACAAGAAGGGAATCTCCCAGTTTGAGAGGGTCTTTTGACAAGATACCCTGAGTGTTGGCCTATGTTTTTACCCGCTTTTTAGCCTGCCATTGATTTGAAGTATTTTTGAATGTTTAAAATAATTGTTTTTGCTTATAATTTCATTGCTTTGTTCTTTTTGTCACCGGCTTTGGGGATTTTTCCCACTTACAGTTGCACAGTATATAAATTTTATGAAATAAACATATCTTTCCCCATTGGCAGCATGGCAGAAAGCAAGACGTGACTAGGTGGGAGCAAATCACCAAGCCAATGCCTTTTTTGCTGCTAGCAGTGATGGCCAAACTTGGCCCTCCAGCTGTTTTGTGACTACAGTTCCCATCATTCCTGACCACTGGCCCTGTTAGCTAGGGATGATGGGAGTTGTAGTTCAAAAAACAGATGGAGGGCCAAGTTTGGCCATCACTGTGCTAAGGTGAACAAGATGCTGTCTTTCTTGATTCCCCATACAGATATTGACTGGGCAGGCAGCTGGCTTTTACTTCAACACTGTTTATCCGACAGCACCATCCCTTGCGTCTGAGGGTGGCAAGCTACCAGCTTTCTGCTGCTTCCTAGTCTCCAGCACCTGCCATCTTGGGCAGCCACCTCCCTGCCAAATGGTAGGACCGGACCAGCTTGAACCTGTATACTCACCATACATTTAAAGCACATGACTTTCCCCCGAAGAATCTTAGGAACTGTAGTTTATTAAGGGAATTGTAGGTCTGTTGGGGGGAATAAACTACATTTATTTGGGGAAGGCCATGAACTTTTAAAAACAGTTATGGTGTGTACAACAGCCTTGGAAGAGGGAGGAAAGAGGCAGGATACTTCCAACACTGTGGTAGACTTTGACAGAGGTACAGATAAAAATGTCAACGTTCAGCAGAATTAAGTGGTAAAGCTTTTTCCTGGATGTTACCACGTCTGGCTGCAGTGGTGGTTTGAATGTTCTATTATTAGGAGCAAGCCAACAAATAAGTATAGACAACTCGGATGGGAGGGCCTTCTCCCTCACATGCTACTTTTCTGTGTGCAGGGAGCACCTCCATTGTGGGATAATTCAAATTTGCAATCCCTGCAACCAGGAATTGCTTCCCCCCTTGCTTCTGCTTGAGTGCATATAAGCCAACCTTTAATGTCTTGGAAACAAAATAAGATTAATAAACTTGCAAGCAAGGCTGGCCCACTCATAAAACAAGGTGAGGCGACCGCCTCAGGTGACAGGATCCGCCAGGGCAGAAGATTTCCGATGTAGCTTTCTTTCCCCAGCCCCTCGTTCCTGATGTATATCTTCCCTCACCCCTTCTTCCCTGGCGGAGAGGGGGGGCACAATTTGGGAGTCTTCCTCAGGTGCCAAAAAGTCTTGGGCTGGCCCTGAAGAGGAACATCTCACCCATCATCAAAAAAGCATCCTCCAACAGGTGTGGGGAACCTCCCCCCCCCCCGGATGTTGCTGAACTACAACTCCCATCACCTTTGGGCATTAGCCATGTTTGCAGAGGCTGATGGGAGTTGTAGTTCAGCAACATCTGCAGGGTGACAGGTTCCCCACGCCAATTTTATTAGGCTCCACTCTTGTGCTCATTTACGTGGGGTGAACCCTGTTTGAACACAATGGCACGTATTTCTGGATAAGGATACAGAGGGTCAGGTTGGACAATGGAGAAAAGGAGTAGAGAAATCAATGGAGGATGGATCTTGCAAGATCTGTTACCGTGACAGCTGGAGTGAACCTCCATGTTGGCAAGCACTATATCTCTGAGTACACGGCTGCCAGGAGAGGGCTGTTCCCTTCACAGCCTGCTTGTGAGCTTCCTAGAGGCATTTGGCTGTCTACTACAGTGGTACCTCGGGTTACATATGCTTCAGGTTACAGACTCCGCTAACTCAGATATAGTACCTCGGGTTAAGAACTTTGCTTCAGGATGAGAACAGAAATTGTGCTCCGGCAGCAGCGGGAGGCCCCATTAGCTAAAGTGGTGCTTCAGGTTAAGAACAGTTTCAGGTTAAAAACAGAACTCCGGAACAAATTAAGTACTTATCCCGAGGTACCACTGTATTGGGAACAGGATGCAGGGCTAAAACGAGTTTCTTGTGTGATCCAGCAAGGCAGTTCTGACCTGGTTCTTTGTTCTATTGCTTTGGCTTGCTTTCTTCCACATGCACACACCCTCTCTTTTAACCAGGAACACTTTGAATAACAGAACCACGGAGGAGGAAGGGACCTCAAAGGTACTGTTGTACCTCGGAAGTAGAACGCCTTGCGAGTCGAACGTTTTGGCTCCTGAACGCCGCAGACCCGGAAGTGAGTGTTCCGGTTTGCGAACGTTATTTGGAACCCGAACGTCTGATGCGGGTTCCGCAGGTTCCGATTGGCTGCAGGAGTTTCCTGCAGCCAATCGGAAGCGACACCTTGGGTTTCTGAACGTTTTGGAAGTCAACCAGACTTCTGGAACGGATTCCGTTTGACTTCCGAGGAACGACTATAATCTAGTCTGATGTAAATGACTTGTTGTACTCTCCATGGAATCCTATTCTCAAGTGCAAAAAAACCCCAAACAATATTTATGAATGGCAGACAGTGGGCATAGCGGGCAGTTTTTGCCTGTGAAATGCCACCTTTCCCCTTTCTCTCTTACACACTCACACTCTTACACACACACACACACACACACACACACACGCACACGCACACACACACACACACACACACACTTCTTTGTTTCTTTCTCACACTGTTTACAAGGCAGCCTCTTGATCTCTCCCCCTTGCTTGCTTCTTTCTCTTTCTCTCTCATCCTTCCTTGTTCTCCTTTCTCTCAAGCCCCAGACAGAGAGTGTCACTTTGATGCTGAAACCAAGCCGCTCCTAATGTGTTGAAAGTCTAAATGCATTAAAGCCGCTTCATTTCCTGAACACCCTTCAAGGGTTTGCAATCTGGAGAAAAAGAACCCCCCTCCGCCTTGTGCTCCCGGCGCTTCAGCGACACGCCACCACCGTCAGGGAAAGGAAGGGGGAAGGAAAGAGATACCAACACAAGAGAATAATTCTATTCTGAAACTGCGCTGACATAAAATAGTCCGCAGCCAGTTCCAAAGCAAAACTTCCACGTGCGCCGCTCCAAACTTCCCCTCTTTTTCTTGGGATCCCAGTGGGAGATCAGGGTTCGAATCTGCACTCAGACATCAAGTTCGCTAGGTGGCCTTGGGCCTAGTCAGTCTCTCAGCCTGTCCCACCTCACAGGGTTTCTGTGAGGATAAAATGGGGGAGGAGAACCGTGCATGTTGTCCTGAGTTCCTTGAAGGAAAGGTGGGATAGAAACGTTCAAATAAGGCATTAAAATAAAGCAATGGACTGGCTGTTGAGGAGGGAACCTTCAGTTCCAAGAAGGAAGAACTATGTTATATCTGGGAAGAGCCACACAATATTCAGAAGCCACGACTTTCCTCAAAGAATCCTGGCATAGCTTAGTCAGCACAGCATGAGACTCTTAATCTCAGGGTCTCTGGGTCATAGGTGCAAGCCCCATGTTGCACAGAAGATTCTTGCATTGCAGGGGGTTAATTATAATCATCATCATCAACATCATCATAGTAATAAATTTATTATTTATACCCTGCCCATCTGGCTGGGTTTCCCCAGCCACTGGGTCCCAATAGAATATTAAAAACATGATAAAACATCAAACATTAAAAACTTCCCTAAACAGGACTGCCTTCAGTTGTTTTCTAAAAGTTAGGTAGTTGTTTATTTCCTTGACGTATGATGGGAGGGTATTCCACAGGGCAGGCGCCACTACCGAGAAGGCCCTCTGCCTGGGTTGAACTAGATGACCCTTGTGATCCCCTCCAACTCTACAATTCTGATTCTAAATGTGGTTTCCTCCCTCACAGAGCCACAATTCCCATCACCCTTAACATACTACAATTCCCAGGATTCTTTGAGGGAAGTCCTATGTTTTAAATGCACACTGAATGTGCTTTAAATGTCTGTCCCTCTGTGTTTTTAGTGTCTGATAAGGTTCATGCGGGCGGTGCTGTGGTCTAAACCACAGAGCCTAGGGCTTGCCGACCAGAAGGTCGGTGGTTCGAATCCCCACGACTGGGTGAGCTCCTGTTGTTCGATCCCAGCTCCTGCCCACCTAGCAGTTCGAAAGCATGTCAAAGTTCAAGTAGATAAATAGGTACCACTGGCAGGAAGGTAAACGGCATTTCCGTGCGCTGCTCTGGTTCGCCAGAAGCAGTTTAGTCATGCTGGCCACATGACCCAGAAGCTGTCTGCTGACAAACACCAGCTCCCTCGGCCTATAGGGCAAGATGAGCACACAACCCCAGAGTCGTCCACGATTGGACCTAACGGTCAGGGGTACCTTTATCTATGGTTCACTTTTTTTAAAAACCGCTTTTGGTGTCACTCACCAGGGAAGCAAAATATACCTTCCACTGGAATTTCTGTGATTGGCACCAGTATATTTATTGACCAAATTTATTTCAGATTTTTTTTTAATGATATTTATTAAAGTTTCACAAAGAAAAAATCACATCAACAAAAAAGAAAAATTCAAGAATAAAAAGAAAAATACACAATACAAAATACAAAAAGAAAAAAGAAAAAACAGTTAAAAACAATTCCATCTTTTCATCACTACTTTTACATTTACTTGTTTCCCGGACCTCCTCATACCTCCCTCTTTTGTATTCCAATTCAGTTTGTTAGTCCAGCAATTCCTTTCCCTCCTTTTTAATCCCAATCCTTAATCTTAATATAATATAACATTAAATTTTTACCTATTAAAAACCAATTTTCCATTCTTTTAACCTTTTTAATCCTAATCCTTAATCTTGATCTATTTATAACTTTAAAGCCTGTACAGCTAGAAGCTACTTATTTTCAATCCAACATCACTCTAACATTCATTAATTTTGCAATATTTCTGTAAATAATCTTTGAATTTCTTCCAATCTTCTTCCACCAACTCTTCTCCCTGGTCACGGATTCTGCCAGTCATTTCCGCCAATTCCATGTAGTCCATCATTTTCATCTGCCATTCCTCCAGTGTGGGTAGCTCTTGTGTCTTCCAATACTTTGCGATGAGTATTCTTGCTGCTGTTGTAGCATACATAAAGAAAGTTCTATCCTTTTTTAACACCGGTTGGCCGACTATGCCCAGGAGAAAGGCCTCTGGTTTCTTCAAGAAGGTATATTTAAATACCTTTTTTAATTCATTATATATCATCTCCCAGAAAGCCTTGATCTTTGGGCACGTCCACCAAAGGTGGAAAAATGTACCTTCAGTTTCTTTACATTTCCAACATTTATTATCAGGCAAATGGTAGATTTTTGCAAGCTTAACTGGGGTTATGTACCACCTGTATATCATTTTCATAATATTCTCTCTTAGGGCATTACATGCCGTAAACTTCATACCTGTGGTCCATAACTGTTCCCAGTCAGCGAACATGATGTTGTGTCCAACATCTTGTGCCCATTTAATCATAGCAGATTTCACCGTTTCATCCTGAGTGTTCCATTTCAGCAGCAAGTTATACATTCTTGACAAATTCTTAGTTTTGGGTTCTAACAGTTCTGTTTCTAATTTTGATTTTTCCACCTGGAAGCCAATTTTCTTATCCAAATTGTATGCCTCCATTATCTGATAATAATGAAGCCAGTCTCGCACTTTGTTTTTTAGTTTTTCAAAACTCTGCAATTTCAATCTGTTTCCATCTTGTTCCAAAATTTCCCAATATTTTGGCCATTTGACCTCCATATTGAGCTTTTTCAAGGCTTTCGCTTCCATTGGTGACAGCCACCTTGGAGTTTTGTTTTCCAATAAATCCTTGTATCTTATCCAAACATTAAACAGTGCTTTCCTGACAATATGGTTTTTAAATGATTTATGTGCTTTGACCTTGTCATACCACAGATTTTTAAGCTTCACCATGTCAAGTGGCTCACACAGGATTTTGCTAAGGGAGGCGGAAATGGACAAAATGATCAAATTGTAAAATGGGATTTCACTGTTCCTAAAGGTGTGTGAAAGGGCTTCCTTGAGCAGCTATGAGCAATTGCTGGGGAGAGCAATTGGGGAGAAGCATGATTGCTTCCATACCAGATACATTTTTGTATTGGTTTTGATCTTTGCCATTATTATATCATATAATATGCTGGCTATTTAGCTTGAGATTGTCAAACTGTGTTCTAGGCAGGGATGCCATGGGGGGTGGGGTTCAGCATTGCGGGGCTGCTGTGAGGCCCATACCACAGAGTGAGTGTGTGTGTGTGTGTGTGTGTGTGTGTGTGTGTATCCTAACCCTGGTGTGCCACCTCCTGGCTGCCATTGCCTGCTCACCTCTCTGAACAGGCAAGCGGCGACAACAGAGAGATGGGACAGCAGCCTAGGCATGACTAGGCCTCCCCACACCCTGTGTGTGTGTGTGTGTGTGTGTGTGTGTGTGTGTGACTGTGACTTTGGGCCAAGATGGAAAGGGCAAATGTATGGGCATCCGTGGTGAGAAACTGGCACAATGCAATGCTCAAGGCAACAGCAATGGTTTTGCTGAACGCTCCTCCAAATCCTATTAGAGATTCCTCAAAGGGGGGCTGTGCTTTCCTGAAAGGTAGCTTGTCTAACCACTACTTGTCTTCTTCAGCATTGCGTAGGCACAGGGGAATATGATGGGTGGGTCTTTCTCTGGCCTCAGTTCACACAGGGCAGCAACGGTGGCCAAGAGGCCTGGTACATGGGAAACAAGAGTGTGTCTTAGAAAATATGCCCCATAATCCTCTTCACAGGAGGTCCACGGCAGATGTTTGTTTGTTTAGTTCATAAAATTTACAAACAACAAAGAACAAACAAACCTCAAAATGGTTTACAGAAGATAAAACAGGAAAATGGGGGGGGGGGGCCGGCGGCTCACAACCACGCTTAAAAACACACAAAAGTTGAAATGTAGTGGTACCTCGGGTTAAGTACTTAATTCGTTCTGGAGGTCCATTCTTAACCTGAAACTGTTCTTAACCTGAAGCACCACTTTAGCTAATGGGGCCTCCTGCTGCTGCCGCACCGCCGGAGCACGATTTCTGTTCTTACCCTGAAGCACAGTTCTTAACCCGAGGTACTATTTCTGGGTTAGCGGAGTCTGTAACCTGAAGCGTATGTAACCTGAGGTACCACTGTACTAACACAGATTTTAAAATTTCTTAAGCGTTTGGCTAGACTTGTCTGAACAAGATTATGAGCAGGTGCCAAAAAGCGCACAGTTGAAGGCACCTGCTTTATCTCAATAAGCAGGATATAACAACAACAACTATTATTATTATTATTCCCAACCTATCTGTCTGAGTTTCTCCAGCCACTCTGGGCATCTCCCAACAAAATATTAAAAACCTGCTAAAACATCAAACATTAAAAATCCCTAAATAGGGCTACCCTAAATTTCCCTAAACAGGGAATCCCACAGTGTAGGCACTGCCACACCAAACGACTGAATTTTTACAAAGGTGGAACAGCATCTGTAGCAGCACCAGTTCTGCCACATGGGCACGTGTGGGGTAAGAAAGTCCTTGGCAGGATGAGCTCTGGGAAGTTTGAAAACTGATGTCAGAGCCCTGCTGCAGCCTGGTTATCTCGTCCTCACACCCTGACAAGGCCATCTCCAACCAGCTGCCTTCTGGGTAGGATTTCAGGAGAGATGGGGAGAGAGAGAGAGACTATCCTCTTGCCCTCTTCAGGGTTATCTCCCATCAGCTGCTCTGTGGGAAGGATGCCAATGATCTGTTATATTTTGATATTGTGATTTAATTAATGCGTTTTGATGTTACTTGGAAACTGCCTAGGAAGCATTGATATTCTGAATGAAGAAAGAAAGAAAGAGAGAGAGAGAAAGAAAGAAAAGCAATAGCTTGCTGTCAATAACAACAATTTATTACTCGCCCTTCGCCCTAAGGTTTCAGGGTAGGTTGCAACAATTTAAAACACTACTTTTAAACAACTTACAAAAGTAGTGTGGGTCCTAAAAATATGCATCTCAGGCTAGGGCAAAAAAAAAAGAAAAAAGGGATTCAGTCCCATCGGGTAAACACAGGAAATAAATAAACAAAAAAATAATAGTGCATTTATCAATAGACTACAGTCTACACTTGTGTTTTTTTTATAGTTGCATTGGACATAAGGTTTTCATCAAAACAGCTATGGAGGCTCATAACTTTATTCTCCTTTCCCATCCCCAACAACTGGAAATTTATTCATGAGTCACTAGTCTATGAAAAATACTAGATGTGACATTCGGTCATTGAAACGTATAAGCTCAAATGACATCCAGTAAAACAAACACGAAACAGCAGCAACAACAACCTTAAAATCCAATGAACCCAAACAGTTACTGATATGAAATAAAACAAAACACACGCTCACTCTCAAAAACTAGTACAGGAACAGAAATTGCATGGTGTCCACACAGGACCAGGATTCTTCAGGCAGCATTTCCTCCCTTTGTATCTTGGCTTCCTCAGAAATACAAGACATCAGGTGCAGTTTTAATTGGAAATTCCTTCCTTCCTTTCTCCATTAAGGCTGTCTCCTTTTCTACCAGCTCCTCTTCAGGACAAACTTCCAGACAACAGAAGTGATTAACTTGCAGGACGCAGCACATTGTTCCCTTTTATAACAACAGGATTGGGATCTAGGTCTTATTGGCATTAAAAGACTTATAATCTTTTTGTTGATTTATCCTGAAGTTTTCCCCTAGTATTTGGGTTGCCAGAGACAAAATCAACTGGTCACCTATCTTCTTGTATTTACTGAGAGCTTCTTGTCACTTTCTTGAACCTCATCTGTGAGATCAAAGCTGGAGTAGTTTCTTCTTGACCTTACCTCTGAATCATTAGGAATATCTTCTTCTTTGGCTATCACTGGTAGCCGAGTAAGATTGTCTTCCATAAACACGGTTTTAACAGTGAGTCCGTAAGTGACTGTGGAGGCCAATTTTGGATCCACACTTCCTTCCACAGTGGGGACATTGGTTTCCGGGTGAGAGTTGATCATGGTGTGGATTTGCCAAACGTGCCTTCCTCTTAGCCTGTTTCTCCCTTTCGTCCTGAGTTCAAGTGTCTTCAAAGCCCATGACACCTTTGGTAAAGGCTGTTCGCCAACTGGAGCGCTTGCAGGCAAGTGTTGCCCAATTGTTGGTGTTTATACTACATTTTTAAAAATTTGCCTTGAGACAGTCTTTAAACCTCTTTCGTTGACCGCCAGCATTATGCTTTCAATTTTTAAATTCGGAATAGAGTAGTTGCTTTGGAAAATGATAATCAGACATCCGCACAACATGACCAGTCCAACAAAGTTGATGAGTCCTGTGAGTTGCCATTGGATAAGCTTGGTGTTTGCTTTCCACCCTTTCAGCAATTCAGAAGGCGATTTTCATGTAACAGGGTGGAGTAGTAACGTAATGATATCACATCTGCTAGCGTACATCTATGCAGGAATTGATGAATTGCATCTATGCAGGAATTGATGAATACTCAAAGTGTACTCACAAAACACACACCTGATTTTGGGGAATTAGTTGGAAAATTGAACTCAACTGGGGATGCCTGGTGCATTCAGTAATAAGGAAAATGTATCAAAACAGCTTCACCTTGAATCTGAAAAGGCTTTTCCACAAAGGATCCAAGCTTGCAAATAAGATTGTAACACATTGCACAACAAAATACATAGGTGGAGAGGTCCTCAGACATCCTGAATGGAATTAATTTGATATGATGCCACAGGTTGAAAGCCCAGCCGAAAGTGACTTCTCTGTTGATAAAAGTATTTTAACAAGGTATTGTTGTTTTTGCTGAAAGGGGAATTCAGCATACTTCTCAGGAAATGCAAAAAGGCTACTTAATTAAGGTGGGATGAGCTTGCCGGCTGAACCAGGGACTCACCATAGGAGATCAGAAACCATGCTGAAGGTGTTGCTTGCATCAGATGTGGTACTTGTTTCTGGAATTAATTAGGCTGGAGTGTTACCTCCTCCTTGTAACTGGGATGTTCAAGCTTACACCATTGCTGACTCACACAATAGGGACTTCCTCAGGTGACCACAATGCTTCTCTCACTGCCAGAATTAAAGACAAACCATGCACACATACCCTTGGCTTGTCTTAGCTAAACTAAACATTTTGGTAACTGCTAAGCAAACAGAGTTTTGAGAATTTCCTCTTTTGAGGGTTGTTGTGAAATGGTCAGTTACAAATTCTCATTTAGTAATCTGTTCATTCTTTCCACTAAGCAATTCTCTCTTGGATAGAACAGCCTTGTAATTTTTAAAAATTGCTGTAGAAGTATTGTTCTAGTTTAAATGAGGAAGTTGTCGCCCATTGTCAGTCATTAATTCCTTGGGAAGGCCTTCTCTGGTAAATCGGGTCCTCCCTTAAAGAGGGCATGTATTGCGGTGAGAACTGGAAACTGACACCCTGTGTTGTGGGTGGATACGATTGTCAGCTACAACACCCGATTGGTAGGTCCCTCATAGCTGGGTGCAATCTGGCCAATGGGACACAGTCCAAACGGTTCGAGGGACTTATTTATACCCATGCACCCTTGGCTGACCTATTCTGGTGTCCTGGGTCAGCGCTACCAGCATGGCGGCGAGCTAGTCAAACCAGAGCCTATGCAACCATTCACTTTCTGTAATCAATAAAGTTGTGGCCTAAATTCTGCCAAAAACCAAAACCAAAATTTGAGTCAAGTGTGAATTTATTTAGGGGGGAGGTTTCTGGGTCTGAACATGCAAAGACTGCAGACAAATCAAATTATGTTGCTTATACAGTAGTAGTTTGCCAGAAATTGAAACATCTGGACATTTAGAATAATAGTTCCCCACCATGATGATAAACCTCTTATTTTGCAACATCTAAAGGTCTCCTTGTGTCTAGAGTTAATTTTCCCCATGGGCTGTTAGGATATTCTGTTGGGCTTGTGGCGAATGTTTTCTGGGCTTTTTCACAAGTACAGTATAAGCTATACAGTTCCTGATTACTTCCTCAATTTGTTTGCTCATTCCTGGCCGCCAAAAGCTTTGTGTGATTCATCTATTAGGGAATCTGATACTTAGGTACCTTCATTAGGCTACATTAATCAACCTTGCTTGCAGAGATGTTGGCAGTACCAAACAATCAGTCCTTTAAAACCAACTTGTTGAGAAGGGACAATTCACATGCTTATGGTGTCTACTGTTGCAAATATTCAGACATCTAATTCTTACATGTACACAGACATCCTTTGGTTATATAAGGTGTGAGTTTAGTAAACACTCAGGGCTGCTTTCTGCTCCAGTGCTGTAAGCGTTTCATAGGTGGAGGAAGCTATTTGTGCATTTACTGACCCTTCATCCTCATCTTCGACTTGGGCTCCTCTGTAGGACAAACTTCTAGACACCTGAACTGATTAACTGGCAGGGTATTGCACCCATCATTCTCCCCTGGTAGCACCTCCCTCTGATGTCCTTTTATCATTGGGGCTGAGCAGCTGGATCATGATCAGCCCATCACAAAACTTGGTGTATCTTCCCAGGAAATGGGACTCGCCAGGGGGAACTCCCAACTGAAGCAATCAGAGGTACAAGGCCTCTGAATACAGTCTCTGAATGACATTTTAAAAGCCCTGTAAGCTGGTGGCCATCACATCTCATGGTAATGAAATGCAATGAGCTTAATCCGCTCGGAGTCTAAGGGTAAGGTTCTTTTTCTTTCTAATTCCATTTCCTGGTTGCAGAAAGTCTGGGCAGAACTGCTGCAGTGATACTGAAGCAAAACTTAACAGTTCCCTGAGTTCTTTGAGGGATGCCAGGCGAGGCAAACCAGTTGGTACTGTCATCAATACAGGCAAGGTATCTTGTGCACACAGCACAACACTAATGCAATTTCAAAGACATCCAAATGGATGTTCTATGTTCATGCAAATGGTATGTGTATAATACGATATACTATACTAGCCTGCATACAGCCTACGGTCTTACAGATATATAATATTCTTACATCCTGACTATGGTGGAGGCTTGGCTCATGGAGACTAGAGAAAGGCTTTCTTTATTGAATAGAGGCTCAGTTGCCCACCCTTTGAATAGTTTTTTTTTTGCATTGCAAAACCCTTTCTTTTTAGGCAGGTGTTTAGTATTAATTCATTCATTGCCTTCCTGCCGCCACCTTTTTCTCCATGGTTCTTCCCTTCCATGTTTTTCTTGTGTATTTACTATATTTACCATTTACCATATTTTTCTGTGTATAAGACGACCCCATGTATAAGACTATTTTTTGAACCCTAAATTAAGAAATCAGTATTTTAAACACCTGAGATCACCCAAATTCGTTGCCGCTGAGGGAGGCAGGCAGGCAAGGCGGGCAGGTGAGCAAGTGATAGCTAGCAATAGGGAGTGTAAGAAGGGACTAGAGTCAAGCAAGGCATGGAGATAGTGGAAGCGGAATGAGCAGCTGAAGCTCTGGACCGTATTTTCCCATGTATAAGATGACCCCCGTGTATAAGACGACCCCCTCTTTTGCACTAAAAAAAAACAAATAAGCAAAAAACATCGTCTTAACACACAGAAAAATACGGTAAACCCCACAACAACCATTCAAGGTAAATTTAAGCTGAGAGGCTGTGACTGGCCGCTCAGTGGCTGAGTGGGGATTTGAATCCTGATCTCCCTGGTCGTATGTCATACATTCTTAACCACCACACGACACTGTTTGGTTTAACTGCTAAGTTTTTATCCGATACCTCCAGTTTATCCATTGTACTTGTCTCTGTTTCTCTCAGGGGTGGTTTTACAATAGCTGCAGGGGGCGACACTACAAGGCCGTGGAACAGAACGTGAGAGGCCGAGTGGTGCCGAATTCTAGCATTCCACTGCGTGCCACTGAAATTTGAGAGCCCCCCACTGTTTTTATAATCTTTTTTGTTGTTGTTACAGTGGTACCTCAGGTTAAGTACTTAATTCGTTCCGGAGGTCCGTACTTAACCTGAAACTGTTCTTAACCTGAAGCACCACTTTAGCTAATGGGGCCTCCCGCTGCCACCGCGCCGCTGGAGCACGATTTCTGTTCTCATCCTGAAGCAAAGTTCTTAACCTGAAGCACTATTTCTGGGTTAGCGGAGTCTGTAACCTGAAGCATATGTAACCTGAGGTACCACTGTAATTGTATTTTATGGTTGGCTTTGATGGACTTTAGTTGTGCTCAATGGTACCGAAAAGGCAGGATATAAATCTTCCTTCCTTCATTCATATATATATATATATATATATATATATATATATATATATAGCAAATCAGCTGCAAGCTTCTGGCTCGTGATACATTTCCAAGCTGCCCCATGAGCACGGAGGAAGTTGCCAGTTGCGGGCTTGCTGCCCTGTTGCCCTCCTCGAAGCGTCTCCCTCTCCACCCCGCCTTTCCGCCTGCCACTTCTCTGAGACTCAAATTATGTCTCTTCCGCACAAATCTTGGCTGCATCTTTCTCACACCCACGGGGAGTGTTTATATCTGTTAATTTTTTATCCACTGAACCCTCCTTTCTCCCAGGGCCTGTTGGTGCACAGTGCCAGTGCTGTGTCCCTGGGGGGAAGCTGTCAACACGCATGTTCTTTAAGTGGCCTCCTTTGAATGTGGACAAAAAAAATTTCCAAACCTTTGGAGGGAAAGATGAGGAACGGGGCTTCTCCGTGTGCTTTGAGTCCCCTTCGCTAACAGGGCTGTGCCAGAGGAGAGAGGAACTTTATTCTTTTTAAAAACAAAGGAAGGGGAGACTGGAGCTGACATGATGGAAGCTGTACCACAGGGATGGGGAACTTGTGGTCCCTTCCTCAAGGAGCTTACAAAGCAAATTTCAGAACTTGAGAGGCAAGGTGAGGGTAAACAGGAGAGGAATCATCTGTGTTCAGCTCAATTAGGGAGAGGGTGTTTTCACACAGGGTGTTCACTGGAGAGGGACGCGGGTGGCGCTGTGGTCTAAACCACTGAGCCTCTTGGGTTTCCTGATCGGAAAGACGGCGGTTTGAATCCCTGTGACGGGGTGAGCTCCCATTGCTCTGTCCCAGCTCCTGCCAACCTAGCAGTTCGAAAGCACACCAGTGCAAGTAGATAAATAGGTACCGCTGTGGCAGGAAGGTAAACGGCGTTTCCGTGCGCTCTGGTTTCCATCAAGGTGTTCCGTTGTACCAGAAGCGGTTTAGTCAAAGCTGTCTGTGGACAAATGCCGGCTCCCTCGGCCTGAAAGCAAGATGAGTGCCGCAACCCTATAGTCACCTTTGACTGAACTTAACTGTCCAGGGATCCTTTCCTTTTTACCTTTACACTGGAGAGGAGCCACACTTCATCCACAACCTTCAAGTGGGTCATCTACACACTACTGTCAACAAATTGTTATCCTCCTGTGTTTCCCCATGTTCCTTTAATATTTTTGCAGAAGTTCCAAAAATAATTATATGAGAAAGAACAAAACCTAGTGCATCCTCCACCACCTTAGAATTGTTCTTCTGTCTTTTTTAAGGCATAAAGACATAGCATTGACATGTGCAGTGATGAGAGTCTATATGCATCTATACTCTGGCAAAACTTCCCCAGCAACTTTCCTATCAAAACCCATTTATTAGCATGATTTTGTCCCCCATTGATCTTTTTTTTTAAATTTGCTGTAAAACACCTTTATACACAACACACCTCTCTTAAAAAGCTTGCACAATAGCACTTAAAACTTCAAAAACATTTCAGCACAAAGTTCAACATTAAGTTAGGGGGGCGGGGAACCAACCTTGACTGTCGTTGGCACCATTTTTGCGTTGTGTTTATTTCCCCCATCTGTTAATTAGTGCCAAAACACATTTTTTTATTTTGCCTTTAAAAATTATTAAAGAAATTGTGCAGTAGCACCTAGATTAAAAAAAAGTGTTATAATGCAGATTTAAAAACTGATCTTAAAAAACTGTTTGGGAAACAAAAAAGTTACTTTTAAAAATGGCACATGTAGACATTTTATCCCTTCTTCCCACAGGCTATCTCAGGTCCATTCGTGTGGACAGAACATAGCAAAATGTACCCACCATATTCCCCAAAGTGTTGAAAGCACCTTTCAGTTCCATTTGTATCTTACAGAGGATGTGCAATAATTGGGGAGTTTGATAGCGGATAAAGACTAGAGCAGGCATAGGCAACCTTAGGCCCTCCAGATGTTTTGACCTACAACTCCCATGATCCCTAGCTAACAGGACCAGTGGTCAGGGATGATGGGAATTGTAGTCCAAAACATCTGGAGGGCCGAAGGTTGCCTATGCCTGGACTAGGGCATGTGCTCAAGAAGTCACCAGATGTAATCCATGATTAGATGCAGGAGCATCCCAGAAGCAGCTCTGTTGCCCAGGAAGCCTGGTCCCATTCCTGAACCATGACTTGACTTGACAATTCGGAGGCAATATCACTGTGCACATCTGCAGTAGCAATGGCAGGATGATGGCCCATTGTTCAGGGAGCGAACAAATATACCTAACCTTTTTTAAAAACATCAGCTCTTAGAGCATGAGCCAGCGCAGTGTAGTGGTTAGTATGGCAGACTAGGACAGGATGGGGGGGACGGGACTCGAACCCACGTTCAAATCCCTACTTGGCCTCACGCAAGGCAGTTAAAAAATAAGAAAGTTACAGTGGAACCTTGATTCTCAAACGCCTTGGTACTCAAACAACTTGGAACCCAAACACTGCAAACCCGGAAGTAAGTGTTCCGATTTGTGAACTTTTTCGGAAGCCGAACGTGCTCCATTTTGAGTGTTACGCTTCTGATTTGAGTGCCACACATCCTTTTCGAGTGTTACGCTGAGGTCTGCCTGTTTTTGCTATTTGTTTTGCGTTTTTGTTGTTGTTGTGGCTCTTTTTTGTTTTGTTTTTGTGACTGTGTGGAACCCAGTTCAGCTACTGAATGATTGATTGTGTGACTGCAGTACATTGTTTATTGCTTTCATTTTATGGATCAATGGTCTTGTTAGATAGTAAAATTCATGTTAAATTGCAGTTTTATGGATTGTTTTTAAAAGTCTGGAACGGATTAATCCGTTTTGCATTACTTTCTATGAGAAAGCGCGCTTTGGTTTTGGAATGGACTTCCGGAATGGATTTAAGTTTGAGAACCAAAGTACCACTGTATTGGTTTTTCTTCAGAAATATTGTCTGTATTTGTATTGAAATGTATGCAGATTGAATCAAGTAATTGTTAAACTTATATGAGGCTGTGTTGTGGAGAGGATAGCACTCTGCCCAAGTCTGCTGCTTGCTGTGTGTGTGTGTGTGTGTGTGTGTGTGTGTGTGTGTGTACTTGCATATGTAAAATTTCTGGAGGTGCAGGTGGGGAGTTGAATGAAGCGTTTGAAGAAATGGTTTTACCCCAAACAAGTGTTTGATTTGTTGCCGCGAGGTTTGTACCTTCAGTTCTGCCAAACTTTTGAGGTTTTGTGGCATAAAACTCAAGAACAGAAGGTTAGCGTTGAGAGTTAAATTCCAAAACACCACTCTCCTCTTTTTGTTTTATCGTAGACAGGTAGAAAATATTTGCAGGAGGTACGGTTTCAGATTAGGGGGTTTAGGGTTAGGAGAGATATTATTTTTGTTTGCATTGCAATGAGAAATTATCTAATTCGCACTTCTCAAACCAACACATGAACGCGGCTCCCCTTTGAAAGGCACATTACTGTGAATTCTGCGATACAATTCTCCAACCAAACAATGTGTACAAAAATGCATGCATTAGGCACAGTGTATCAGCGAAACTTAGGGACGCGGGTGGGGCTGTGGGTTAAACCACAGAGCCTAGGACTTCCCGATTAGAAGGTCGGCGGTTCGAATCCCCGCGACGGGGTGAGCTCCGGTTGCTCGGTCCCTGCTCCTGCCAACCTAGCAGTTCAAAAGCACATCAAAGTGCAAGTAGATAAATGGGTACCACTCCCGCGGGAAGGTAAACGGCGTTTCCGTGCGCTGCTCTGGTTCGCCAGAAGCGGCTTAGTCATGCTGGCCACATGACCCGGAAGCTGTACGCCGCCTCCCTTGGCCAACAAAGCGAGATGAGCGCAGCAACCCCAGAGTCGGTCATGACTGGACCTAATGGTCAGGGGTCCCTTTACCTTTTACTATCAGCGAAACTTAACACATGCATAAATACATTGGGGAAAACGCTTGCCAAAAATGTGTATATTGGTCAAAACTGCATATAAAAACATGTCGCTTAGCAGAAATTTGAACTAGAATGATAAATGTTCATGAGGATTTTCTTTTTATTAAAAAGCCCCCTGCATACTCTTGTGGAAATTTGAATAATTGAACTTAAGATTAGCAAAATGAGAAACGTTGAAACGGACACATAAGTCCACTCTTGGGGGCTTGGGAAGACCCAGCAGTGTCCAAACGCCTGGACATAGGGCCAAACTACATGAAGATGATACAGTTCCACAGTTTCCTTGACTATTTCAGTTTTGTAAAAAGCAGTCCCAGCGCTTGCACATACAGTTAAAGAAACTATGTCCCAAATCGGGACCAGAGAGAGAGGTTTTCTAGGTGGCTGCCAATCAACTTCAGAAGTTTCTCATATCGAGAGACTCTCCAAAGGCCTTTCTGTGTGTTGTGCTAAGGCAGTTTTATTCAGACAAAATTTTGCCACCATGAGCAACATTCTGGGGAGCGGGAGATCGCATGCCGCTGGTAGACGGCACCACAGACAGACCACATGGGTGGGACGAGAGCAGACAAGGGCAGAAGATTGGATTTGACCCTTCCCATTGTACTCTAGGCCACGTTCACCCCATCAAACGTCAAAGGTTTCTGCGCACATCTCCCTGGGGTCCCTGTGCTGCCCAGCTGGGTCAGTGAGCCTTCGTCTAAGATTTCCCACGATGCCCCAGAATGATGCTATGTCAGGGAGATTGTGGGGAATTTGAAATACAGGCTCACAGCCCCCTTCTGTTGCTGCTAGGTAACATGACAAGGGCCCCACCAACATTGGAAGGAGCCCACCAGAGAGTATGCCTAGGACCTCCTCACACCTTGAAGTTTTTTGGCATATTCCTGTTGGCTATTGGCGCATCTCTCCATCCTTCATTCAGGAAAGTAAGATACACGATTTCAGTTCAAAGTTTTTCCAACCAGGCAAAAGCACTCGAGGAGGTCACAGAGCAGGAACAATGGAAGGTCTGGCCTGAGGGCCCAGGCTGAGAGGCCCAGAAGGCCACATTTAGCACCCAGGCCTGACGTTCTTGTGCCTATAGATTAATAACTAAGCCTTAGCTTAGGATTTGTGGGGTGGGGGCTATCTAAATCAATGGATGCATTTTAATAAAAGATTTTCCCCCCGACGATGAAATATTGTGATTTTCAGATTTAACCAATGGAACAGCTAGTAACGTGCATCAAAAGTGGGACAAGTGGGCATATATTGGGCAATGAGCTTCCACAGAAAAGCCTGTGAAATGGATACTTTTAATGCAGATATAATAAACATGTAAATATTCCTGCCTTTGATGTGGTGTGGCAGTGTACATTTAACACCGCATCTGTGTGGATGGGATAGGAAAATGTGACAAAGTACTTTGTTACAGGACGCTGGCTTTATGGTAAATCTGCTTAATTTGTGGTAGGAGCTTGGTCTAAAGCAGAGGTTTTCGATGTTTTTGAGTCCGTGGCTCCCTTGACCAACTACATCCTTTCTGCAACACCCCTGTGGGGCTCAGGAGCCCAGTTATGTCACCCCTTGCCTGCAGAGCTGGCAACCTCTCACCCTTTTTTGAACATGTTCCCTTGTGGAGGGTTCCCTCAGCCTCCTCTCCCCTCTCCTTGGGAGTCCTCTGGGCAGCCGCTGTTGTCACTGCTGGTCTCTGAGCTGCTCCCCTGCCCCAAAGAGAGGTAACTCCTCACACTGCCCCACGGGGGCCTGGGAAGCACCCCCTGGCCAGCCCCAGAGGCACCATTCGCCTGGGGAGCTTGTAGCCAGGGCTGCTGCAACAAACAGCCATGCAAGGCTTTGGGAGGCAGAGACGTGAGAGGGCATCAGAGGGAGGGAAGGAAAGAGGGGCAGAGGCCAGTGTTGCCTGCAGCACCCCTGACCATCATTCAAGGCACCCCCTGGTTGAAAACCACTGGCCTAGAGACCACAGTTGTGACTTAGGGCCTGTGTATAGCTATGGGCAATAGGTAGTCTGTCACCCTCAGTTCCTCTGTCTGCAAAATGAGCATGCCAGGAACCAGTTTAGTGGCATTGTTAGGCAAGATTAAAATACAGAGAACGTGCTCTACAGTAGAAGTGACTAGATGTAACAACACCTGCAAAGTTCTGCGTTTGCAACAGGGGCGAAGGTGGGATTGGAGGTACTGGGGTTGAGAAGCTCGTCGGCTCTGAGTGGTTATTGCGGCCCGTATCACGTTCCCCTGGCAACGTTGGCTCAGGAAGTCAGCAGCCCACCACACGCCCTGTTTAGTTCTTTTTGTTGTTTTGCTGTGGTGCGGTGATGAGGAGAGGGGATGGGTTTTGGCTCCCCTTCTGAAAAGTTCAGTCTATAAAACTTGATTTCCCCCCTCCTGCTCCCCACCGCAATCCTTGCATATGTCCCAGCTCCCACCCAACACGTGCAGACAGAGGCTTTTACTTGGAAATAAGAGAAAGATTATAATTCAGGCAAGTAACAATACAGCAGATATGGTGTTCAGGAATTACAAACCAGGAGTAGGGAAGTTCAGAACTGGGCGGAAGGGACAAAGATGTCCTGACAAATTTCCCCACCCCTCCCTCCAAGATTCTGTGTTTATCAACTACCTTTTGTTGTTGTTGTTGTTGAATGGTCACTGTTAGTAAGGTAAGTATGGTTCAGTGTTCCAAGAGTGAACTTTGTGTTTTCATGTTCCCTGCACTTCTCACTCTTTCAATCAATGGTTTTCTCTTTTATGGAAACCATAGTTTTATGCTATTCTGTCCAAGCCCAGCAAACTAAGGTTGGCACTTGCCCACCAAACCAGGATTGCAAACCAGTTTTTAATTGCTAGCGGCTGCAAAGCCACAAGTTGTAGATATGTAATAGTGGATATTAGTTGCTGAGTGTCATTTAGATGGGAGTGTTCTTTGTTTGTGTGGGTCTCGTTAGTTTGTATTTGTTTACTACCTGGTTCGTTTTCGCTTTATAAGTTTGATATTACGTTTCACACTTTGTTTGGGCCAGTAAACTGAATTGGGCTGAATCCTGGTTTGGCAGCAAAGTGCATGTCACTATATGCTGGTTTGTATGCAAACCATGGTTTATGTGAACTGCACTTGCTAATCTTTCAAACTGGATGTGTCAGGGATGGAATTTGGGGCCTTCAAAGGCAAAGCTTGAGCTTTACCAGTGAGCTGTGGCCCCTGCCACTTGCATTTCCTTTCTAAAAGAAATGTATTTAAATATTTCCTTTTATTACTTAATCTATTTTGTGAACGACTTCTTAAAGTGTCCCTTAAGGATGGATTTTTGACATGTGGACCCATATTTCAAAACCATCAAACATTCTCTTATTTTGCCTTGAATCCGTCTTTATATATACTATTATATATAGTCGTGGGGACGCGGGTGGCACTGTGGGTTAAACCACAGAGCCTAGGACTTGCCGATCAGAAGGTTGGCGGTTCGAATCCCCACGACGGGGTGAGCTCCCGTTGCTCGGTCCCTGCTCCTGCCAACCTAGCAGTTTGAAAGCACATCAAAGTGCAAGTAGATTAATAGGTACCGCTCCGGCGGGAAGGTGAACGGCATTTCCGTGCACTGCTCTGGTTCGCCAGAAGCGGCTTAGTCCTGCTGGCCACATGACCCGGAAGCTGTACGCCGGCTTCCTCGGCCAATAAAGCGAGATGAGCGCCGCAACCCCAGAGTCTGCCACGACTGGACCTAATGGTCAGGGGTCCCTTTACCTTTACCTACATAGCCATAGAGAGAACTCCCCAAAACTTTGTCCAATAGTTCTTGCTCCATGTGAGTCCCTGAGGGTCAAATCAGACTTGATACTGGGTCGGGGTAAGGTGAGGCTGCAGTGGGGTGACAGCACAAGTTTAACCCTTCCCCTCTGCTTTGTTTTCCTGACTTAAATTCCCCCCACCCCCATGGGAACCTTCCATGGCTAATAGTAGCTATGATGGGGTGGGGAATTTAAGCCCGGGAAATGGGATGGGGAAAAGGTTAAACAGCCACCTCTCGCTCCCGCAAAGCAAAATTGAGAGCAATTGCAGATGCGTTGAACCAATGGCAGATTTCCCACATCTCAGTTTGGCTGTTGTCCAACACCTGCGTCCCAACACCTGACTCTAACTGCTACTAATAGTACCAAACCTATTTCCTGTTGCCTCTCTGAGAGCTGCTCTTTTACATAATTTAGTAAACAAACCAGGAGAGGTCAGTTCAGGTTATGTCTTCAAAAAAAACAAAACAAAACTTAGATGAGAAGCATCTCAGTTTCCTCTTTTTCTAAGTCTTGGCCCCAATTGCTCACCCAGCCCAGCCAAGGCCAAGGTTCGATGGGGTCTTGAGCAAAGTGCGCCACCCCCTCAGTCCCAGGATCCCTTTGGACTTACCTGGCGGATGAGTGGCTGCATCAAACTGACATTTTCTGTAGCTCCCTAGAAGGATGCTATTTCCGGGGCATTGTAGAAAATTAAGATGCCAGCCAGAGCCAGCTGATCAACGATATTCAGGGGGCCAGGGCAGGCATCAGCAGTGAGGACTGCTAGGTGCTGAGATCCTGGCAGATGACCACAGATTCCCACCTGGGATTGGAAATCAGATCGACTGCAGCATTCATTCATTCATTCATTCATTATTAGATAGCTTATCTGCCCTTCACCACAAGATACCAAGGGCAGGTTTACAATAATAAAATATCTGTTTATTTTATTTTATTCTGATACTATTTTTATACTGCTTACATTTTTTAAAAAAATAAATAAATCTCAAAGCGGTTTACAAAAGTAAAACACACATTAAACCAATATCCAGTTATAAAATGGTTACAACCATAAACAAGGGCAATAGCAATTAAAAACAGTCTGATAAATAAAACAATTAAATGTATAAAAACTATACAAACATTTAAACACAATTCTGCGTATAAAAACTTTTTACCAAAAAATAGTTATGATACAGATGATCCCCAGATTTAACCATTTATAAATTTAATTGCTTAATTGGTCAGGATAATTTTAAGAACCTGTTTTTACAGCGCAGGCCTGTGTATGTCTACTCTGAACTAAGTCCTGTTCAGTTTTAGTGGGACTTGCAACCTAGTAAGAATGTAGGACTGCAGCCTTTTAATCAACTAAAAATAACCAGTGATAAATCTAAGCAACACAATCCCCATTTTTTTAAACAAGGTCCAAATTGTTGTATGATCACAAAAGGGACTTAGAAAAGAAAAAGAAAATATTAAGGATGCCCTTTCCTTTTGTCAGTGAGTGGTAGTTTTTGTGTACAACTGAACTGTTAAGTTTTATCACATTTCTTTGAATATCCAAACAAGGTGTCTATACCAAGTCCTTTGTAGTTTGCAGATTTAACCAGATTCTTTTCAAAAAGACAGATGATTGATAAGATAAGCATTCCTTTAGTGGTGGATACAGAAGCATGTGACTCTCAGAAGCTTGCGCTAATTTTTTTCCGCATTCTTACCCGGGCTGTGGTTACATTTAAAACATCCCTGATAGCTCAGTGATGGTTTGGGAAACTTGAGAAGACAACATACATTTCCGTTCCGTATGCTGGCAACCTCCTGTTCTTTTTTTATATATGCATCCTTCCTGTCTGAAGCAGCTCCTTTGAGGTCCCTCTGAGCTGACCAGACTGAATTGGTTAGTTAGAAAGCTTTGTGCCAGTCCTTTTCTTCTGCCCATTTATTCATTTGTTAAGCAGCAGGAGTATTGATAGAGCTATTACAATACGTACCTACATAATAATAAAAACAACAACAACAGAACCCTCAAAGTCCAAAAGGGAGGAGGAAATAAAGTTTCATATACATCAGCTAACAATTTACGTTTCCCTTCCCTTCCCTTTCGTTATTTCCATTTTGCAAAAACAGCTGGAAATTTAGGACACTTCCCATTCTGCTTCTAATTTTCGGGTGGGATTCTGTCACCTTCTGGCAAATTCAGGCTGCACAACTATAGTTGATTGGGAGGTCTTGCACAACTAAGCTGCTTCCCCAAATGAATGGACTTTTTTTTGTGACCAGTAAATTGAGGTGGGAAATTTCCTGAAAAGCATGAAATAACACTTGCCTTGACCCAACATCATCTAACTTCTCCACAAACAAATCAGAATGAATGCTCATTAAATAGGCAATACCATCTAACCTCCCTGCAAACAAATCAGGATGAATGCTCAATAAATAGGTCATCTGGAAGCGACCTTACAGGTTTGAAACAGTCTCTAGACAATTACTCATGTATTAGAGTGGAACCTCGGAAGCTGAACGCCTTTAAACTCAAATGTTTTAACTCCCGAACAATCGAAAACCAGAAGTGATTGTTCCAGTTTCTGAACATTTTTCGGCAGCTGGACGTCTGGCACAGCTTCCGTTTGGCTGCAGGAAGCTCCTGCAGCCAATCAGAAGCCACGCCTTGGTTCTCGAACCGTTTTGGGAGTTGAACGGACTTCCGGAACGGATTAAATTCGAGAACCAAGGTACGACTATACAGGGAAAACACTCTGAGGGCAGGTCATCTTCCCCAGTCAGACCAGTACTATGTGATACAGATGTACTATTCTTCTGTCAGGTCACTAGAGGTGGGGTGGGAGATAACGTTATTATTTTTCATTTTATTATTGTTATTTTATAATGTTTACATTCGGGGGGGACCCAGCTATAAACGTGAGGTGCATTCTTGCAGTTATTGTCAGTTTTGCTTCATAACTATGGAATGATTGGCAAATGAATCTTCATTCTAGTTGGATGTCCCCCAGAAGACCAAGGGAGTTTTGTCCCTTTAACACCAGTTCCACTTTAAATGTGTAACTTAAAACGCAGGAGTTCTATTCATAATGAGCTGTGAGTTCCTGGCTGTAAGATCCTTCCTCTTAGGTGATGAATCCAAACCAGCGGGCTTCGAAGTCATATTCCTAATTAATATTTCTCTTCACTCTTAATTGTTTAGTACGTTTTTCAGAGGCAACATTATTTTTAGTAGGTGGAACAGAGAACTTTTATAGATATGATTTGCCATTTTGGAAAGGACAAGCACCCCATCCCGATCTTTTCCCCTCTGCCATTCTGTTTGGTATGACCTGGGGTGGGAGAAATAGGGTCTCAAAATGTCAGAGATATTGACCCCCCCAAAAAACAGGACTTTAATCAGTCTCAATATGAAGGAATAGGAGTGTGCTCCTGACCATGCAGAGAGTGCTTTTTCTGCTCACTGAGTAATCACATGAATAGCCCAGCTCCTATCACTAAGTCTCATCAACAAATCACTCATCACCAAGTAATTAAAACTCTTGGAAACAAAAGAGAAGAACTAGGGTTAGGTCAGGTGTAAGTTTCATATATATATAGTTTTGACCTGTCATATTGCGAAACAAAAACCTTGTCAAAGAGGTGATACCAAAGTTACAAACCACAGCAGCCGTCTGCTTTCCATTCTCCTCTTTGAAAAGACGGCGTTCTGCAACCTGTAAATGCACAATCCATTTATTTTCTATATAACCCTTGATGTGTCCTGAAGGCCTTTTGTCTTGTAAAATCTGACATGGCCAAAACAGTATTATTAATAACTTTAGTACTGTATTACTAGCAGCAGTGGTAATAAACATGCCTGTATTTGTGCAGTTTTCACCCCACCACCGCCTGGTAAACTAGACCGTTATTATTATTATTGCAGCTGGTTGTCCATCTATGACTGTCACTGTCTCAACATGTTAATTCTGCCCTAGCCACTTTTCTGTACATTGGGAGGGAGAGGCTGAGTGTCCTGGGCTAAAGCCAAAAGGCTTTGACTTAGCATCCTTACCTTTCGGAGACCATAGGAAGAGGGGGTGCATGGATAATGACTCCACTTGTGAAAAATGCAGCCTTACAGAAAATTTCCCTGCTTTTGGGAGACTGGCTGAGCAGTTGTCCTCTGACCCGTGCAAGATCCGTGGAAAATATGACTCAGCAGTTAGAGAATACGTGATTCTTGGCCATGTATTAATTCCTTTTCCACCCCCACACCTTCCAGTTGTCAGTCTCTTAAGGATAAAACCAGGATGACGATTATATACTCTCTCTTTTCTCTCTGCCCCCTTCATTACTGGAATTCCTGCTGGTGCCGATTTGATGGCACAGCGCACCAGATTTTGAGGGCCAAAAACAGGCTTCTTCCATAAATTCAAGGGCATGCAATATGGAGGCAGACATTCTGAACAGAAGCAACACCCTGTTTAGATATAAACCCATGAGTGGTCCTCAATGCTCCTTGTCCCTTTTTAATCTGCAAGGGCAAAATGGTCCCTGCCACAAAGCTATAATTTGGACTACGGTTCTACCATGGAACTTGCTTTAGATGTCAGGGCTTTGCTCCATCAGAAAAAAATATGAGATGCCTCTGAGCAAGTGCAGAATCCTTTTTCCTCTCCGCCGCAGGACCACAAGCAACCCACACACCTTTGGAATTAGATAAAAGGGCATCCGGGATGTGACTTCCAAGATTGGCAGAAAACATGGCATGTGTTGCTCTGGTCCTTGCCTTCAAGCCTAGCTGTTGACAAGGTGTTTGTGATCTGGGGATGCGGGTGGCGCTGTGGTCTAAACCACTGAGCCTCTTCTTGAGCTTGCCGATCAGAAGGTTGGCGGTTCGAATCCGTGCAATGGGGTGAGCTCCCGTTGCTCTGTCCCAGCTGCTGCCAACCTAGCAGTTCGAGAGCACACCAGTGCAAGTAGATAAATAAGTACCACTGCGGCAGGAAGGCAAATGGCGTTTCCGTGCGCTCTGGTTTCCGTCACGGTGTTCCGTTGCGCCAGAAGCGGTTTAGTCATGCTGGCCAGTGACCCGGAAAGCTGTCTGTGGACAAACGCTGGCTCCCTCGGCCTGAAAGCGAGATGAGCGCCACAAACCTATAGTCGACTTTGGCTGGACTTAATCGCCCAGGGATCCTTTACCTTTATTTGTGATCCTTAAAATCTTTTTATTAAAACAAATCACTTAAATATTTCTAATTGAAACCTCTTAGACTTTTCTATTTTTTAACTTTTCTGCTGACTCGCTTGACTGATGAGGGTCCTCACTCAATGTATTTTTTAGATGTGCAAAATTTCTGACTGTGATTTCACCTAGCTGGGTTGGACCTCAGCATCTCTAATTACAGAACTTCAGAACTCCTACACGATGGGGGTAATCCTATCACTGGAGTAGGTGGGGACGAGAGAAAAAACCTGTGGGTTTTTGTTTTTTGTTTTGTTTTAAAGGTGCTGGAACTCAAACCTGACCTCGAACCAAAATCTCTGGATTTATTTATTTAAAGTATTTGTTGTTTACCCTGTTCTTTGGCTGGATAAAAGGTTCTCAGAACAGCTCACAATAGCTGATATCAAGACAGTCCCTGCCCTCAGGGCTTGCAGTCTAAGAGACATGTTACAAAAGGAACATAGGTTGGAAGGGAAGAGGAAGAAAAACAAATTTTTCTTTAGGCTTTATTTCCTAATAGCAAAGCAAGCTCCCTGCATCTACCCCCTCTCTGGTTGCTGTCAGTGCCCCCCTTTGAGCGTCTCAGACCTTAGTGATAGGTTTCAACACTGAAAACGAATGCTGCGTATACTCAGATATAATTTTATATTCTTCTTCAGGTGGCCTCTTGCGTTTTTCTTGATCTCAGTAGCATATTTGTACGTTCCTGTGACTTTTGAATGGGTTTAATGGGTCAGGCACACAGCGTTTGTGTGTCAGGCTGAGGGAACTGGTCAGAAAATGGTAAACCAGGAACAGCAAGACTTGCTGTTCCTTTCTGCGGCCCAGCAGGACCTGCAATCCTGCCTCCGGGATGGGCTGTTTCCTCTTGGGATTTAAATGTACTGTTTAATAGTATTAAAATATTGACCTAGCCTTCCCTGGGGAGACCATTGAAGAATGGATTACTTCTTTTTGCATAGAGATGCTCCCAGATTGGGGGGGGCAGGTGTGTGTTTGTGTCTGCAAGGGAAGAGGGAAAGGAGAGTTGGTTGTGCATCAGCTGGGAAGAAGGAAGCTTCTGATTCCATGAAATTAGTTTGCTCTTTAGAAGTTTTATCTCTTTTCCATTTCAAACGTGCAACCTTCAGGAGTAGCTGATGTGGATTCTGTGTTCGATTCCGAATGCAAAAATTGATAAAATCTCCCCATCGTGTTATATGGTGATTGGAAACTATGTAGACTCAGAATTGCAGTGGGAATGCTTATGATCAGTTTTGGGGGTGGTGTGTGTTTTAAAATGGACTTATTTTGGAGATGAAGTACTGTAAATAAAAAAAATGTCCAGTAGCACCTTAGAGACCAACTAAGTTTGTTCTGGGTGTGTTCTTTTGGAGAGAATAACAGGCAAGCTTCAAATAGCACTGTTTTTTCCATTGAGAATACTAATAATAATAATACTAATAATAATAATAATAATAATAATAGCAGGTCCCAACTGATGTCAATTTGATGGTACTTTTAGAAGATATCTGAAGGCAAAGGGAAGTTTTTAATCTTTAATGTTTTATTAGGTTTTATATATTCTGTTGGAAGTAGCCCAGATGGGGTAACCCAGTCAGATGGGCGGTGTACAAAAATAAGCACCATCATAATCGGTGCTTTCCCCCTAGAAAAATAGGTGCCAGTACTCACAATGAAGTTGTTGCAATAAGTGCCATACTTTTTAACAACAACAAGATTAAGAAATCAAGAAGAGAGAATTTTTAATAAAAAGCAGGGATCATTTATACTTAAAGAATTATTGTAAACAATTTAAAACATTGGCAGGATTAACATAAACACACGCATATTGCGATGTTAAAATTTTGAATATAAGTGATTAATTATAATTAGGTGGTGGAGATGCAGAAAAAAGAAGAGGCAATTTATGTAACCAGAGAAAGGGAGGGGGAGGGAAGTCAATATCCACATTAAATGTATGAAATAATATTTTTTACGTTCTGTAAAATGTGAAAATAAAATTTATTTTTAAAAAGTGGTGGTGGTACTGTGTACCCTTGAGTACCCCTAAAAACACTGATAATGATCACCATCATTTACCTATGTTGGGGAGGTTAATCCCAATGAACTCAAGGGACTTACTTCTGAATGGACTATTCACTGTTGATTTCTTTTTTTTGTATGAGAGTTCATTCAAGAAGAAGCGCTGCTCCTCTGTGAGGCTTGCTTCCTACAGACAGCCAACAGTGTCCTAACAGTTTTACTTATTCCATTTATGACATTTGCCTTCTTTCTTCTATGGAAAAAAATACCATGGGGTTCAAGGGTGGCCTTCAACCCAGGGGCACTGTATGAATCCAGACCTGCTTGTCCAAAGTCCGGCCCGGGGGCCTAATCCGGCCCGCTGGTCAGTTTAATCCTGCCCCTGCAGCAGTTTATTTTTATTTCCTGGTGTAAAATCCTAAAAGACGGTCAACAACTTAAATCCTAAAAAAAGGTCAACAACTTTGGTCGGCCCTCATGCATGTTCACGTCATCAAATCTGGCCCTCTATGTTTGGACACCCCTGTCTGTGCATTCATAACATGCCTTGGGACGTGTGTGCCATAATCACAGCACCCCCCCCCCCAAAAAAAAATCAGGGCGAGGGAGAATGTCAGCCTGCAATTAAAACTTTAATTTGTTTAAGTGTGATGTTTACAGCCCTGGTGGTTTGGTTTTGGTTTAAAATAGCCATTTGCCTTTATGGTAATTTACCAAGTACAGTGGTACCTCTGGTTATGTATTTAATTCGTTCCAGAGGTCCGTTCTTAACCTGAAACTGTTCTTAACCTGAAGCACCACTTTAGCCAATGGGGCCTCCTGCTGCCACTGCGCTGCCAAAGCACGATTTCTGTTCTCATCCTGAAGCAAAGTTCTTAACCCGAGGTACTATTTCTGGGTTAGCGGAGTCTGTAACCTGAAGCGCATATAACCTGAAGCGTATGTAATCTGAGGCACCACTGTAAACCATTGAGTCATGCACTCCTCACATGCTCAGGGACACTTCTTTGTTATGGCTACATGCACACCAGGCCTAAGCCCTGACTCTGAAAGCAGGTTTCCGGGTTGTCCCAGAGCCCTTGTTGAATCAAGCCCATCTGCATATCTGGGATTAGGGAGAAGGGTGTCCTGGGCAGAGCAGAAACACTTGATTTTATAAATTAGGCACCCATTGAATTTGTACAATATGGAGCCTTGGAGGAATGCCGATTTTTTTTCCTTTCAAGTGATTCTATTTCTCGTGGGTGTGAGTGTTAAATAAAATGTAATAAATTCTGTGTAGTTTGTGAGTGCATTTTCTTGAGGCAGCAAACAAAGTTTAAACCGTCAGGTGAAAGTATATTTTGAACAACGAAGAGTCTTGCAGGATATCGGGGCGCTTCCAAACGACCAGTTTATTGAGTGTTCATTCTGATTGGTTTGCAGGGAGGTTGTGTGATGTTGGGTCAAGCAAATGTCCCATGGTTTCTGCTGCACATTCCCCTCACTTTCCTTATTGCAAAAAGTCTGGGTTTTGATACTGGTTTGTTGTGCAAGAGCACCAAATTGACTGTCGTTGCAGAACCTGAACCTACCTGTATGTGAATGAATCCCACTCACAAAATGGCAACAACAGTCTGTTAGGTCTTTTAGTCCGCACAAGCAAATGTCAAAAAATTGTATGGGTTTTTAAGCAAACACAAACAAAATGACCTTTATACCCTTAGCCAGCAGTGTTTGTTTTTTCCGTTGTCTCTAGACATGCACTTACACAGTTAAAATTCAAACATATTACTTAACGTGACCCCTCCACTGAGAATATTGGGCAGCTGATATAAGAAAGTCTTGATTTTGGTCATTAACATAGCTAAAGAAAGGGGCCCGCGTTTCTTGGAAGGTGTCTCTATTTGTTGAGCCTTTAATTACCTTCCTGTGTGTGGTGAGATGCTCATTGCTATAACAAAGATACTATTTCCCCACATGTTCAGAGAAATTGGGGTTGTCCTTAAGGTGCCATAAGATCCTGTGGTTTGTGGTGGATTTGTCATAGTGGGGAAAATGTCCACTCACCTATGCTAGGGCACCTGATTTTCACAGATCTCCGTCATACCTAAGCCCTGCATCTCCTTCCCCCACCCCCAAATCTAGTCGTTTAGTTGTGTCTGACTCTTCGTGACCCCATGGACCAGAGTACGCCAAGCCCTCCTGTCTTCCACTGCCTCCCGCAGTTTGGTCAAACTCATGCTGGTAGCTTCAACAACGCTGCCCAACCATCTCGTCCTCTGTCATCCCCTTCTCCTTGTGCCCTCAATCTTTCCCAACATCAGGGTTGGGAGCCTTCTCTTCTCATGAAGTGGCCAAAGTATTCAGGATCTGTCCTTCCAGTGAGCACTCAGGGCTGATTTCCTTAAGAATGGAGAGGTTTGATCATCTTGCAGTCCATGGGACTCTCAAGAGTCTCCTCCAGCACCATAATTCAAAAGCATCAATTGTTTGGCGATCAGCCTTCTTTATGGTCCAGCTCTCACTTCTACTCCTAAAATGGGCTAACTGAGCCGCTACTTGTTTGCATAGGAACCTGGGCAATCTACTCTGTCCACTTACACTCAAGTGTGACTTACATTGGTGCTAGATAATACCACATTGCAGCACCTCTTCCAGGGAATTTCTCGTGAGCATTGAGCAGGATCGGGAAATTTGTACTGCGGCGAAACTGCTACTCATTTAATTTTGGGGAAGATTGTGGGTGCTGTCCTGAATGTGGGGCAAGTCAAGATTGCCCCCACCTCTGTTCATGGAGCCCACCTAGGATGGTCCTACACAGTGGTGTTGACTGCAAGGTAGAGTGGAAAATGCCACCCACCGCCTTATTAAAATGGCAAAATCTATTTCTATCTGTGTGTGGGTGAATTGGGGGTGGCTAGAGGGGCTATTAACCTGGCTGTTAATTTTTTCCTTAGATCATACTCAGTGATCCACATTAAATGTACACATACCAGAAATGGTCTGCCATTTTCCGACTGGTTTGGGGGCTTACAGAGGCGACTGGAAGGTGTTTTGGTTTGGCATTAAGAGATGATTCATGGACATTCCAAACCAACCTCTTGTGCCTAAGCACGATGACTGCAAATCTATGACTAAACTTTCCTAATAATTTATGTTTTAGTCATATATGAAGCTTCGTATTTTTAGTATACTGTATATATCTAAGTTTTTTTTTAAAAAAAAAACACCTCTTGCTGTAGCAGGAGGGAAAATCCTCCTCATCATTTATATTTCATCACTCCAGTTCCTCTCCCCCACTCCCACCCCCACCCCAATTTATCAGCAGCAAAATACATTTTGCATTCTCCTTCCCTTCCATCCCAACCTCACTTATGGATAGTGTTAGATTTGGGGGGGGGGACATATTTGAACCCCCAAATAAGAGGCAAAGCACATACTGATATCCGGCAAATTCTGATAAAAACATTTTTTGTTTCAGGAAGCCCAGCCCGATATGTAGAAGTTACATGTGTTTTATTTCCTTTTAGCTGCTGTTGATGTCAATAATCTTTTGAATATTTGTAAATACCAGTTTTTCAACTGTTTTTTTTTAAACTGGCAATTTCAATGTTTTATATTTTTGTAAACGGCTTAGAGGTTTTCTCGCAATAAGCGGCGCATGCATTTTATTTAATAACCAAATAGAGGTCAAGATTTGCATCATATTTGCATATGCTAATGTATAGGTGTAGGTGAAAATTTATAAAGGGCGAGTGTCATTTAAACAGAAATGCATCACAGTTTGGGAAGGCTGAGGCCAAGTTTCACTTCCCTTTCTCCCCCCCCGCCCCCGTAGATGTTTTTTGTTTCACTGCCCATTTAAAAATAATTAATTTGATACAGTGTTGGTGACTTGGTTCTGTATTCTACTCTTTCATAACTTTATGATGCGTTAATGATTTTATGGTACACTGCCGTGGTATTTTTTTAAACAAAGCTGGAACAGAGTGAGGCACCTTCCCCCGTGGGCAAATTTTAGTCACCCAAAAGGGTGGGATTTGCATAAGCTTGACCCAGTTCACTGGCACAAACCATTGCAATGAAGCTCCAGTTCAGTGGGGCCGTTACATAATGTCTGCAATCAGTGTGTTAGGAATGAAAAGTTGGGTTGTATACAAGTAAGTTCTAATCAAGGGTATACCCACTGAAACCAATAGGCCTACGTTAGTCATGTCCATTGACTCCCATGAGTCTAGAACTATCAGCCCAATAAACCTCTAGGGAGTGGCAGACTGTTTAGACGGGGGTTAGGTACACAACATAAATGTAAAGCACACTTGCACGTTGCTTCCCCCTTGAAAGAATCATGGGAACTGTACTTTACTCCCTCGCAGAGCTACAATTCCCAGCACCCTCAGCAAACTACAGTTCCCAGTTGGGGAAAGCCCAGGTGCTTTCTATTGCTGTGTTTGGGGATCTTCCTGCTTATTAGCTTTTATTATTATTATTACAGTGGTACCTCGGGTGAAGTACTTAATTCGTTCTGGAGGTCAGTTCTTAACCTGAAACTGTTCTTAATCTGAAGCACCACTTTAGCTAATGGGGCCTCCTGCTGCTGCTGCGCTGCCACCGCGCGATTTCTGTTCTCATCCCATCTTAACCCGAGGTACTATTTCTGGGTTGGCGGAGTCTGTAACCTGAAGCGAATGTAACCCGAGGTACCACTTTATTATTATTATTATTATTAGTAGTATTATTATCAATAATAATAATAATAATAATAATAATATTACCCTGCCCATCTGACCGGGTTGTCCCAGCCACTCTGGGCGACTTCTAACAGAATATAAAAACACAATGAGACATCAAACATTGAAAGCTATATAGGGCTGCCTTCACACTCTTTGCGGCTTGGACTGCGTGCACATCTGTGTGTATTACATGGCAGGGAGTGGGGTGGAATGTCATTTAGAGCTGCCATATATCTGGATTTTCCCAAACATTACCTGGATTTCAAAGGTGAAACTTTTGGTGGTTTCCTTTAAAAAAAACACACCAAAAAAACAACAGCTTAGCATCTTTCTGGGTGTCCCGGTTTTCATTTTTTGAAATGTGGCCGCCCTATTATCCTTCAAATTTTCCACCTCAGATATCCAAAGGTTTTAGACATGCTGTGTGAATAAGTTTCTCACAGCCATCCATGCGTTCTTGGGTGTTTCTCTCCCCCCCCCCCCCCCCCGTTTTCTGGCCATCCGTCCCAAGTCTTTCTCTGTTTCTGTCCCCTTCTCGCTTTCTCTGAAAATAGAAGCTGTGTCTATTTCTGAACCGGAAGCTCATGTAGGGGAGGGGAGTGAGGTAGAGGGATTGGGTGGGGGCCGGGGGGCAAGAGGGAAGTGGCGAGGTAGAGAATTTGGTAAAGGTCAGGGGGGGTAAGAAGGAAACAGAGCTGTTTTTGCATCTGTCGCCGTCACTTCAAGCTGCTTAGCTTGAAGAACGAAAAGATGGAGCGAGTGTCATTTGGATGGAGCTGTTCTGCTGGGAGTGTGTGTGCGCGGGGAATGTCCTGGAAATATATTGACCGCTGGAAAGTAGATCATAGCACTGAACTATTAGGGCTGGGTGCAGTAATTGATGAAGCCAGCTGGAATACAGACAGGATTATCTCCTGTGGGAAGAGATAAGGAGTCAAAAGGCTTCTTCCATACAGCATTGGAACCCAGACTGCCCCCCCCCCCATTACTGCAACAGTCCTCTGTGGGATAAGCATTTAGGCTCCGCTTCCCTGCTTAAGTTTTGAGCCACAAAGACTCCTGGGGGGGTTTATGGCCTCCTCCAGACGATTCCAAGGAAGCAGACGATAAAAAAATGTATTGCCGTTTGCTTGAATTATCACACAGAGATAACTTGCTCACGGGGCTGTTGTGAGGAAAGAAATAATCTTGATGTCCCATACGCACCCTCAAATTATCTGGTGGAACAATGGAATCCAAACAAGGCAACGTAGGTTACGTCCGCACCACACATTTAAATCACATTTGTACACTTGAACAGTCCTGGCTTCCCTAGAGAATGGTAGTTTACAGAGCAACAGTTCCCACCACTCGTAGCAAACTGCAGTTTCCTGGATTCTTTGGGGAAAACTATGCTTTGAACCTATGGGACACGGGTGGCGCTGTGGGTAAAACCTCAGTGCCTAGGACTTGCTGATTGTATGGTCGGCGGTTTGAATCCCCGCGGCGGGGTGAGCTCCCGTCGTTCGGTCCCAGCTCCTGCCCACCTAGCAGTTCGAAAGCACCACTAAGTGCAAGTAGATAAATAGGTACCGCTTTATAGCGGGAGGGTAAACGGCGTTTCCGTGTGCTGCGCTGGTCCTGGCTCGCCAGAGCAGCTTCGTCACGCTGGCCACATGACCCGGAAGTGTCTCCGGACAGCGCTGGCTCCCGGCCTCTAGATTGAGATGAGCGCACAACCCTAGAGTCGGACATGACTGGCCCGTACGGGCAGGGGTACCTTTACCTTTACCTTTATGCTTTGAACCTAAAGTCAATGTAAACCTTAGTTACCTCCTCCACATCCACCATTCTTCCTCCCAAGTAGTTCTTCCTTTCTGTGTTTGGAAGGTAAGGCCCTCTGCCTCCTCCTGCATAGACTATCAAGCCTAGATAAATGATGGGAGAGGTTATAACAGTGCAATCCCATGCATATCTACTCAGGAGTAAGTCTCACTGAGATGAATGTGGATGGTTTCTTGTTAAATATGTATGGGATTGCAGTCTAAGTGGTGTAAGGGCTTTCCCACAATTCCTCTTGTCCCGCTGCTTCCATGTGCCCTCCCCAACAAAACCTGCTCTTTAGTGCTCAATCGCAGCAAACAACAATTCAGGTTTTCTCTGGATTGACGTTTGCTCCAATTTTGCAGTAAAGAGCAGCTTTTCCCTCGGAGACGAGTGGGGCACAGGGAAAACTGTGCCTAGAAAGTGTGGGTGAAGCAGAAAACTCTGCAGGGGGTTGGACTAGAGGACCTTTGGGGTCCGTTCCAACTCTACGATTCTATGATTTTGGGCATGAGACACATCATGCCCATCATGCGTGGGCAAGCCCAGTCTTCTTGTTCCGAATATCTGAGCTCATGGAATCAAGCCGAACACTTGTAGCTTTTTCTTTCCCCTTCATGTAAATTAATAGGTTGGAGTTCATTGTCTCAAAGTTAGACGTGATGGTAAGCTTTTTAAGACAGGGTTTTCAGACAAATTCAAGAGAGAGAGCTCTAACAGCGCCCATTCACCCAGCTAGCCAAAGATGAAAGTTTGATCTCTTGTTTATCTCCACCATATTGAAAGTTTGATGTTCAGAAGTACAATATGACTGAGATGCTGAAGATTACAATCTTTGGTTTATTATCTCCATCGTGCTCTTTGAGCTTCTGGCTGGTCACAGTCTGGAGGCAGAAGGCTGGGGTTTCACAGACTTCTTTTGCTCTGAGGCAGTGTTTATGTGGTTATTCCAGTTTGAATAATTTCGTAGGGACTGCAGTTTGAATTCAGGGCAGCGGCTCTTAGCAACTGATGTTAGTACATTCATTTTGAAAACTTCTTGTGCCTTAACCGCAAAACAACCAACCCAGCAACGTGGGGCTATTTTATTCCTGTTTTACAAATGGTTGTGTTTTCTCTCTCCCCTTCCCTCCGCAACGCTGTTTAGGAGGATGTTTCCATTTCTGAGCTTCAACATCTCTGGACTGGACCCCGTCGCCCATTACAGCATCTTTGTGGACATTGTGTTAGTGGATCAACACCATTGGCGATACCAAGGCGGGAAATGGGTGCAGTGCGGCAAAGCAGAAGGAAATATGCCAGGTATGAGAGAGGAATTATCTTCCAGTGCAGAGTTAGACATATTAGCCCATGGGTAGGGAATCTACAAAATCCACAGTTGGGCCATGACTTTATTAGGACTAACCAAAATGTCACAGAACAGCAGCAAACTTTTGAATTCCCCAGTGCTTGAAATCTTGCCACAGTTTTGTGACCACTTCCTATTGACAAGTGTTCTTTCAACTTAGGTCTTCCTATGTTTGTTGGACTACAGTTCCCATCATCCCCAGCCAGGTCAGTCAGGGGAGAGAGGCGATGGGAGTTGTAGTCCAACATCATCTGAGGAAAAACATTGCTACAGAACACATTTCCTTTGTTCCCCCTTCATTCCTTCATCATGGCTAGTTTCTTTATATATGTTTTCCCACGGTAAACCATTCTCAGAAAGTAGCTCACATCAGGAAAGTTTGCATCATAATAATAAAAAAATATTCACTTTTTACATTTATATATCACCTTTATATTCCAAGGTGGTGTATATGGTTCCCTCCCCCCCCCCATTTCGGCCTTACAACAACCCTGTGAGGGAGGTGAGGCTGAGAGGCAGTGACTGGCCTGAGGGGCTTCATGGCTGAGTGGGGATTCGAACCCTGCTCTCCCAGGTGCTGGTACAATGCTCTAACCATTATGTCACACTGGCTCTAAAATACAGCGCCATTTCAAGAAAACCAACCGTTGCAAAACATAACAGCATTTAAATAGTCATTAAAAAATTAGATTGGCAATTGAAGAGCTCATATTAACAAATACACACTAAGGCTAAACATTTCACTAACAATTTAGCCTAAATAATAATAATAATAATAATTTTGTATTTATACCCCGCCCTCCCCAGCCAAGGCCGGGCTCAGGGCAGCTAACAAGCAATAATAAAAACAAGTTGAATGAATGCAACTTAAAAACAAGATTAAAATACAGCATTAAAATATTGAAACAAAATATTAAAATGCAGCCTCATCACAGGAGGAGAAAGGAAAAAGAAAAAAAGAGGGAGAGGGAATCAAATTGGCTCCAAGCCAAAGGCCAGGCGGAACAACTGTGTCTTACAGGCCCTGCGGAAAGAAATCAGATCCTGCAGGGCCCTGGTCTCATGAGGCAGAGCGTTCCACCAGGCCGGAGCCAGTGTTGAAAAGGCCCTGGCTCTGGTTGAAGCTAATCTGACTTCCTTAGGGCCCGGGACCACTAGGGTGTTGCTGTTTATGGACCTTGAGGCTCTCCGTGGGGCATACTGGGAGAAATACAAAAATAATCCACCTTGGCAGCTCAGTTGGCAGAGCATGACACTCTTCATCTCAGAGTTATGGGTTCAAGCCTCATGTTGGGCAAACGATTCCTGCATTGCAGGAGGATGGAATAAATTACCCGTCATGGTCTCTTTCAACTCTACAATTCTGAGATGACACAAATGCCAGCTAAATGTTGCCCCCAACAACAACAACAACTGTTAAATTACTTGGGGCCTTATCCTGCTAGGCTGCATGGAAATGAGCCAGACAGAGAAGCAACATCTAGGTTTTGCAGGACTCATGCAAAGTGAGGGGAAAGCACTCTGCAAATTCTTGTGGGATTTCTTGCATTTACTTCTACTTCACGCGTGAATCTTGTGCCAAATTCAACGTAACGACTCTCCTCCAAAAAGTCGTATATGAAAGTTCTAACCATGAGAATATTTGAAGAATTTTGAATATGGGAAATTGTTCTAATCTAGCTGGGTTATTTAAGACCTTTTTCGGCGGGAGCCCAAATTCAGCCTTTCGTTCTTGGTGGCAGTTTTCAATTAGACCCTAAGTGAATTTGGCAAGGGAAAGTTCTGAAGTCCACCCCCCCTTTTCTCCTACGCATGAATTTGCTGAGCGGTGGGTGGGTGGGGAGACTTTTATTTTCCCGTAATGTGGATTCCCTTTTATTTAACTGATAATTTATTTACTTGAACTTTTATACTCCTCAAGTCTTACATACCCAGTTTAGAGCATTTGCAGAGAACTTTTGAACAAAGGCATCACAGCAGTTTTAACTTTAAAAAAAAAAAAAAAGTTTATTTAAATCTAACCAAATACTTTTGGAAATGAAATCACAGTACATCTTTTTTTTTTTAGTCCAGCAGCTGCTGCCTTTGCCCTGTTTGCTCTGCAGCGCCCCCACCTCCCCTTTCTCAGGAGCTACAGCCCCATCTGGTGGTCCAGAGAAGAAACTGAATCACTTCATTGTTAAAGCATAGTGCTTTGCACAGAACCAACGTTTTGATAGCGTTTTGCATTTCCTTTGCTACTACCTAAACCACTAGTCTGCACCCCATGCATTTAGTATTAAGAGCTGAGCATCCAGGGCAGAGGACATGACTTTCTGCTTAACTTGAATGCTGGCACCTTTCTTTTTAAAGCTCAAGAATATAACTACATGCTCTCTCCAGGGAAACTTGCCTTATGTTATATACCCATGTCCTTTGCATTATACACCCATGTCCTTTGTGTGCCAAGCAAAGGCCTTCTTTTGTTTTCCCAGAGCTTTTTAAATATTAGCTGAACATGGTTTTAACCTGCTGCGATGTATTAACTCTGCCATTTTTAATTCAGCTTCTTGAGCATTTATTGTTTGAATGGTTTATAATGTTAACAGTCCTTGAAGTTATCTGTACATCAGGGGCAGGATGTAAGTTTAAGAAGAAACACACACACACACACACACACACACACAGAGTGAACAAATAACCAAATGAAATATTATAATTCACTTTCAGTAAATTTATTTTACAGATCAGTCCATGTCATAGCTCTCAACCTTTCCCTTTTCTTGCGAGGAATTCTATTCGGAATAAGGGAATTTCCCTTTAAAAAAGGGAAAAGTTGACAGCTATGGTCCACGTGAATCATTAAACCCTTTCAAAGTGCACAAAAAATATTTTTCTTTCGCTTTTTACGTTGTACACTCCTTACACCATCTTGGTTTGCTAGGATCAATACATACATTTTGCTCTATATTTGAGAGATTCACCCACTGACCCCCCTCTAAATTCTACGCAGCGACTTATATTTAATCTTCCATCTGTCCAACAGCAGGCATTCATTTAAAGTTCACTGTGATTCTTGCCTCTTCCACCTGCAACGGGAATCTGAAATGATAGTCCCGGTTGTGATCTTATCTTGGACAAGGTCATCAATTTGCTTCCTATTGGGCCTGGCTCCATAATGCAGGGCTGGGGGGCATGAATGAAACCTGCAGCAATGACTGTCCCCAGTTGTTGCTGCTGCTGCTGCTACGTGCCCACTCCCATCTGCCTGCACTGCTGCAGCTGCCAGCCTCTCTTTCACGATCATAGACTTACCCACCTGCAGTACCATAATTGGACAGGAGCTGAGCCGCCAGCTGGCACCCATCCTATTACACCAGGTGGGCAAGGTGTCAGTTCAGCCAGGTGTGTGCACCCCAGTGTGCTTAACACCAGGCCTGGCTTCTCTGTGCTATGCTCCAAGCTCTGAAACAATTTTCAACACTGCTTATTTATCACGACTTCCAACAAGAAACCCTTGGCATGATTGTTGGAGCTAAGGAAGAGCTCTCAGCAGCCCCACAGTCCAGCAGTTCCTTAGGGTTCTTTGTGTTAGAATTTCTGCTCCATGATTGCAGTCATGGGATTGTTGACTTTCACATGACAGTATGCGTTTTGACTCCACAGAGTGGGAAGTGACGGAGACAGGATGCTTGTGTTACTGTGTTCCTTGAAGTGGGACTCTTGTCCTTTGTTCTTTCTCTTTGCTGTCTGATGCTAGAGAGAGAGAGGGAGCCATGTTGCAGTGCATCGTGTGTGTTTATATGTAAATAAAGTAGATTAGCCAAAATGCTGAGTTGCTGGGGTTCTGTCACACAAGCTGCAAAGACTCTGCGAATCCCTTAGTGTGTCTGTTGGCATCGGTCGCTGTGATGTTCGGGCAGAAGAAAGCTTTTGAAGCTCCCGAACGAAAGACCAGGAGGGAGAGAAAATGCCAGTCGGGCATGTGTCTCTGCCAGGGTCCTACTCGAGTGTAGGACGAGCTCCTGACACGTTGTAGGACAATCCAGCTGGAGTGATTTCTAAGCAGTTTAAATGTTTGTTGTGTAGACCAACACTAGGGCTGTCTGTGCTTTGACCTGGACCTAGGCAGTAAGGCTGAGAGATGCTTACTAGAAATGCCCTCTTTCCGGCAGGGAATCGGACGTACATGCACCCGGATTCTCCCAACACCGGAGCCCACTGGATGCGGCAGGAGATCTCCTTCGGGAAGCTGAAGCTCACCAATAACAAAGGAGCATCCAACAATGTCACACAGGTAATGGTGGCTTCCTAAATCGGCTTTCTCCTCCAAACAAACAAGCAAAACCAGGAGAGTTAATGTCATGGAATATACTGACATAACATTATTCATGGATCCTGTTTGTCCGGCAGATGATCGTGCTACAGTCCTTGCACAAGTACCAGCCCCGTCTACATGTCACTGAGGCCAAGGACGGCGAGGTGGACAAAGTACACCCTTCCATCTGTAGCCAGACCTTCACCTTCCCAGAGACTCAGTTCATTGCCGTTACAGCGTACCAGAATGCTGACGTGAGTTTGCAATCTCGGTCGCGACTGCTCACCGTTTGGATAACAGATGGGATAGAAGGGGTCGGGTCGGGTCTGGGAAATAGGGTCATATTGGTCTGTGCAGGGTTTGGGAACTGAGGTATGCATTCACCTGGAATCTGTGAGTGCGGGTTTTTCATATTTCAGCATCGGTGTAACCTCAGAACATGCCGAAAATATTTGAAACTCGAGTGCTTCTGAGCATAAGCGAGAGTGTGAGAGTGTAGAGGAAGGGGAGCTGTGTTGCTTGCCACAAGTTTTTATAATGCACTAGTTAATAACATACCTATGATATTTGTGTAGGCATATAAACTTATCACGGTAGGCTTGCTAACTAGGATGAAAATAACTTTCTGCCTGTGGCAAAACGTTCCTGGCAAAAAGACATTTTTTCTTAATTGAGGGGTGATGTCCTCCTCAACAACAGAGTAACAACTTGTGTGTTTATTGCACATAATCTGATAGCCCGTAAAAGCTCACAGAAGACAGATTCTACCACCTCCATAGGCAGTGATGATGTTGACTGACACCAAATGTTTAACATAGCTTTATAAAGATACTAAAAGCTATGGTGCTTGTGACTTCATAAACAAGAAGTGGGAGAGTTCAAACCATAGTTTAGTGTGATGATAACAAGCCACAGCAAGCCTCACGCTTGTGTGCTGCCCACCAACCCCACCCAAATCTACCTTTCTCTTTTACTTAACCACAGCTTTGTAGTGTTATCTAAAACAGCTTATTTTAAGTTCAGGTAGGTAGCTGTCTTGGTCTGATGCAGTCGAAATAAATAAATGTTTTATTTATGTTTTAACATTTTGACATTTGCCATCCTGGGCTTCTTTGAGATGGAAGGTGAGATAGAAATTTAATAGGGAATAACTATAAATGACAATAATAATCCGACCTGGCAAGATGTGCTTAATGTTGACCATGGTTTGTTGGAAACAAGCCAACTGTAAACCATGGTTAATTAAGCATGACATCCAAAAGTGATTCCTTGGTTTACAGACGCTCTCTTGTTTAGAGATCTTCAATGGCAGAAAGTTGTGCTTGTGAGCAAAACGGGTTCGGGTACATGGAAGGCACAGACAGGATTATAAATGCATTACTAGATCACTGTTTGCTCTGGTCACTCACATTCCACACCCAACACAGTGGATTTCTGTGCAGCAGCTACAAAATGTGAAGAAATGTGCTTTCATTCATCCCATCATTCACTACATCGGTACCCAAATCCCATCATCATGGGATTTGGTGGCAGGAATAAAGGAGGTAGAGGAATGGAAGCAAATAAACGGCTATGACGGAATTTGGGAGTATATGGGGTGCAACAAGGTACATCTATTTTTCTGGTACTGAACTTCAGAACAATAGCTTTCTTCTTTGTTTTCGCTTAGATCACCCAGCTGAAGATAGACCACAATCCTTTTGCTAAAGGCTTCCGGGACAACTTTGATTCGTAAGTCTCTCTTCTACTTGCCCAGTGTCAATTTGGCTTGCCTGTTTGAGTACGCATCGGTCCCGGGGGGGAGACTATTGTGGCAACGTCCCGATTTCAATTTTTAAACTCTGCATCAGAATCCTGCAAAAATACTCACATTCTCCTACACCCACCTACTTCAACCGTTTCTGTTAAGAGCTAGGTTTTTTCCCCCTTCTAGCACCTGGGGGGGGGGGGAATATTTCATACAGTAGATCAGTTCAGATAGTGCACCAAACCACAACTCTAAAGGAAGCTTTAACTATAGTTTGGCGCGATTCCGTAATGACAAACCGTGGCCTTCAAATAAAGACAGCAAAGCCAAGAAGCAGAAGCTGTGGTTTGAAGTGGGTTTTGAAAGTGGTGTGCTGTCCCATTTAAGACATTAACTTCCTGTTTCGCCCTGTCCATTTCCTGTCTTCCAGGATGTACACCACGGCCGAAGGAGACCGCACAACTCCATCCCCGCCCAGTGCCGCCAGCTGCCAGCAGCTCCTCACCAGCAGCCGCTTCCAGCCCTTCTTGCACGATCAGTACACACTCCCTCAGAGCCGCTTCTACAACCGGGAGCGGGCCCCTCTGCCTCTGCCGCCCAAGGAGACCCACCACTGGTATTTCGCTTCCCAGCAGCCCCCTTCCGCCCCTCTGGAATACGGCACCTACGAGGGTGACTTCAGAGGGAACAAATTCATGCCGTACGGGATGAAGCCCTTTGCCCTGCAGGCGGCGCCGCACCCCTCCTTGCCCTATTACCAGGAGCATCCCTTTGGGCCCCCTGCCACCTGGAGCTCCCCACCTCAGTATCACCACCCCAAGCCCACCCCAGGGGCCTTGAGCTGGTTCCGGCCCATGAGGGACTTGCAGGCGGTGCCCTCTGCTGACGAGAAAGGGAAGGACAGCGAAGGCTGGGCCGAGCCCGGCTCTGTGAAGTCGGCCGATTCCTCGGACTCCGGGCTGTATGAAGCCGAGTGCAAGCGCCGCCGTGTGTCCCCCTACGTCTCCAGCGCTGAGAGCTCCCCGCCCATCCGCAACGGGGAGCTCTATGACAAAGAAGGAGGGGATGGGGGCTATTATGGCTTCTATGGCAACTGAAGTGGGAAGGCGGGATAGAAACCTGTGAGGGAAACACGGGGTGGGGGCCTTCTCACCATCCAGCTCTCCTCCGTTCATATCAGGGGTAACCTGTAAAAAGGAAAATGGACAGCCCCCCTTCTTGGTTTGGGGGAAAGTTTCGCACCTTTATGGGCACTGCCGGAAATAATGACGATGGCATAAATGAAGCTGTATGTAGTTGTATCTCCCTGCCCTCCGCCCCTGTTCAGCCACTTCCAGGTGCTAGTCTGCTGGTGTTAAAACATGCGCTCCCCTTTGCGGACAGATGCCCGCATGGTGGCGGCGAGTTCAGATCTTGGGCTTGTGTTCAGACCCGAAGAGCTTTCACTCATTTGTGCAGCAGTGCAGCCTGCGCTTGCCAGGGCAGCTTCCTGTCTCCGCTCCCGCCCACGTTTAGTTCTGGGGCTGTGTCACTGGGGAGAACGGAAGCAAAATTTCTTAAGGGATTCAAAGCCCAGGGAGAAATTCGGAAATAAAAATCCAACTTTGGGTGGGATGGGTTTTGAAAGCCACATGGTGCTTGTCGGGTTAAAGTCAACCCTGATCCAGCCAAGGAAATCTGCGTACAGAAGCAGGCTTCGTTGTACTCCTCACTTGCTCAATTGGGAAACACGGGAAAAACCAGATGTGTGTCTGTATGAGATCGTCCCGCTGTGGTGCATTGATTAGACTGGGGTAGGCGTTCCAGTGTATATTTTGAGGGCATATCCCCTCCTGTGCTACTGCACACCTGTTCACACACTGACATCACATGAAACGAGATCCAGATTGAGATGATTACGTTCATACTCTGGTTTCCCCAACATGCCTGTTTGGGATTCCTGGGTGGGGAGCAGCTAGAAATCAGGGAAATTTGCTTGAGAAAAATTCTGCCCTTGAAACTCATTGCAGTTCTGAGACTTCGTTTGCAAAATCAGTATCTTTTGGCCCACTTCAGAGAGGGACTGGGAACCTCGAGTATGAATCAGATGCAATTCAACACAGGCCAGAATGCACATTTGAGTTCTAATTATGTCTGTCCACACCACATTGCATTCAATGTAATGAGTATGTGAATGTGCATTTAAAAGGCATTCCCACACCCTCGCTCTGGAGTCGTGTGCAATTATCATTATAGGTGATGATACGTAGTTTGGGGCAAGAGAACTGCTACCCCTAAGGCAGCAGCCTGCGTTCACTTCAGCCAGAAATCTGGGATGTCACAGCCATGCTCCCTTACAATTGCTCTTGGGCCATTCGTGGGTCGCCATTTCTCAAGTAAACTGTGAATTTCACACATCTGAGATAAATACTCTGTTTTAAGCTCCCTGGGCTTGACAAGAGGGCGCTGGCTGCCTTCCCATTCTCAGTTCAGCCCTAGAACATGAAAACAAGCCAGCTCTGGAGTTCTTCATCCCAGCCTAGCCAATGGTTTGAAAACATGTGATAATGCAAACCACCCATTTTTGCTAACCAGTGCTTTTTTTTTCTTGAAAAAGAGCTACTGGAACTCACCATGAACACCTCCCTCATTCTCTTATAATGGCAATATGGCACCCAACTGAGTTCCGGCAAGTTCCACCTGGAAAACAGCCCCGCTAACTAACCAGCATATTCTCAGATGGGCATTTCCCAGCACTGCCTTTAGGCAGACTTGGAAATGCTGAAACACCTTCCTCCATCTCTTGGGATTTCAAGAACCGGAATTCAGGGTCCAAGAACATGTGGAAAGATTCCTGGGGATCGAAGAAACATCAGGGTGGGGGTGGGGATAGCCCTGCAACATGGACTCTCTTCAAACAGCGTCAGGCCTGGGCAATACAGGAAGCGCTAGTGCCGTGAACAAAAGCATCAAAAGCAACAACAGAACAGGCCCTAGGTGGGATTTATGCAGCACAAAGATTTACCTGCCTTTTTCTCTCTCACCCCCCCCCCCTGCTTCCTACATGCCAGACAACAGCCATGAGCCCTCAATGAAGGCCAGTGCCCCAAATTAGTAAATGGAACCAGCAGGGATGGCAAACATGTGGACATCCAGATATTGCTTGACTACAAGTCCCACCCTCCCTGACCATTGGCCACGGGCTGGGGCTGCTGGGAGTTGGGAGTCCGGCAACACCTGAAGAGCCATAGGTTTCCTCAGCTCTGGTATAAAGGGACAGGTTTCTCAGGTAGCCCTCTTGTGCCAGATGTGGAGACGCCTACGCAGAGAGATTGGAGGAGAAGTGAACTGGGGGGGAAACAACCTCTTGTACAGAGCCATAGGGGGTTATCCGTACAGAAAGCCCCTTGGCTAATTTTTGTAGCATTGTGCCTCGCTGTTTAGCTGTGTGTGCTGCAGAGCACACGCTTTGATTTGGTGAGATCCCCAAAGTGGAAGGCAATTGCAAAGAAAGGGGCAAGTCATCTGGGCATCTTCGCATGCATGCCTCCCTAGAAATAAAACAAGAGACACCATACATTTCAATGGGGCAGGTCTACAATGAAGAGTGGATTGTGTCCAGAATGGTCATATTTAAAGCCCTCCGTAATTAGTTTTATGGAAAGCAGGAGGCAAAGACATAAGTTGTATTTTTATACTTCCACCTCCTCCTCTAAAGAGATTTCCTCTCCCCCTTCCCTCCCTCAAATCTTGGTGGTATTTTATAATCCTGGAAAGACTTGATGGTCATTTGGTGAAGTGAATTTTAATTATGCTAGACAATCAAATGGGACACTCTTTCCCCTTTTAAGCGCTCCCCGTGGCTCGGCAAACCCAGCTGAGTTTCTCGGAGGCGGAGGGGGGAGTTAGGCTCAGCTCTCCTAACTGTTTACACTCTTAAAACAACAAAAAAATATGTAGATGTAAAAGACACAATGGTCTTTGTGGTGTTTTGAGGTTCTCTCTTTTTTTATTTTATTTTTCAAGACAACAAAAATTCTTGACATTTGCAAATATTTATTGAAAGCAGTGTACAGGCTGCCTGTTGAGTTTTCGTTTTGGCTTAAGAATTTCTTTAAATAAACTGTAAAGCTGTTAGTTCTTTGGGTGTCTCTCCACGTGCCAAATGCAGCCTGTCATGTCTGTCAAATTTCTTCTGCCTGGATCAGGAAGTAAGGTACCTGTTATTTATATTTTAAGACAGTAGCCCCATCTTTAGTTCGGAGATAGTATTGATGTACCTTACTGGGTCATGGTTAGGATGCCAAGCACTATTGTTTACTTGTCTACAGGACAAGTGGTTTGTAAAGGATGCTGACTGTTGTTGGGAATTGCAGCTCTCTGAGGGGAATAGGGGTCTTCTAACCACTCTGCACCCTTAAAGTTCTCAGGATTCTTTGGGGGAAAACTATGACTGTTTAAAGTGGTATCATACGGCTTTAAAGGTTTGGTGCAGGCATGGCCCTTATTATGATAAATTATAATACAGTGGTACCTCAGGTTAAGTACTTAATTCGTTCCGGAGGTCCATTCTTAACCTGAAACTGTTCTTAACCTGAAGCACCACTTTAGCTAATGGGGCCTCCTGCTGCTGCCGCACCGCTGGAGCACAATTTCTGTTCTCATCCTGAAGCAAAGTTCTTAACCCGAGGTACTATTTCTGGGTTAGCGGAGTCTGTAACCTGAAGCATATGTAACCTGAAGCGTATGTAACCCGAGGTACCACTGTAATTTATTATTTATACATCACCCATCTGGACAGGCCTCCCAAGCCACTCTGGGCAGCTCCCAACAGAATATTAAAAACACGATAAAACATCAAACATTAAAAACTTCCCTGAACAGGGCTGGCTTCAGATGTCTTCTAAAAATCAGAGTTGTTTATTTCTTTGACAACTGATGGGAGGGCGTTCCATAGGGCAAACGCCACTATTGAGAAGGCCCTCTGCCTGGTTCCCTGTAACTTTGCTTCTCTCAGTGAGGGAACCACCAGAAGGCCCTCGGAGCTGAACCTCAGTGTCCGGGCAGAACGATGGGGGTGGAGACGCTCCTTCAGGTATACAAGGTTGAGGGTGTTTAGGGCTTTAAAGGTCAGCACCAACACTTTGAATTGTGCTCAGAAATGTACTGAGAGCCATTGTAGTTAAGTACTTCCTCTGGCTGCTTGTCACTCTCCACTAATCCAGCAAGTGGTAGACTTTCCTGCACCATGGCAGGGCTGGTGGCTGCAGTACCACGCATCTGTCAAAATGATGTTAAACTGGCGCTGTAGCACAGTATCTTTGGCAGTGATTCACCCTTTTGAACCTTTCCACAACCATAGATTTATGAGGTGACATCTGCCCACTACCTGCAATATGGGCTTGATTTTTTTATTTTTTTTTTTTAAATGGCTCCTAATCCAGAGTTGCTTTTAGGAGGAGAATACGTACTGTGCACATTGAGCAGTCAAAAAAGGGCATATGAATGGTGGTTTTTTGTTTTTGTTTTAAACTACCATTCAATTAGGGACACGGGTGGTGCTGTGGGTTAAACCACAGAGCCTAGGACTTGACGATCAGAAGATCGGCAGTTCAAATCCCCACGACGGGGTGAGCTCCTGTTTCTTGGTCCCTGCTCCTGCCAATCTAGCAGTTCGAAAGCACATCAAAGTGCAAGGAGATAAATAGGTACCGCTCCAGCGGGAAGGTAAATGGTGTTTCCATACACTGCTCTGGTTCACCAGAAGTGGCTTAGACATGCTGGCCACATGACCCGGAAGCTGTATGCCGGCTCCCTCGGCCAATAAAGCGAGATGAGTGCCGCAATCCCAGAGTCGGCCACGACTGGACCTAATGATCAGGGGTCACTTTATCTTACCTTTACTATTCAATTATTGATGGTGAGGGACAAGCAGTTGATCACACATGCTTGCCGGCTGAGGAGGATGAACAAAATGGCCACCACACGTTGGAACTCTTCTGAAATCTTTGTTTTTATTATTGGACACGCCGTGGAGTGTTCAAGCCACAACACAAAGACAGAACAGAGGCCAGTCAACATGGACGCAGAAGACGGAACGGCGGCTCATCACTGGACCAGCCAGGTGAGGTGAACGAAGAGCAGGCCGACCTGCTTTTTGGGCCAGACGAGACATTAAAGACAACCAGCACACAGAAAGGAGGGGCAGACAACAAGACAGGACACCAATCTGGATCTGTTGGGCAAGAAATCTTCAGGAAGGGGCAGAGAGGGAGGAGCGAATAACGGGGAATAAATTAAAGCTCCCCCTCCTATGCAGCGATTATCAAAACCCTTTCAGGAAGTATCTCTTAAAATAAAATAGAAGATCAAAGCTGAAAAGTGAGGCTCAGTTTCCAACAGTGTGCAAACCCCACCCTCTCCCAGCAAGGAAGGGAACCAAAGTGCTTTGTAGACACTCAGTTAATGATGCCGCCCACTTCAGACCCACGTAAATGGTGAGGCTGGGCCAGTAAACAAGAAAAAAGCAGGAAAAGGTTATGACCACCTCGGGGTGAGTTGGGCAGCACAGTGGTGAACTGCAGTAAAAGAACATAGAGTCTGGACGCTAAAAATATATAAAGCTGTGATGTCCCTAGGCTGCCCTGCATCCAGATTGGGAATTCAGAGAACTGAGGGCTGCTTCACATGTTGCATTTCTCCACTTTGGCAGTAGATGTTCGTTTTCGTAACGCTGGGAAAGCTCAGACAGGTTTGCAGGATATAGGAGCATGGATGATGGTCCTAGGAGTTCTGCATGATGGTCTCATACTTGTGCCTGTACTTTGTAACTTCATAAAGACATGCAGCATTTTCCAGTTACAGTACTTCCCGAAACAGAGTTTGAAAACTGGGTGGGGGATGAAACCAGGAACAAAAACCATAAAATTGGAAAGCTAGGTGTGAACGGAGCCATTGGACTGAGCTTGCAACACCTTGTAACCCACCAAGCCAAATTAACCATGTGTACTGCAACCCCTCCGGGGTTCAATAAACTTGGAAATGCAACGATAGCAGGGACTGTCAAGCACTCGCTGGTCTTCATTGGCTTGGTGGGCCACAACTGGTGTGGGCCTGCTCTAGACTCAGCCAGAACTTCCTCCTTTCTTCCCTCCCTTCAAAACAGGACCCGAGCCTCAGGATAGTCTATATTCCTCTTGCCACAGCTGAGAAAGAGATCGGATATATGTTTTGCTCCCACGATACACACACACCTCTACATTCAATCATAATCGAGGCAGCTTTGAATATCACAAGTTCTGATAGACCCTGACCTGATGCTGAGGTACAAATTTCTGCAAAGGATTGTGGGAGTGTCAGTGTTTCCCCACTCCCTCTTTTTTTAAATTATTGCTTCAAATGCTGAAGGACAGTGGGGAGGAGGAGGAGGAGGAGAACGGCTTACAATCCTAGCAAATAGGGAGGGAAGGAGATACCAGAGGGGGTGATGAAGGGAAACAAAACACACATAAACACAATGTCCTGATTCAATGCTATAAGCCCCAACAGTGGCCCAGAACTCAGAGGACTTTCTTAAGGCGTGGGAAAAAGTCCTGGAGTCTCCGCCATACCAGGTATCTCTGGCTCAGAGTGACATTAACCCGATTCCCGTCCTACAGCCGCCTTGCAGGGAGAAAGAGAGTTGCCTCAGAGGGCTACCACAGCTTCACATATAATCTGCTCCTGGAGCAGGAATTCCTAACTTAGGCCAGGCTTTACCTCAGAACAACCACCGGGAGCGACTTGAAAACAACCAAAAAAACAGGAGGGGAGGGAGGGCGCGACCAGCCACCCCCCAGAAGGAAACTACTAGGTAGTCGAAGGACCCAAAACATCCGGTATCCAGGCTTCGCTGTGCAAACACCCACTCCGCGCTGGAGCACACATTTGCCACTGTTCTCTGAGCAAAAGGCAGGCTTCGAAAATTTAAAGAGCGGTTTCCCATTTTCAAGTTGCTTAAGGGGGCATCCAGTCTCGCTGCTTCTGCCCCGGAGCCGATTTGCGACTCGGCGGGTGTTAAAGTGCTTCCTGTCGGCATCCGCAGCAACCCAAGGCTCCACACCAAGGTCTGCCTAGCCAGCAGGCAGCAGTTTTGAGGAGGCGAGACGGTCGCCTTCCTCAAGTGTGCGAGGGGGGTAGGGCTGCTTTGGAAGTGCATGGCGCAACACCGAAAGGCGTCCTTCCGCTTCACGAGGTGCTGGTAATCCCAGGATTGCATGCCTTGATCACCTTTGTGCTTATCTAGCAGGGGGTCCTTGCTGTCTGGTCTCCTAACCCCCCCCCCCGCTGCTTTGGGAAATGGCAGGCAGGCACAGCCGCTCCTGCGGTTGCTAACCGCTACCACAAGACGGCGCTGTCCATATTGCTGAAGCCAGGCTCCGCCCTCAACTTCCAGTAGCTGCTGTTGGTTAACCAGGATTCTTTGCCATTTGCATCCACTTGCCGCCTGCCAGGAAGAAGGAAGAAGAAAAGGAGCCCATTAGAAGTCAGGGTTAACAGTTTGGCGAAGGGAGATGCATCTGGAGCCACTACCAATTCATTTTTCAAAGGCAGGGCATGTTTTGATTCACCCCTCGGAAGCAGGGAACTAGGTTGTTGAAGGGATGCAACCTATGGTGAGTGTGTGTAGTCTATATGCTTACAAAAATAAGTAAGAAACATGTACCAAAAAAGGATGAATCCCGCAATCTGTATATAGATGCAAATCAAGGAAGACTACATGTTTAATTTTAATTTTGCATCCTCTGCTCTGCTTCTATAAATGGCAAGGAGACTCGAGTTCCACCTCCTCACAACAGGACACTTTGCTTCACCAACCATGGTTAACTCCTGGTTTGCTAAATAAACCACAGCTTACATGAACCATGGGTTGGCGTTTATGTAAAAACCTGGCCATAGGCTCCACGGAGGAAGAAACAACAGGAAGCAAAGGAGGAAGCACCTGAAGAAGCGCGCCTGATGAAGAATGTTGTTGTCCTCCATCACCCGACGCCGGTCTCGCTGCAACTGCTCGATTCGCCGCTTCTGCGACTCTGCGGCCTGCACATTTCCCTCTTCTAGGTACCTGGAGAAGTGGGGAGGAGAAGGGCGCCAAACCCAGTCATATTCATTTCCTTTTCATATCAAAAATTTGTGTGTGCACGTCTATGGGGTGTAAATGGCAGCCAGGATATGCAGGAAAGCTTACGATGGCCTTGCGTTTTTTATGTTCGCTCATTTCCCTAATTTTTGTGTATATCAGCTTTAGCATGGATGCTGCAAAAACGGGGATTTCTATGAACAGAAGCTGCCTTGAACACCTTACCAGCAGAAAAGTAGGCTATCTGAAACAAAAGAGGAAAAGACAGTCCCCAATGGCTTTCCTGCCCTCACCTTTGGTCAGGCCTCAGGCGCGTATCTGTGGAGGGAAGGAGACGCTTGAGCTCCGGCGTTAACTCGTTGAGCTCCAAGGCAAACTGAGTGAAACCATAGTTCTTCTCGAAGTCTCGAGGCATGGGGTCTGGAAGTGGCAGGGGAGACAAAGGCAGAGAGAGAAAGATTTCAGAAGATCAGGTGCCCACCACCCACTTACTCTGACAGGTTGATCCTACCTAAATCTCTCAAAAGCTGTGGATTGTATTGGTTGCTGGTCATGCAAAGTGGCCTGAGATGAGAGTGGGGACCGGTTGCTGAATTTACATAGGCCTGCCCAAAAGGTTCTTCTTGCCAGAATAAGCACCCTTTTCACTATTGTTTGCTTTGTTGCTTTGTGGCCCAGAGTTAGTCGAAAAGAGTTTGTTTTTATTTTCTGCCTGCCTCAAAGGTTGTATCCCACGTTCTCAAAGTCATGCACTATCACATAGCTCTGTTTCCAGACAATAGCTGCCCTGGTCTGTTGCATATTTATGTTCCCACATTCATCCTCGAACGTTCCAGGCACGTTAAGCAAGGCAAGCTTTCCTGTTTCCTTAGAATGGGGTATGTTGGTTGCTAGACAAGCAAACAGGTCTGAGGTGAGGGAGGGGATTAGGACAACGGCTGCTGATGTCACAAAGGATTCTATGCTTCCCAGAAGAACAGGAAGACTTCTTTCTTGCAGTTCCTTTCTGTTATGGACCAATGCAATAATTGCTATTCATTGATTCCTATGCAGTTCTTATGAGATGTGGGTGTTAAGGAACTGGGAGCTCAAAGGAAAGGTCCCCCAACAAAGTCTATTACTTTCCTCACCTCCTCAGATTCCAGGCTATCACTCCCACTCAGACGGCAAAAGTGGTTCAGGAAAAGATGGGCAAACAGATTAACAGATGCATGGAAGAATGCTATACACGATAAGGATCCATTTGATGGTGGCTCTTGCACAGTTTCCATTCCTTTCAATAGGGCTTCCCCAGGAGAACACCTTAGTGATTTGCGCTCCATGGGTCAGATCAGCTGGCTATCCTTAACGGCCCCCAAATTATGTCGCCAAAGATGTCTGCTTCACGGTAGGGCAGCCTTGGGCTACTTGGACCCTACCCAGCAACAATCCCTCCCACAGCTTCCACACCTTTAGAAGCCATATTTACATGTACTTCCGAGCTTCAGCAACAATAGCTAGAAAATTGATAAATTTGATCTCTGGTTTCAAACTAAGACCAAACACCACCCGCATTGGAAATCCAGGTTCCGCGAGTTTCCACAAAGAATTGTGGAATTGTTGCATTCTTGGGACTGTAGCATTTCAGAACGGACTCATCAACCCTTGTGGGGCAAGACCTACAGGAGCACCAGTAACTGCCAATTTCCCCCATTGCCCCGGTGCAAGCAGTTCCTTACTGGGCCTCCAGATGCACTTGCCGACAGGGGCCACGCCGCGATACAACCCGTCGTGCCACTTCCCGAAGAGCCGGTGGATAACCTTGCCGCTATGGCTGAAAATGGCGCCCTGCACCTCGTTGACCCCGGAACCCCAGTACCGCGCCTGCCAGAGAGGGGAGGGTGCGGTTAGAGCAGGGAGGAGGGCTCCACACAATCAGGTGTCAATGCAGGCAGGAACAGGGTGTGATGAATAGGGCTGGAAGGAGAGATTGAAGGGTGGGAGGGCAGGGAGAAACCTGGGAGTAAAAGGGAGGGAATCAATTTAGGGGTCAGGCATTGGTGTAAGAATTAAAAGGGCTCCAGAGCAGGGAGGGGAATTTCAGGATGGTTAGAGAGACACAGGCCTGGTTTGCACTTTAAACCATAGTTAAGCTTAGGTAAAGGTAAAGGGACCCCCTGATCATTAGGTCCAGTCGTGACCGACTCTGGGGTTGCGGTGCTCTTCTCGCTTTATTGGCCGGGGGAGCCGGCGTACAGCTTCAGGGTCATGTGACCAGCATGATTAAGCCACTTCTGGCGAACCAGAGCAGCACACGGAAACGGCGTTTACCTTCCCGCCGGAGCGGTACCTATTTATCTACTTGCACTTTGATGTGCTTTCAAACTGCTAGGTTGGCAGGAGCAGGGACTGAGCAACGGGAGCTCACCCCACTGCGGGGATTTGAACCGCCGACCTTCTGATTGGCAAGCCCTAGGCTCAGTGGTTTAACCCACAGCGCCACCCGTGTCCCATAGTTAAGCTTAACCATGGTTTAAAGGTGGAACATGCAGCATTCTGATGCATAGATGCAAATCGCGGCCACTTTACACCTTCCCTGCTTCTGCAGTGCTAAGAGCCAGGCTATGGTTTGGATTAGCATCACTTACAAACCTGGAATCATGGTTTGTTTCTCTTCAAACAACCAAGGTTTTCTTATTTAGTTTACTGCTCACGGTTTGTTTGGAGGAAACAAACCAGAAGCCCCGGTTCAAACCTAATGCTAAGCCAAACCATAGGTTAAATCTCAGCAACGTGGCAGCAGAAGGAGTAAAGCAGCTGTTATCTTTGCCATATGCACCATCAAGCTGCTTCTTCATCTTTAAACCATGGTTAAGGTTAACCAAGGTTTAAAGTGATCTCTGAATGCTGCCGCAGAGTGAAGAATCTCCAGTAACGGGGCGGGGAGAGAAGGGGGAAAGAGACTGAAAGCTCAAAAAAGATGGAGTGAGGAGTGCAGAATGAAGACACTGTGCAGCAAGGGTGAGGCAGTCCAAGGGGAAGAACCCACAAGATGTGCCAGGATAGAGGGAGAGGCACCAGAGGGCAGGGCTGCAGCTCTGTGGCCCATGTTCAATCCTGGGTATCTCCAGGTTTGGCTGAGAAAGACCAACGCCCCAAACCCCATGAAGTCATTGCCAGTCCATATGTAGACAAGACTGAGCTGGGATGGGCAAGAGTGCCTGACTCAGTATATCACAGCTTTGAATGTTCAAATTCAGATGCCAGAGGCTGGGTTCAGAGCCAAGATGGGTGGGATTTGATTGAAGGTACCAGAGGAAGGGGCAAGCACAGATCAGAAGGAGCAGGGGGGTGAGGGAAGAACGCAGACAAAACAGTCCGGGGTCAGAACCTACCTTGCAGAAGGTGATCTTGCAGTGGTAGGTGCTGTCTCTCGTGTTCCGGATCAGCACCTCGCCGTAGTGCTCGATCCAGCGCTGCCCACTCAAGATATTGTGGATGCAGGAAGTCACCTTGTTCCATTCGTAGTGATCCCCAAACCTTTCGTTGGTAGAAAGAAAGAAAGGGGGATCCAGGGTCTGGAGGTGGGTGGGAAATCCACCAAGGATCAAAGGGGCAGGAAACAGGATGGGCGACTCACCTGGGAAGCTGGACGTTCACTGTACCCACGGGGATTATCTCCAAGGATTTGCCCCAGAATTTATTTTTCCACTTCATGTCTAAGCAAAACAAAATATTGGGGGGGGGGGATAGAGAGAGAGAGAGAAATATGAAAAGTGAGGTCACACTAATTATGTCTTTGGGAGGTAAACCAAATTGTGAAGTGGGGTGGTGACTGCAGCACAGATTATGAGCCTACTCTAAAGGCATTCTTCTAGGACAGTGTTTCCCAAACTTGGGTCTCCAGCTTTTTTTGAACTACAATTCCCATCATCCTCGACCACTGGTCCTGCTAGCTATGGATGATGGGAGATGTAGTCCGAAAACAGATGGACACCCAAGTTTGGGAAACACTGTTCTAAGGGGGAGAGAGAGAGAGAGAGAGAGAGAGAGAGAGAGAGAGAGAAAGAAAGAAAGAAAGAAAGAAAGAAAGAAAGAAAGAAAGAAAGAGAATCCAATGCTATGGCCAATGGTATCTGCAAGTTGACTTTTCTGACAGAGCCCATCCTGGCCTCCTATTGTCAAATGCAAAGAGGTTTTTGCTTGAGTCCATGTGTGGGGAACCTTCAGCCCTCCAGATCTTCCTGAACTACAACAGCCATAATCCCCTATTAAGCAGGGCCAAGATGTAGTTCAGCAAAATAAGGAGGGTCACAGGTTCCCCACACATGCTTTTGTTTATCAGTGAGGAAGGGACACATGCTCAGAAAACACTCTTTCATGTTCAAGAGCTGACCCCCCCAAATGTTTTAAAATCTGATTTGGGACGGAACTCTGTTGACAACCTGGAATGGTCTTTTTGACCCAATAAACAAAGCACACACTTTCTCCCCACCCCCAAAGAGAGCTCCTGGGTGCTATTTTCTTTTTCCCCTGCACACTCCTTCCAGGCATGTATTTGCTTTTACCTTGAAGCCTCACCTTGCCAGAATACGAAGTTGTCAGACTCTGCGTGGCAAGCCGAAACAGGAGGATGGTGGCAGACCTGCAGTTTGGGGGGGGGCAGGAGGAAGATAATAAGCCATCCGCGTTTCAGGGGTGGGCAACTTCAAAAAGTGTGCCATTTCCAAAAAAAGGAACTGTTTTTTCTTTCTTTCTGCCCACTTAAATTTCAGAGAAATTGGCGGAAATTCAGGTCATGACAGCACTCTTAAATTGGGGTTTGTGGTTTAACAGGATTTAAGGAATACAAATGTTCTCTGGATTGCACATTAAACATCCAGAGCAACAGATTTAATTTGTGTACCCACACCTGTATACTCTGCATCCAATGTGCTCCCATCGTAGGTTTAAGGACTGTACACACGATGATAGCCACAATCCATATCTATCCTTGAGTTTCTGAGGAAATTCTGCATTAGGATGCATTCCCGCCCTCCGCCCCCAAACCAGCGTGGATCTAAATTGAGGAAGAAAGAAAAAACTAGCTGCGTTTTAAGCTGGTAATATGTATGCAGCCTTAGGCCTTAGGTGGGCCTAAACACCTGGCATAAGTTACCTCACAGGATTCTTATGAGGATAAAAACGGGGTGGGCACTTGTATGTTCCTTGAAGGAAGTGCCTGGCAAATAAAAATTCAATTGAAAAATCCTGGGCCCAGTGAACTGCTGCCGATGGAAACCACAATCTCTCTGTAGGTTTTATTTCAACTCCTGATAGCCCCAGGTAAAGGTAAAGGTAAAGGTACCCCTGCCCGTACGGGCCAGTCTTGCCAGATTCTAGGGTTGTGCGCTCATCTCACTCTATAGGCCGGGAGCCAGCGCTGTCCGCAGACACTTCCGGGTCACGTGGCCAGCGTGACAAGCTGCATCTGGCGAGCCAGCGCAACACACGGAACGCCGTTTACCTGACTGCTGGTAAGCGGTCCCTATTTATCTACTTGCAACCGGAGGTGCTTTTGAACTGCTAGGTTGGCAGGCGCTGGGACCGAACGACGGGAGCGCACCCCGCCGCGGGGATTCGAACCGCTGACCATGCGATCGGCAAGTCCTAGGCGCTGAGGTTTTACCCACAGTGCCACCCGCGTGCCTTCCGGATAGCCCCAAGTGGCTATCAAAGATGCTCACAAAATATCCTCAAAATAAAAGATCACATCCCAGTTTGGTGTCAAGAACAGAAATAACACAGCACCCCATATGGTGCCATGATTATTCCAAGTGGCATTTTCTGCCCTCGCCCTTCCTTCTCCGTGGCCTCTGCCCACTAGGCAGCACTGTCTACTGAGGACCTCTGAGGGACCTCAGCCCAAGATGGAGCCCCAAGTCTTCAAGTCTGAGTCAGCGCCAGGATACAAAGGGCTTGGTCCACACTTCCACTTGCCCCATGTCTAGAAAGCAGGGGTCCCATCTGTTTCCCACTTCTCTTGTTCCTTCTAGACATGGGCCTGAACAGTTTGCCTTTCCCCCAGCCACTTTCCCTTGGAAAACACATTCTTCGGCGCTAAATCGGAGCCAACGTCAATCTGGATAAAACTCAATTGACATTTGCTCTGATTTGGCGGGTTTTCCCTGGGGACAAGCAGGAGTGTGGAGGAGTCCTAATTTACTTTTGTCCCACCCATGCCCCTCTCTCAGCACCATTCATCCTCTCCTTCCTTCCTAAGCTAAAAAAGCAAAGTCCTGATCCCTTTCGCTACTCCGTGAGAAACACCCGCCCAACCCCTCTGGACCTGTAAGCCTGAGGCACCTGCCATATTGCTTGGTGGATGAGTGCTCCCCTTTCTCGACTGCCCTGCCTGCCTGCCTGCCTGCCCCCCTCCCTCTGCTCTCTCCAGCTCCTTACCTGTTCACTTATGAAACGAAAGCCCTTGTCTGGCCGGATGCACTCATACGTTTCTCCAAGCACGGGGTTGAATGGCTTGCTGCCGGCACGGTAGTACGTTGAGGCATAAGCCGATACAGCGAAGGCAGCCATGCAGATCTATGGGAAGGGAAGGGAGATAAATATTAGGGGAAGAGAAAGGTGGGAGTGGGGGACAACACATAACCAGCTGAGAAAGTACTGCGATTGTAAAGGCCAAGGGAAAGGACGATCACTGGGTTTAAAGCTGACCGAAAATCCAGAGGTAGTAGCGTTATTATCAATTTACAATGGTGTAGAAGGTTCACAGACTATGAAGGAACTTGCTCACAAATTTATCGACAGCTGCGTGAATTATGATAGCTAGGAAGGGGCAAGCAGAATATAAAATGGAAGGGTGGTATAGAGAGGTGTGTGCCGTAAGACGGCAAATATGCAGGAGAAATTATTTCGAGGAGATGTGGAAGGTGTTTGTAGGATTTGTACTGTTACAACGTAAAGGGGTCAAACCATTGCAAGATGTGTTGAAATTTTGGGAGGTTGGATAGTTACAATGGAAAGGTCTTGGTGGTGGCGTGCACATTTTTATTCTTATTTATTTATGATTATTACTTTGCCTAAAATAAATAAATAAATAAAGTCGTCCCCCCCCCCAAAAGGGAAAGGACGACAATGTTCTGCCAATCTTATTGCAGACTTTGCCTTTCCAAAGGGGGTGGGTTCAATCTCAGGACAAGTAAGAAGATTCAGACCAAAGGGATGAAAGAGGCCAAATGTAGGCCTTCGATCTGGCCCTCAGGACTCTCCCTGGGCCACACCTGTCGCTGCCCCCAATTTGCGCCTGCCTTGAAGCCTTTTATATTTGGCCTGCCTGGAATGTGACCTCCAATTCTCTTTTTCCCCACCAAGAGCTGGTTCCCCAGGGGATACACACGGATGACCTTCTCGCCTGACCAACACAACCCCTGTTCCAAGATGGCGGCCTGGTTAAGGAAATAAAGAGGGCGAGGCCATATACCAATCTTTCACAGGGGTCCAGGTTGCGGCTGGCCGCATCCAGCAGGGCACTGTACTCAAGTTCTTCGCAGAGGCGCTGCAGCGTGTTGAGGGGCTCGTTCAGCTGAACCGGCATGGAGACCTTGGAGAGATCCTTGCCGATGTTGTTGCGGAGGATGTTCCAGACGCTGACGTCGCTGGCGTGGACGTGGGAGGCCGGGAGGCAGTTCCGTCGGATGATCCCGGGACCCGGCCCAGGGAGGTACAAAGGAAGAGGCACTGGCAGGCTGAGGCTCATCTCAGAGGTGTCCCCAACACAGGGAATGGCGCCTGGGCCTGTAGGGAGGGACAGAAGCAGTTCCTGTCAGGTCTTAAAAGAGACCCTACGCCTGGCTGTGAAACTGAGAGGCAAAACCCGGTGATGGCTGAAGAAACATATTTACTGTTGTCGCTCTTCGGAATACGAAACCCCTGCTTCGGGACATTTCATCGCCTCAGAGCCAGGAAACACCCTGTTTTGCAAACCTGAATTCAAAAACCCAGTTTTGTCTCTGCAGTGATTCGTGACAAAGAGCTTGCCTCCTCCTTGTCTGACTCATCGCGGTGCTTCTACCACCTCTTCCTGCGCATTTGAGATTAGGAGCCAGAAATCAGTCTCCTCCAGGCAGGGACTTTTAGATATTTCCTCTCTGTCTAGTTTGCCCACGACGTGGGTGTATGAGGCTTCTGTGTTACAAGAAGCACAGCCCCAAACTCTGAGGGCCGCTCCCCACTCCCTGCAAAGAAGCCAAACACGGCCCATTTTATACACAATTTCCGCACAAAGAGCCCTTGTGAACTACATGACCCAAATTTGTATTTCTGCGTGTTTAATTTGAATTCAATTGCATTGTCTTTCTTTACTGTTGTGTTATTGAACTAGATGTTGCTGCTAAGATAAATAAAAAAATTTAAAATGTTAAATGTCTAGCATTTTGTTTCCAGCAGCGGTCAGTCAGATGCTTCTATGAAGGTCACAGGAAGAATAGGATGCAATACTTTTTCCTTGCTGTGCTGAATGCCAGCTTCTGATATTCAGAAGTATAGTGGCTCTGAATATGAAAGCTCCACAAAGTGGATAACAGTTAGGGATAGACACACACACACACACACACACACACACACACACACACACATCCTCCAAGGGTTTGTTCTTTCGCTTTTAAAGCCATCTAACCTAGCAGCTAAGGGACGCGGGTGGCGCTGTGGGTTAAACCACAGAGCCTAGGATTTGCCAATCAGAAGGTTGGTGGTTCAAATCCCCATGACGGGGTGAGCTCCTGTTGCTCGGTCCCTGCTCCTGCCAACCTAGCAGTTCGAAAGCACGTCAAAGTGCAAGTAGATAAATAGGTACCGCTCTGGCGGGAAGGTAAATGACGTTTCCGTGCACTGCTCTGGTTTGCCAGAAGCGGCTTAGTCATGCTGGCCACATGACCCGGAAGCTGTACACTGGCTCTCTCGACCAATAAAGCGAGATGAGTGCCGCAACCCCAGAGTCAGTCACGACTGGACCTAGTGGTCAGGGGTCCCTTTACCTTTACTTAACCTAGCAGCTAACGGCACACCTTGTGATAGTGCAGGAGTGGGAAGCTTGCAGCCCCCTGACTCGCTTCATGACAGTGGGAAGGTGCATGACAGGGAAGGAGGAAGGCAAGATGGAGACAAATTAGGGTGCTAGGAAGGGAGAGTCAAAATGGGGGGAGAGATGGGGAAAGAGATGGGGGGAGAGTGGGGGGGGAGGAAGCCCCCTCTGCTAGTGATCAGATCACTCAGGCAAGAGGGATCTGTGTGCTCTCCCCACCCACCCTTAGCAGCCCACGGGGTGTGGAGGAAGAGGGAGGGAGAGAGAAAGTGGTGGCTGAGAAAAAGAAAGCAATAAATGAGGCTGGGGCAGGGGGAGAAAAGGGGTCCCCACCCACTTTCAGCTCTGGCTGCACTCAATTCTAGCATCAGCCCCACCCTGCTCCCAGTTATCCCCTAGGAATGTTGCTCTCGACAGCCCTGTGGAAGTGAAACCCAAAATGTCAGTCATGTGTTATGTGAATGGTTTTTCCCCCCCTTGGTGCCTATTCCAACTCTTGTACTATTACTATTTTGTATAGTACTCTGGGAGGTCGGCATACACTTAAGGACGGCAGGCGACATTTATAAAAAGGATGGATTACCTCCATCTCCTTGCTCTTTAGTGCCCTCCAGATGTTGTTCGCCTACAACTCCCATCAGCCCCAACGAGCAAGGACATTTGTCGAGGATGATGGGAGTTGTCGTCCACAGGTTCCCTGCCCCTGATTTATCCCCTCCCCTAGTAGCAGCTCTGTTCTGTAGCTCCTCCTCTGCAAGTACACACACCCTGATCACCTCCTGGAACAAGTACCTTTGAGACAACGCCCTGGTCCTCCCGCCATGTCTGTGGCTTCCTCCAAGATGCTGTTAGTCACCTCGCTGATGCAGGACTCGTCGTCTGTGGCCTGGAGGAGCAACAGAGGTTACACAGGCCAAGGGAAGTGGTGGGCTTGCCAGGAAAGAGGAATGACGGGGAAGAGGAGGTGGTGGCTGTGTTGTGTTTAAATGGAATCAGAGGCAGGACAAAAGGCTAGGACTTAGGCAAGGGGCATGGAATCCAATGCAACTTTCCTGTGTGGGCAAGGTGGACGGAGGCAGATCTTATATAAAAAGGCCCAGCAAAAATCCAACAGGGATGCTTTTGGAAAATGGCGTCAGGGTGGACTGACAGCACAGATTTAGTCAGCGCAATCTCCATTCTCCTTCCCAATCAAGTTTCAAAGCAGGAGTGGTGAGCCTTTGTCCCTCCAGATGTTGCTGTACTACAACTCCCATCATCCCATGCTTGATGGGGGCTGATGGGAATTGTAGTCCAGAAACACCTGGAGGAACAAAGGTTCTTCACTTTAAAGGGAGAGGCTGCTGGGAAGTCCCAGAGCCTTTTGGCCCTATAGCGAAAATTTGACCCTGAAATTCATCCCCAGCAAAATGACTGAACCTGGAAGCCAGAGAGGATATGTGGGAAGACTGCTTCTCCCATGAAGTGTAGGATAGAAGGAGAGACAGAGGACAAAGAAGAGAGAAAGATTTCACAGGATTCTCCACATTGCAGAGACAGTAAGGACTGTGACACAGAACTCTTCGAAGCAATCGAAAGAAGAAGTCACGAGTTGAGGCCGTGGACATCAAAGGAATAGCAAGTTGGAAAAGCCCAGCCATCTCCTCAGATGCCTTCAAGACTCATGGGAAGAGCTGCATGCAAGCAGGGGGTTGTGAAATTCAATACCATAGTGCTCCTGAGTCTCTCAATTTGAAGCAGGAACCTAGAGTTGTGTCCGAAAGAGAAAAGGTGGTAGAAAAGGAGGAGGAGAGGCCTAAGAGAACACATTGTAGAACTGGACTAAGCCTGGACCTTCTAGTAGGAAGAGGGAGCGAAGAGAAAGAGACTGAACATAAAAGATCTGGGCAGGTGTATATGAGGAGCTGGGGTGGGAATAGGCCACTGGGGGGGATTGGGGGGGACAGCAGCTGCTAGGCGGGGGGGAGTGGCTTTGCTGCTGGCTAATTCACAAAAGGATGAGAGAGAGAGAAAAAAAGACGACAGTGAAGACACAGATATGGAGCGTGTGACACAAGATCATACCCTGAAAAGCTAGATTAAAATCTAAATCCAATTTATTTACCATTCCCACTGCTTTTTTAAAAAGAAATCCTGCCAAGGCCTATCTTTTAAAAAATGAATCACTCACCAACAGTTGTTTATAAGAATATGAGCTCAGATGTGCAGGAAGTTAACTGGGCAACATTATTGTGCATTTTCTTGTGGTTGCTGGTTATTTTTTCTTTCTTTTTTAAAATATTTTTATTAGTTTTCCATTAAAAACAAATCCAATCCAATCATAATCCAAATCAAGGAAAAAAGCACACACAAAAATCAAATTACAATCTGAATTATTGTGGGAGGCAGCCATTTCCCACAGCAGGAAGCTGGAAGCCCTATTTAAAGGTTGCTGGTTGTTTTTGCAGGCATCAGCAGGTAGAGACACTGACCTTATTCACACTTACCTTTCCTTCACTTTTTCCAGGCGCAGCCTGCTCTTTAAAGCTCTGTGTCTAAGCATTTTTCATGCTCCAGAGCTTTCCCTGCAAAAACCCACTCTTTAGCTCCCAACCAGAGCAAACGTCCATCTGCGGAAACCCCGAATTGACGTTTGCTCTGATTGAGCGCTAAAGGGTGGGTTTTCTACTGAAACAACCACTCTCTCCTAACGGCCTGTAAGAACACCTTGCAATTAATCTGCAGCAGGGAAGATTATGCTGGGATCAGCTATAATTTCACCTGTTGATGTGTGTCGCCATAAATGCTGGGTTTCGACCATTTGCTCTCAGTTACCACAATCATTTTGTTTACTTATATGGGGAACCCGTGTACCTCCAGATGATGGAAGCTGTAGCCCGGGAACAACTAGTGGGCCACAGATTCCTGTTTTAAAGACTCCCCCCCATAAATGGCTACATCCACCAACCTCGTTCTCAGATGAGCTGGCCGACAGGAAAACCTCGCAGGCATCGAAGAACTCCGTGTGCGAGTCGGAGAGAGATACGATGCTGCGATTGGAGAGCTGCTGCTCCTGACCTTTAACCAACAGGGCATCCGGCTAGAGGGCAGAGAAAGAAAAAAAATGTCGCCAAGAGATCCAGTCAAAGGTGACTATGGGGTTGCGGCGCTCATCTCGCTTTCAGGCCGAGGGAGCCGGCGTTTGTCCATAGACAGCTTTTGGGGTCATGTGGCCAGCAAGACTAAGCCGCTTCTGGAGCAACGGGACACCATGACGGAAACCAGAGCACACGGAAACATTTACCTTCCCGCCACAGCAGAACCTACTTATCTACTTGCACTGGCGTGCTTTCGAACTGCTAGGTTGGCAGGAGCTGGGACAGAGCAACAGGAGCTCACCCTGTCACAGGGATTCGAACCGCCAACCTTCTGATCGGCAAGCCCAAGAGGCTCAGTGGTTTAGACCACAGCGCCACCCACATCCCTTAACCTGAAAGTATCACGGCCAATAGCTGTGGATGAACCTCACCTCCCTTACCTCCCATGAATCTCTCTATAGTCCTTTTTAAAAATCTAACATCCAGCCTAATGGCCAGAGTCACAACCTGTGTAAGTAATTAAGTAATAAAAGTAACCGCTTTTAGTGGTTTGGAAGGGATCAGCCTGCCTTAGGGACTCAGGAGTTTGTCTGGTCTGTTTATTTTGCAGTGGATCAGCCCAATCCATCACTCCTGAACTTGATTCCAAATTGGACTACAAAGGCTCATCTCCACACGAATTGCATACAATTTAAATGCAGGCTTTTTTTTCTTTCCGAAAACTTACACGCAACACGACGGAACAGATCTATGACCGACCACTAGTGAAACTCAAAACAGGATGGAATATGGCTGCTTAGTTCATCTCTGGGTTTGCCTGCTTGGAGCTCTCTGCAATACTCTCTGATCAGGTTAAGAGCTTGCAGCAGACTTTGCCAACCTGGTGCCCTCCAGTCGTTTTGGACTAAGACTCCTATCAGCCCCAGCTAGCATGTAGCGGCACACATTTTCTCCGCTGTAAAGAAAAGGACAGTTTACCTCATCAGGGTTAAATGAGGCAAAAGAGTCCAGGGTTGTGTCCGAGGAGATGGAGAGAGAATGGAAACGGCGTATACATTCCATATTGTCCAGGGTCTGCAGAGAAGCCAGGAAGGGGAAAGGAGGAATTTAGAGAGGGCCGCGAAATGTAGATAAAGAAATTGCCCTGTAGAGCATCATAGACCAGGCAATGCTTAAATTTCTCAAACATGAGGTACCAGCGCTCAAAACCACCAGAAAGATACGGAACCCCTCCAAACTGGGGTTTGTTGGTTTTGGGGGTGTATCCTGCAACATGTCATTGATGCAATAACAGTAAATTATTATCTGTTATCTACAGGTGGCGACCATTTTAGGTGCATCCTATTGATGTGCAATCGCCGATGCGTGGGTCTTTTTGGACCTGGAAGGAGGCAGAACAGGGGTGGGGCTTACACAGGCTCCACGGAGGCATTTGGGGGACGCAAATTTTATCACATCATTGTCATTTGGAAGGGCACATATGCAATAGGACCCCTGACCATTAGGTCCAGTCGTGACCGACTCTGGGGTTGCGGCGCTCATCTCACTTTATTGGCCGAGGGAGCCGGCGTACAGCTTCCGGGTCATGTGGCCAGCATGACTAAGCCGCTTCTGGCAAACCAGAGCAGAACACAGAAACGTCGTTTACCTTCCCGCTGGAGCAATGCCTACTTATCTACTTGCACTTTGACGTGCTTTCGAACTGCTAGGTGGGCAGGAGCAGGGACCGAGCAACGGGAGCTCACCCCGTCGCGGGGATTCGAACCGCCGACCTTCTGATCGGCAAGTCCTAGGCTCTGTGGTTTAACCCACAGCACCACCTGCTCTTGCAATATAGCGCAACAAAGGTGAGGCAAAAATTAAATAAATTAAGTGGCATGTTTGTGGTGCACTATTTGACAGGGCTTTGGCATGCACCGACTGGAAACAAAAGCAGTATGCCTGCCCCAAAACATTCGCAGGAGCACTGAAAACGGGACCGCTTATACCTGCCTCAATACCATCGTGAGCCCAAATACATCATGAATGCACAACCAAAAACAGACATCTGTGGAGCCCCATATTCTCTATGACTTGGGCATATACTTAAATCAAAGATGGAAAACTTCTTTTGGTCAAGGTTTGCATTCCCCAAGAAGGGCTGGGGGGGGGGGATGGTGCCCAAAGCCACCTGAAGAAGTGGAGGCAGAGCCAGTCAGACTCCCTTTACCTGCCTGAAATTAAGTTCATGCTCTTGACTTTATATACATTCCGTATTTTTCTCTCCATAAGACGCACCTAGTTTTCAGAGGGGGAATGCAAGGGAAAAAATATTTTTAAAGGGAGTGTTGAGCAGAGTCTGTATGCATCCCAGGCTCTGCTCAGCGCTCCCTTTCACGAGCCGTGTGAAGCGTGTGTGTGGCACTTGCAGGCTTTTCCCCAGGAGGGAGAAAAGCCCCCAAGAGCTGCACACACGCTCCACGTGGCTCGTGAAAGGGAGCGCGGCTCTTGGGGGCTTTTCTACGAGGTGGGAGAAGGACAGTGACAGGCTGCCCTTCTCCCACCTCGTAGAAAAGCCCGCAAGAGCCATGCAGAGTGTGGCTTTTCCCGCCTGCATTCGCTCCATAAAACACACACACATTTCCCCTTACTTTTTAGGAGGGAAAAAGTGTGTCTTATGGAGCAAAAAATACGGTACTGTACACTGATTGAGCTATTCTGTGCCAATGCTGCAGTATTCTGCATATGTTGGGTTGCTGTTTTTTTTGGTATAAGCATCTAACTTTTTTTTAAAAAAGTAGTAATAATTCTATACCAGCAAAGTTTCAAAACCAGCAATTGGCGAGCCTGCCAGAGGACAGTGGGAGGAGCCTTACCCCGGCTGCTGCCATGCCGATGCCACCCCCACGACCACCCTGGGCGGAAGACATAGTGGAGCGTTGCAGATCGAGCGTCCGCTGCAGTTCTTGGAGACGGTCTCGCTCCACCGTTAGCACGGCCAGCACGCTGCTGAGGGAGCCATGAACTGGCAAAGGAGGAAAGCAAATGGCAAAGCAGATCCCATCATTCATAAGGAACCGAGCATTCGGTGAGGACTCCGGAATCCTTGGAATGATCAACTTTTGTTTTTAAAGGAAGGAGCTCCAGTTTCTAGCCCTTAAGGCCACCTTGACCAATTTGAAAACAAATGTTTATAACCCAATGAAAACTCAAGAAGTGGAGCGAAGTGTGTGAGCAGAATTGGCAAACAAGGCGTGTGTGTATATATATATGTTTATATAATAATAATAAATTTTATTTATACCCCGCCCTCCCCGGCCAGAGCCGGGCTCAGGGCGGCTAACACCAGTAAAATTACAGTAAAAGCATAATAGGAAAAGAAAAAAACCAATTTAAAATACAGGTTAAAATGCAATTTAAAATGCAGCCTCATATTAAAAGTAGCCCATAGATACACTCCCCTTGTTCTGCAGAAGCTGAACTAGTCATGTAAAACAAGAACATTTCTGCGATTTATGCAGGACACAAAATCCAGCTTTCCTTTGTACAGAATCTGGGTTGATTCAGTCACAACACTGTGATTTATCGCGGCAAAGAACAGGTTGTGGAAATGGGGGGAATTAACCCCCCCCAAAAAAGGAACAAGCCCATAAAACAATCTTTCCTTCCAATCTCTCTCCTGCTCCTGCTCTCTGTTGACCTTCGAAATCAGCACATCCCTCTCCACCCACAACAAAAATAACAAATATAGGTAAAGTAGGACTGCCATTCCTGAGTGTTGCGAACAACAATAGCCAACACCTGCCACAAGCTGACCTTTCTGAGCTAAAATCCAGAAACTTCTCTGCAGCTGGCTGTATTCCGGAGGGACGCTAAAGATGGCTTGGTTCTGACAGGATTCCAAATATCTCGAAAGGTTGGGCACAGAGCCGTGCAGGCGCCCCACCTGCAGGCGACAAAACACTTCTCGTTTAGACACTCAGTAGAGTATTTCCCCCATCGCACCCTCTCCTCTTCCATATTACTTAAAAGCAGTGCTTTTTCCCCCTGCAGGGATGCATACCCCAAACATTTTGTAAATCTCTGTACTTTTGTCCATTTACTGTATTTGTTTTCCCCAATTTGAACTATAAAGTGGTGATTTTCTTGAGTCAAAATGAGAGTACACCTAAACATTTTAAAAGCACTGCTTAAAAGGCCTTTCTCCTCTGTCCCAGAAAAGCATTGCTCTCTCAATAACAGCAAGACAATGCAAAATGCCACCCTCCACTTTCTAAGCTAGACACACACCCTCTCACACAACCCATATCCCAGTGATGGCCAAACTTGGCCCTCCAGCTGTTTTTAGGACTACAGATCCCATTATCCCTAGCTAACAGGGCCAGCGGTCAGGGATGATGGGAATTGTAGTCCCAAAACAGCTGGAGGACCAAGTTTGGCCATCACTGCCATATCAGAACAGATACCACCAGTTCCAAGCCAGCTCACCCTGCCTATCGTGTCGTCTTTTGCAAAACTCTGAGTGCACCAGATGCGAGTGGATCTCTTCCCTTTCCTGGGTCTCTCCGTGCCCGCTGAGGTCTGTAAAAAATCAAGAAAGAGTCTCCTGCCACAGCTGCCATCGAAAGTTTATTCAGAGTCAGAGAACTCAAAGCAGGAATTCCTCAATTTGTAAGAGTGGGTACATAACCATGCAAATCCGTTCAAAGCCCATGGTTGGTACATGACTGAAATGGCAAGAAAGCAACTCCAGAGCCAGTGGCAACTGCACTGTAGGGGGTTGGGCTAGATGACCTTTGGGATCCCTTACAAATCTTATTCTTATTATTCTTATTATTATTATTATTATTATTATTATTCCGCCCTATATCCGGAGGACTCAGGGCAGTTCACAGAAGAAAATCAAAATATAAAACCACAAAATAAATAATCAAAACAAAAACAACAACCCAACAACCCAAATAACAGAATCTACAATTCTATTATTCCACAGGACGGCTTACAATATAAAAAAACAAAAATGCATAATATGGTAACAAACAAAAGCAATTAAAAAACGCACACAGTTTAAAAGGCCACAGATTGTTGAAATAGCCGAAGGCCTGGGAGAAGTGGAATGCTTTGCCTGGCGCCTAAAGATATGTAATGAAGGCGCCAGGAGAGCTTCCCTGGGGGGAGCATTCCACAAGTGGGGAGCCACTGCAGAAAAGGCCCGTTCTCATGCTGCCACCCTCTGGGCCTCTCGTGGAGGAGGCACACAAAGAAGGGCCTCAGGTGAGGATGATCTGTTGCCATCGCCGCTCTACATACCTGACTATTGGAGATGAGGGGAGCAGATGGAATGCGGTGCAGGGTCTCCAAACTCTGCAGCATCCGGTTGAGCTCTTGAAGTTTCCCCTGGCATTCGGAGAGTTCTGAGGAAAAAGAAACCAAACGTTACGCGTGTGAAAATTTTGCACTCGGAAAGAGCACGCATGGGCGATGTCTGCAGATTTAACATGGCAGAAACAGGCCAGGGAGTCAGGAGGCGGGACTTCCTGTCTGTTGAGTACATTGGCTCTTTGATCGGGAAGCATTTGGAAGAAAGTGCGTACTATATCATGGCAGCACTGTAGAGCAGGGGTCGGCAAACTACGGTCTGTGGGCCGGATCTGATCCAATTGCCCTCAGGATCCGGCCCGCGGGCGGTCCGTGGATCGTGTGGATTCTGTTCATTACATTTTTTTCTGCACCGCCATTTTTGGGGGAGCCATTTCCCCTCTCCCTCTCACACACCGCGGCGCCTCCTCCCTCCCTCCTCCAGGCTTCTCCCCGCACTTTGTAGAGGAGGAAGGGGACTGGGATGAGCTGGCTGAGCGCCATTTTGGGCAGCGCCTCTCCGGAGCCAGCCCACCCTTGCGCCGGCAGCACCATAGGTAGGCAGGGGGAGGGGAGGGGCTGGGGGAGAGAGAGAAGCCCCCTCCGCCGTGTGTGTGTGTGCATGCAGTCCGGCCCACCACAAGGTCTGGGGGACGGTGAACCGGCCCCCTCCCAAAAAAGTTTGCTGACCCCTGCTGTGGAGACATTGGGTGGGTGGCTTGCACTTTGAGCATAGTTTGGAAGCCAAATTCCCACAAAGAACTACAGCATGCACAGACTCTCTGACCCACAGGCTGCCCCTTCGTTCTGGCTTATAACGGCCACTGATTCCCGCCCCCCTCCAACTCCTTAGCCCACTTCTGATCTGCTGACCCTCCCCAGGGAAAAGCCTTCTTACTGGAAAGGTGCTAGAAGGAGAGAGAGATCAATGGAATAGGAAAGGGTTCCCCAGCAGCAGCAAATGCAGACGTCAAGAAGCTTGACGGTGCTTCAGAAAGAGTGCTGGCTTAGAAGAGCAGAGGAGAGGGAGCTGGGAATGGTGGAAGGCGGAAGGGCATTTGTTCTGGGAAAGCGGTAAGAAGATCCCATCTCACCTGCTGAGCACCTGTCCAGGCCTTTGCTGTCGCTCAGCCAAGAATTCACCTTGTCTCGGGGGCCAGCCAGGGAAGACAAGGCAGGAGCACTCTCAGACATCAGAATGCGGTGCCGTGAGCTGCAGGCCTGCAGGAAGGAGGCAAGAAGATGGGGGCCGAACGGAAGCTAAGAGCAAAGGATTGTGGGAGGCGTGTCCATTTTGCAGGCCACGGCTGTGAGCTTTTAGCCTATTGTTCACCAGGAAGCTCTCCCTGGGACCTGGGCACAAAGCTGAACAGCAGAGGCAAAGTCATTTTAGGATTTCAACAACCCTTTTCTCTATAAATCACTAGGTGAAACCAGCTAAGTGCCAATACTATAAAACTCTTTTACAAAGCCACATAAAGTGGTGTTGGAGAACTCGCAGCTCTTTAGTATACTGGTCATCCTAGGGGTAGGGAACCTATAACCTTTGAGATGTTATTGGACTCAACCAGCATGGCTAGCTAGGATTGGAAGCTGGAGATGTACAACAACATCTGGAGATGTACAAATTCAGTTATACATGCAGCCGACGCAACTTAGCAGCTGAACGTTACAAATGTATTTGCTAGATGTACTTAACATTTCCACAGGAACCACCAAAGCTTAACTTTGGCCTATAAAGCAACTCTTTCCTGCCAGAGCTATGTGAGGGCCCCTCCAGACTGGTTTGGGGGTTTTTTTGGCAGGTCTATGCCAAAAAATATGCCACTGATGCAAAAATAGTGCATCCTTCCAGAATGATACAGCATTATTGCCCTCCAGTGGGCAGCTCTTGCGCTGTAGCACAACCAAAGTGGCACAAAAAAAGACTGCTGTAACATTCCTTTCATTTGAAAAACGACAGGATTTCAGCAGGAAGTTACGAGATGTGCACTGATTGGAAATGAAGTGGTGCGTCTGCCCCAAAACTGTTGCAGGTACAAACAGCACTGAAAGCAAGATCTACGTGTAACCCCGCTGATACCATCGTGTGCACAAACCGTCATGAATGTGCAATTAAGAAGGCAAGTGGAGTCCAGGCCCCAAGCCTCTTCTTCCTGCATGTGACTAGGGGGAAAGAACCAAAGAGGGACACTGGAGTCCTCTGTCCATTCACCTCGCCATCATTCCATGCGCATGTCCCTGCCCATCCATCTTGCGCAACACAAAAAGTTCTTTCCCTCCACCGCTCCCACCAACTCACCTGTGTAGGATGCGAGGCTCTTCCACCATGGCTACTTGTCAGGTACTGCCTTTGGGAGGCATCCAACTTCTGCACTTGGCGGTGTGAGCAGAGCTTGGCCACCCAGTTATTGAAGAGTTCCTGGGATTTAATCTAGAAGGAATGAACCGTTAGGAGCACAAAGGTGGGCAGTGGGAATCAAGATACCTGTCCAAGTAGAGATTTACACTGATGTCTGGAATCTGAACCCAAGAGCCAATAGGGTCCTGAGCACAGCTGATCTTCAACCTAAACTGTGGAGATTAATTTATTTCGCAGCCATCGGATTCAAAAGATCTCAGAGAAGAGAGAGCAAGATGCTAGTTCTCCTGCAGATTAAAGTTGCTTCGCTTTCTTTTCAGATCTTTTCATTAGGCTTTTAAATACATAACAATTTTTCAATACAACAAAGCTTTGCCTCCCCTTTTTCTTTTTAAAGGCAAATGCAGATAAAGACCTTGTCGGCATTGTCCCACCCAGACCACAGAATCCTCAAAACAATCCGGTTCACAGTTAAAGCATCGTGAAAGTCTGCAAGCGAGGGCTCCAAGCTTGTAGCAAAACGATCTGATGACGCCACTGATATATACCATGTTCAGCTTCCTGCATGTTTTAGGAACTGCCAGGAAAATGTGCGCTGAAAGCTAATTGCAGTGAATGGCAAAGGAATAGCCTGGTTTGCCATAGCTGGGGAGAAACCTTTCCCCACACTCTACATGCCCACAGAATCCTCCTGGTTATGGGCCCTGGTGTTCATGCATTAGCTTGGATTTGAACCCAGAGCAACAACGCAAGCCAAACAAACAGGACAAACCATCTCTTTTTTACATGATACCCTGACACAGAGAACTACAAAGGCAGTTACATTCATGCAGAGCTTTCCAACCCTAACTGATACACAGTGCCTATCGAATGTCTTGCGAGTCAAACATTTTGGCTCCCAAACCCTGCAAACCCAGAAGAGAGTGTTCCGGTTTGCGAACCTTCTTTGGAACCCGAACGTCTGATGCGGCTTCCGTGGCTTCCGATTGGCTGCAGGAGCTTCCTTGGTTTCTGAACGTTTTGGAAGTCGAACGGACTTCCGGAACTGATTCCATTCGACTTCCAAGGTACCACTGTACACATTACTGTGCCGCGTACTGTTATCTTGTTTCCCAGTAAACCTTTGTTCATCCAGAACAGGAGGCAAGCAAACTGAAACCCTTTCAGGTGTCATTTGCCAGATCAGGATTTTCAGCTTTCCCATCCTCAGGCTAACGCTCCCATTTTCCGGACTGGGGAAATCGAGGGCCAACAACCTCCTCAAGGCTAAATGATGGGTTGGCATTTGACCTTTCCCATTCACTCACCCAGTCTTCCTTTTCCAGTTTTCCATCTGGTTTCTCTTCAGACCGTATAAATCTTTCGCCTTTTTCCCATTTCAGTTCCTTATGCTTTTCTGTCCCATCCTGACCTGTTACCACAACCCCGCAACCTGCATGAGGTTCCTCTTTTGCACGCCTTACCTTGAGATGATATATGTTCTCTTCTGTGTCCAGATCTACACGCTGCGCCTTCTTGTTGACTGACATGACAGACAGGCGGACATCAACAGAGCCGTGAAGCTTCCCCTTCAAGACCTGGGAGGGAGGGTGAAATGGTGAAATGAATACTTACCCAGACCTTTGAGCTCTGCCCTACGAATCTCATTGATCTCTGACATCCCCCTATGGCCACTTTTGCTCTTAGATTCCCGTGAGTCCCCACCTCATTGAAATTCAGGCATCCCAGGCTCCCTACCCTGTACTCACATCTTGGCGTGTGGTGGCATATTTCAAAATCCCATCTTCCAAAACAAAATAGCGCTTTGAGAAAGAGAGAAGGGGAGAAAGAAAAGGAAGAAGTCACAAATAACCATGTGGTTAAAAAATACCAGAGGCACAACAAAAATATCCACCCTTTGCCCCAGTCCAGAGAACCACAGTAGTAACAGGAGATTGAGCAGAATAAGTGGCCTACATAGGAATGAATCTTACGGGGTTCGCATGATTTATTGTGAATGTGGGATGAGTTAGTTTGACACACTGGTTTTCCTACAGCACTGGAAGCTGCAAGGGATCCACTCTGGTCCTGGGTTGATTGAACCTACATTCCAAAGGCTTGGAAGGGACCACAGTTTAGAACCACAGGAAGTCTGGCAATTCCCAATACACACACGGGGCTCTCAAATCTCTCACCTTGTGCCAGCCCTTCAGGGGCCATTTCCGCTTCTTCAGCAGGTAGCCTTCCTGCCTCTCTGGCTCCTGAATGACCCCGCTCTGGATCCGCAGCTCATCCACCACCTCCCAGCTTTCGGAACCCTAGAATTTTTTAAAACAACATTAGAAAGAAAGGTAGGGGTGTTCTCCCAGTGGGAAAACTGGTTGAAGTTTTGCACTGCAGTCCAAAGGCTCGATTCAATGACATACCCATTGGTTAACCTTTAGGCCACACCCTCTGACCTGAAAGCCCCTCCCACCAACCTCTGGGATGCGTGTAGATTGTTTATGTGGTTCCTCCAGGAGTGGCTGGCAGCTCCCACCAGCCCAGCCAGTATGGCCAATGGACAGGGATGATGGGTGTTGGGAGATCAACAACATCTGGAGGGTCTCAGGCTACCCACTCTTGGGCAGAGAGGAGACATCTCACCTGCCGAGCAATGCTGTGCTTGGAAGACACAGTGCTGTTGGAGCGAGAGGGGGGCGGAGCCCTCTTAGGAGAAGATGGGTCCTTCTCATGGCTACCCATTCCTGTGCAGTCCGTCTCTTTGGACAATGCCCTCTCTGGATGCCAAGGAAGGGTCAGAGATGCCGCTGTCGATCAGAACCTTGCCCTCCTTTCCTGAGCATCACATTCAGAAGGGCAGCTGAGAAGAGAGACCAAAAAACAAGACTCAACGTCCTTATTACAGTTCAGCACAAGGAAAAGCAGAGAGAACCAGGGATTTCCACAGAGGAACGCTTTAAAAAAACGAGGAAGACCAACAAAACAACCATTATCTTGGATGAAAGGAAGACAACGAATGATTACATTTCCAAACAACTGCTCGTTCTTTCGTCTTGGGAAATAAAATGTGAGTATGGATGTTCTTTCATTTTTGCATTTCTATGTTTGATTGGTTGCAAAATGTGAGCTTTCTTCCCTTCATTTCATTTCACTTTTAATTTGTATACTGCCTTTCTCTATTACAGTGGTACCTCAGGTTAAGAACATAATTCGTTCTGGAGGTCTGTTCGTAACCTGAAACTGTTCTTAACCTGAGGTACCACTTTAGCTAATGGGGCAGCTGTGCTGCCGCCGCACGATTTCTGTTCTCATACTGAAGCAAAGTTCTTAACCCGAGGTACTATTTCTGCGTTAGCGGAGTCTATAACCTGAAGCATCTGTAACCCGAGGTACCACTGTACTATACACACGGTGGTTTGCAGCAACAAAATATACAACCAAGAACCTTGTAATACAAAAAGTCATAATAAAGCATAGCTTTAAAATGAAACGACTTATATAAAATAAAGTAATATTCAATAATCTATTAGAATAGGACACAATAAAATTAACTCTTATCAGCAAACAATAACTAAACAGAAATTCCGTCTTCCTCCCCCAGTTGCAGGATTTAGCAAACAAACCCTAGACCAAGACACACTCAGGAAAGGAGAAGGACAGAGGTGAGAAATATATTTTAAAGGAGAGAGGTTATAATCCATTGCTGTGACTGATTTCCTACAGTCCTCCCATTAGCTGTATGCCTGGATGACACCTCCGGTCCATGATGAGCCTGGCTTCCAGAATGTCATCTCTGGAGCTAACCCTTTTATCAATCTCACCTGCTTGTTCCACAAGACTCTTAGAGCAGCTGCAGCTGCTGCTTTGGATAACCTGCTCACCTACACCTATTTCCCATCTCTCCTCCCTTGGCAAACAGGTTCTCTCTTTGCAGCCTGCTCCTAGGCAAGTCTAACTAGATGCAAGCCCCACCAAATTCAACGGGAAATACTTGCAAGAAAAAGAAATGTGTGCCTTACTTCACTCGCTCGGACCGGGTTCTGTGTCAAAGTACTCTTGCGGCCCACTTGTTCTGAGACGTTGGACCCGCCTTGGTTTAGAGCATACTTAAAGCACAGGCTTCCCTCAAAGAATCCTGGGAGCAACCTTAAAAAACTAAAGCTCCCAGGATTATTTGCGGGAAGCCATATGTGGTGTGGCTGTGACCTGGGCCGGCCAATGGGGATCTCTATGGGGAGCCTAAATGTGTATATCTGGGTTACACTCTGAACAGCAAATCTGTGCCTACAAAAATCAGATTTTATACACCGATTGTGTTTGCTGGACTGAGATGACCTGCAAGGGGAAAGTGTCAGGAAACTCACAGTTCAAAACTGTGAACTTGACTCATTAAATGGGCTTAATAAACAACTATCTGACTTTTAGAAGACTTCTGAAGGCAGTCCTGTTTAGGGAAGCTTTTAATGTTTGGTGTTTTATCGTGTTTTTAATATTCTGTTGGGAGCCACCCAGAGTGGCTGGGGAAACCCAGCCAGATGGGCAGGGTATAAATAATAAATTATTATTATTATTATTATTATTATTATTATTATTAGTCTCAATCTCCCCTCCACATCCCACCTTGTTTAACCAATCCTGACCTGCATATATTCATTGCATTTTGCTGTTTTATAATTTGCCAGACTGAGCTCCTTGGGCAGGAAGGTCAGGATAGAAATTTAATAAGCAAATAAATAACCAAATAAAACAAGGTGTTAGGGAAGAAGTTCCCTCCCCTTCCAACCCCCCACCAAAAGTTATCCTCCCTTGTAGCCGGTCATATTCCTCTCCCCCCCCAGCCCCACCCCCCCAGTCTGCAGCCACATAAACAGAGTTGCCACTCACCCATTTCTCATTCTCCTTCTGTCACTATATAAACTGTGCCTCGCCCCAAACCTCCAAATTTAGCAATTACTGAAAAAACCCAAAAATGCCCCACTCTCAGCAACAATCTGGATCTGAACACGCTGAGCAGAGTCAATGCAAAACGAAGCCCGTTTGCAAACATGTTGAATTGATTTGCGTAATTGTGTTTGCATGAAGAAAAGAGAGTCTCTCGCTTAGCACAAAATCTGAGGTTTCCTGAGAGCGGCTCCTTACAACACTACCTGAAGAGGACTTAAGGGCCCCCCAATTTACATAATATTTGCATATGCTAATTGCGTGCACTGGCACAGGTATAGAATTAAATCTATCCCAAGGTAGTGGAGAAAGCTGACAAGGTGTTCTGTGTGCTGTCCAGGTTCTAACCCAGGGATGGAAAATGTTCTTTGGTCTGAGAGCCACACCCCACATGGGCAATCTCCTAAAGGCACATGCCTGCGGTTGGGTGAGGACAGGAGAGCAAATGTAAACAGAACAAGGGATTTAATTTCTACCTTTCTGGGAACTGGATACATTCCAGACATGCAAAAGTCAGAGGTTGCTACGCACCTCCATCCAATCTCTCCATCCTCCATTCAAACAAGCCAGAGGCACCTTCACAATTCATGAACACATTCCAGCCAGGCTAAAGGAGAATGGAAGTCTGGGGAGGGGCGTGCCTGGGGAAAGGTGGTGTAGCCTGGGCAGAATCCCAAGGGCCAGGTGAAGAGGCCTGAAGGGCCACATTACACACACACAAACACACAGAGCCTGGCGTTTCCCACCCCTGATGGAAAGGACCCTGGGCTCTGAATTCTTACATTCTCTCTCTGTATACCTGACAGACCTCTGAATTATTATTATTGTTTATTATATTTGTTAATCGCTTTATCTTGCTCAATGCAGCCCAAAGCGAATGATAACCAATCAAATAAAAATCAGAAAAACCCACACAGATACATGAAAACCAAGCAGCAAGGGAAGATACATTAAAAACGTCCCACCTACTTCTGAAAGGCCACAGATAGTGAAGGCCAAAAGGCCTGGTTAGAAAGGCAAGTTTTTGCCCAGCACCTAAAGATATATAACGATGGTGCCAGGAAAGTCTCTTCGGGAAGAGCATTCCAGAATCGGGGAGCCACCCAAGAAAAGGCCCAGACTCAAATGTTTGTAATTCTTTCATATTTGTAACTCTTTTTCGGTTTTAGAATAAAGTTTAAAAAAGAAAAAAGAAAGAAAAGGCCCAGTCTTGTGTTGCCACCCTCCAGAAATCTCGCAGGGGGGTGGGTCGGAAATGAAGAAGGGCCTCAGATGATGATCACAGAGTCTGAGGCGCTCCTTGAGGCATTGTGATCCTGAGCTATTTAAGGTTTTTATAGGTCAAAACCAGCAGAAACAAATTGGCAGCCCATGCAGTCAGGCCAGGATTGGTGTTATATGCTCAAAGCGTCTTGCCCCGGTGAGAAACTTGGCTGCTGAATTCTGCACCAGCCGAAGTTTCCAAACAGTCTTCAGAGGCAGACCCACGTAAAACACATTGCAGTAATCTAACCTAGAGGTCACCAGAGCATAGACGACAGAGGTTAGGCTATCCCTGTTCAGATAAGAGACACAGTTGGACCACTAGCCGATGCTGAGGGAAAGCAGGACCCCTGGCCCCTTTTACTACAGCGTAGCTATGATGGAGCCAGAAAGAGTGCAGCAAATTCACCCAGGAAAGTGAATTCGTAGCTTAGAAAGCCCTGACACAGGCCTCCACATTATCGATTTTGTTTCCTTCTCCACTGGTTTCTAGCCGAAGCTCACCCTGTTGAAGTGAACAGGAACAACTCAGGAGAACAGTAGTGGCTCTTCCCACTCATTTCGACTTGCTCATTTCAGGCTGGAACAGGAGACCTCCCCAATGGATTGAGCCCATGTTTTCATTCTCATATATATCTTATATATATGACATGACTCAGGTTTTTGGAACCTGCACGAACAACAACCAGAACGGCTACGTAAAGAGTGCCAGGAACCTGCATTGGGGAAGCCCTATTCAGGGGACAGCCGCTTTTAAAGGCTTCCAAGCGGCCTGCCATCTGTCAGTTCCAACCACTCACATCGCATCACCTGCCTTGGGTGTTAAAAATAGGTTTCGGCTTAATAAACAGCAGCTTCTTGTTACAGGCCGGCATATAAAAAAAGGTGTGTGGAGTTGCAACTGGATATAGCAGGGTGACATGCCGCGGATGGGGAGAACGTAAGGAAGGTCTTATAAGACCCACGCAAAGACCATTTATTTATTTGTTTCTTCCCAAAAGCTCAAAGTGGATTACCTCCCTACATTTTATCTACACAACCTCCCTGTGATGTAGGGTTAGGGTAAAGTAGCTATGCCCTGTTTGTTCATATAAACCGATGAACCCTGCTTCCTGGCTCTGGGGCTTTTGTTTATTTTGTTAGTTTAGGCTCTAGGGTGATACATTTGGCCTTTCAAGGCTGTAATCCTAACCCTACTTTCCTGGGAGTAAGCCCCATTGGACACAGATGTAGAGCAGCCATGGTTAGGCTTGAGTTGCACATCTTTAAATAGTATTGTAGTCTCATGTTTCTTACTATGTTGTTCTCATCTTCTGATTTTCTGGACGTTGCCTTGGTGGTTTCCAGAAAGGAGGCATAAAAGTATTATAAATAGGTACAGCCAGCAACCACTGACGGATCTAACTCCCAGCAATAGGTCTGGTTCTTTAGAGCAGGGCACCTGTGTCAGTCATGAGGAGCACTTAAGTGGCCCAGTTAGACAACATTACAGAGCTTTTAGCAAGCAGGTGACACCAAAATGAAACCAAGGGAGGAACTGAAAAAGCCAGGATATTAATAAAGGATAATGGGGTGGCAACACCTCTTATACTGAGGGCATTTGCAGCAGCTGCAACAATAGCTACAATTAAAATTCCATGGGTAATATTTTACATTTCTTAAATGTTGATTTGCACATGACTTAACTAAAACAAACATGAACTTTTTCCATAACTACATAAGTGGTTTCCCGAGGTTCCAAAGTAAGGCTGCGTGAACACACTACACCTTTAAAGCATGTTCTTTCCCTCAAAGAATTCTGGGCACTGTAGTTTACCCCTCACAGGGTTACAAGTCCCAGCAACCCTACAAACTACAGTACCCAGAATTCTTTGAGGGGGGAAATGCGCTTTGAATGTGCTTTAAGGGTATAGTGCAGGCACGTCCAACAGGTAGATCACTGGCTTCCCCCAAAGAAGCTGAACAACTTTGGCTCAACCCCAAAAGCCCTTAACCCAAAAAACCAGGGCCTTGCTTCCTAAAAAAAGCTCAAAAGCTCAACAACTTTGACCTGAACCCAAAAAAGGGGGTAGATCACTGCCAGTTTTTAACTCTGTGAGTAGATCACAGTCTCTTGGGAGTTGGCCACCCCTGGTATAGTGCGTACACAGCCTAAGGCTGGAAGCCTAACCCCACTTACCTGTGAGTAAGCCTCACTGAATTCAATAGAACTTACTTCTGAGTAAGATTATGCTGTCAATCAGTGCCAGAGGTGGAGATGGAGGAAACACAGCAGGGTTACTTTTTGTTTTCAAGGCCTCAGCTCTTCATCAGCTTAGTTTCCTTCTCTAGACACCAAGGCTGACACCCCCTTTGACCCTAAAACACCACATTGGAGCTGTAAACGGGAACCGGAAGTTTGGTTGTTACCCGCCCCCGATTTCTGATGGTACACTGTAAACAATGCCCAATGACGTTTTTACGCTGTAGCAACAAAAGCATAGTTCTCAGTTCTTGGGAAGTTAATAGAATTGCTGGACTTGGTAACTGGCAAGGCTCCATTTAGAATAATAGCACATTCAGTTCTGAGTACCACTGCTCAGGAGTGACATTGGCAACGTTGGAAAGGAGTCAAGAAAAGAGAAAGAGCTATGAAGAAGAGAAGGGGCCTAAATGAAGAAAGCCTGAAGGAACTGGGCGTACCAAGCTTAGAGTTCATTAAGAAGGGAGGGGAGAGGATATAGTGGAATGTCTTGTTTAGAAGGAATTGTTGGCTGGAGAGCGGGGGCGGGAATACACAGTGACATTTTGTTGTAAGTCGCATCCCTTTGGAAGAATTATCAAACTGTAAACTCCAGCAATAGAAGAAGGACCCAATGAATCTCCTTCCAAAGGTTGGAGAGGCATCCTGGAATATCTGAATACTCTAACTAGTGCAGCAAGGAAATAAAAGCTGGTTCACACATGTGCATCACCTGATGACTGCAACATCAAGTGATGACTGGTGTGCGGATGTGTGAATGCATCACCACAGATCTTACCCCACAGACAGAAATTTCAGATCATCCAACGACTGCCCAAATGCAGTGCTTTTCCACGGAAATAATTCATAAATTCAGGATCGGGTCCTTGAAAGCAGGCTTGCACGACGTTTGATTGCTCTGTAATTCATTGCTGATGTTGAATGAGCCACTCCAGCACAAATAGTTGTGTCAGAGGCAATACAAAAATTCGGTCTGCGAAGGCCCATGCTGGGCCACACGCACACCAGATATTTAAAGCACTATGATGCTGCTTTAAACAGTCATGGCTTCCCCCAAATAATTATGGGTGCTGAAAGTTGTTGGGAGACCCCTATTGTCCCATAGCTACAATTCTAAGAGTTTCCTGGGGAAAGCGATTTGATTGTTAAGCCACTCTGAGAATTGTAGCTCTGTGAGTCTCAGCACCCTTAACGGACTACAGCTCCCAGAATTCTTTGTGGGAAGGCCATGGCTGCCTAAAGTCGTATCATAGTACACTAGACCATGGGTAGGCAAACTCGGGCCCAGGGCTGGATCCGGCCCAATCGCCTTCTCAATCCGGTCCAGGAATCAGCCTGTTTTTACATGAGCAGAATGTGTCCTTTTATTTAAAATGCATCTCTGGGTTATTTGTGGGACCTGCCTGGTGTTTTTACATGAGTAGAATGTGAGCTTTTATTTAAAATGCATCTCTGGGTTATTTGTGGGGCATAGGAATTTGTTCTTTTTTTTTTCCTTTCAAAATATAGTCCGCCGTCCGCCCCCACAAGGTCTGAGGGACAGTGGACCGGCCCCCTGCTGAAAAAGTTTGCTGACCCCTGCACTAGACCTATGGTGTGAATGTGGACCCAAGCCATTGCAGGATGTTGCAATCATTAAGTGAGAATATCAATGTGTACAGTAATCAACATACAGCACACACACACACACACACACACACACACACACAAACACACACACACACACACACACACACACACACACACACAAAGACACATGCAAACCAACCCTTCAGTAACCTCTGGAACCTATTTCCAGGACTGCATTTCCAGGCTTTTTCTTTTTCTTTTGCGCCACCCTTGCTTTTGTACCAAGCTGTTAGTTTTCCAATTAATTCTTCCCTCCCACTTCCCCTTCACATTTTTCTCTGTGCTGTGGAATAATCCACTATCTATTGATGCTGTGGAGCACAGCTCACCTGACCCTCCCAACTTTCCCCCGACAGTCTCTCAGTTCCCCCAGGGGCCCTTCCCCAAGTCAAAACTTCAAGCACTCCTATACCTTTGCCATGGAGAAAAATCATGCCCATGACTCTCTCGGCCAGAGACCAACATCCCCCAGCCTTTGGATTCTTTATCGAGGCATCATAGATGTCAAAATCCATCTAATCCCTCCTATTTATCTCTCCCTGAAACCAAAATCCCCCTTTCTCCTCCCCACAAGTCTTTGAAATGGGGACAAACTTTCTCTGTGGGCCAGTCTGTCATCTGTCCCTTAAGCCCCACTTCCCAAAATACCGGTACCTTTACCTTTCCCCCCACCCAGGCAACCATCACATCCCCTCCAAATCCCACAGTTCCCAGACCTATTACTAATATTATTTATTAAATCTGCATACCGCCCTTCCTCCGCAGCTCCTAGGGCGGTTCACAGCATAAAAATACAAGATAAAACCACGCAAAATACATAATAAAAATAAAAACAACAGCCCTCCCTTCCCAATGCGTTCCCTGGACCACATTCCCATCAGGCTATTTCTGTCCATGAAAACAGAACAAGAAAGAAAGGACTCCTATTTCCCTCCCCACTAGGAAATTTCCTGACCTCTTTCTCGGCCGTAGGTCCACAGTCCACCCCTCTGAAGGTGGGGGAACAAAATTCCTCGGCGTCTCTGCTTCCCTGACTCTTCCACCCCCCTTTACCCTCCAGCCCCACTCAGTCCCAGGAAATCCCGCTTCGCCAGGCTGCAACATTTGCCTTACCAAAAATAGAAAGAGCAGGCACTCCTTCCACTCCCCATCTGTCCAGTCCACAGGGCAAAGTCCCGAGCAACCCGCCCTGCTTCCTCCTCCTTCCTGCCCTCCCAACTACACACAGTGCAAAAGAGGTGCCCCCCTCCCCGCCCCATGGCAAGAGTGGGATGCAGGAGGTGGGCAGAGAGTGATGGTTTTATTGATCAGCCGCCTACCTGCGCGCAGAGGCGATGCTTGCTTTCGCCTCCCGTCTCCCTGGACTCTCCGTTTTCCAATTCCTGCAGCAACGACTGTTTGTTGCTGCTGCTGCTGCTGCTGCTGCAAACCGGAATCAGGAAGCAGCTGCCAAGCTAAGTCGCAAGCCGCCAGCCCTCTCGCTGGTGGTGCTCTTGAGTTAATCCACCTTTTGCAGCTTGGCTGCGCTTTGGCTCGCCTCTGCCGCCCTGCCTCTTGGAGGACCGGGTGGAAGCCGGGTGGTCTTCTGCCTCCGTGCAGGGTGGTTGCCCCTCGACGGGAGAAGTTCTCCTTTGGAAATCTGCCCGACTAGGACTGGGGGTCTGTTTGCAGCTGCATCAGGGCGGAGCCGCGCCAAGCGGAGTGAGTGATGTGATGGAGTTCTGTCGGCTGCAACAAAATGTTGCAGTAGCCCATAGCTGTCAACCTTCCCTTTTTTTCGGGAAATTCCCTAATTCCAGCGCCGTTTCCCGCTGCTTCCCGCTGCTTTCCCGGATTCTTGGATATCCCGTAGACTGTCCCCGGGACAGATGAGGCTGCTGATCCCTTATTTTCAAATCTGAAAGTTGACAGCTATGCAGTAGCCTGTCCTCAGGTCCTAACGGGAGTGCTCTTGTAACACGGGGGCAACCACAGAATCAGAACTGTAGAATTGGAAGGGACCCTGGAGGACATCCAGTCCAACCCTCCGCAATGCAGGAATCTCAACCAAAGCATCCATGACAGATGGCCATCCAAACTCTACTTAAAAACTTCCAATGAAGTCCCCAACATCCCAAGGGAGTCCATTCCACTGTGGAACAGCTTACTGGTCAGAACCAATTATCCTTTTTCCAGGATCCTCCATTGATTGTTCCACTCCCTTCCTTAAATGTTCTTCTTTCACTAAGCATGCTCAGTACCTACTGAGCTGCCAAGGATGGGGTGCCCCCCCGAGTTGTTTTAAAAATCTCTATATTTGTATTTATGCAAAAATTCTCCCGCCGCCGCCAGAAGTCCTCAGTTTCGCCTGGATTGCGTGTGTGCAATTATTCCTGTTAAATACTCTGCAAACTGCTTTCATTTTCAACCCTAGCCATATATATAATCCGAAAATCCCTACTTAAATAATTACCGATGCTTCTGAAAGAGGCTTGGGGGATCAGATCCTATCTGGAGCAAACAGTGCAAGTACAGAGAAGCTGCAAACGGCCCCTTAAAGAATGGATTTGTTGTAATGTATGCTTTTGTAATTGCGAGCCCCCATCGTCAGGTGCATGGAATGATGATCTTCAGTTCACAGAGATATACATCTCTGGGGTGTGGGGGATTAACAGTGAGACCAAATGGCCCTGAAATATATAAAAGGCTTATGCCTCTTGCATTTACTCAGAGCTTTTTAAATATTTAGTCGTGTTTGTGTGCGACAAAATGGGTTGGGTCACAATAGCTTGTGCCATGTAATATATCTGTCCGCCTTTAAAGTACTACAAAAGGACTGTCAGTTACAACAAAAACAAGCTGTTAAAGAGAAAGAGGAGGCTAGTAGTCATTTGTTTATTTTATTCCATCTATGAGTCACTTCCTACGAAGCGTCTCTAAACGATAACCACGTCCACCACCATTGAAACAATCAAATACATCAGGCTTCCTCAACCTCGGCCCTCCAGATGTTTTTGGCCTACAACTCCCATGATACCTAGCTAGCATGACCAGTGGTCAGGGATGATGGAGAATGTAGTTTCAAAACACCTGGAGGGCTGAGTTTGAGGAAGCCTGGACTAGATGAACCAATCCTCTGACTTCCTATAAGGCGGCTTCCTAGGCTGTGCTAATTGTTCACATCATCCGGCGAGTTCTCCTGAGCAGGCCCTATCAACGTGATGGGCATCAGTGCATTTCTCCCACTCATGTAAGTAAGGTTTGTGCAAGACAATTGTTTACAGGACTGTGTCCACTGATTTTATATTATACCGTATTTACTTTTTGAGTGCTTATCAGCTGCCTTTCCAAACCATCCTCGGCTCTCCTAGCAACATCAATCATGGTTTGTGTGCCTAAAAGCAATGTACCATATCAGCTGTATACATAGCAGCTGGATTTCCCAAGGTGCGGACTAAATCTGCTAGAGTCTGAGACCAGGGGCAGGTTTTGTCCCTAGCCCTACAACTGTGTCTCAAAATTCAATCCCGTTTAAGGATGTCCTCCTGGCTTATTTTCCTGATTTGTTGATCAACATTAAGCCAGAGCTGGCAGGTTCAGACATTATGGGGAACTCTGGTCTAGTGCATTCCAGCGTGCAGTGGGAGGGAGTTGCTTATCCATGTCACCATAAACCATGGTTTATGAAGCCTTGGATGTTCCTCCAAAGGTAATCCTTGAAAGCAAAGCCAGCCTGAACAGCTTACCACTGGAATTCCTTTTCTTTGTTATATACTAGAACATGGATGTGGAACCACTGGGCTTCCAGTTGATGCTGGACTCAACTTGCTTCAATCCCAGGCAGTATGGCCAATAGTTATGTGGTCCTCCAGATGTTTTAGGCCCTTCAGAGGCCCATCATTCCTGTACTTGAGTGCGAGAGCACCCAGGAACTGCCTGCTTTTGCCTACATAAGTTATGTATGCAGGATCTGTCCATTTTACCTTTATTTACATTTCCTGACTTTTGTGGTCCAGATTAGCTAAAATTGACTCTTCACCTATTTTGGCTAGGCTAATAGTTTCTGTCCCAAGATTAGACGTCACCACTTTTCTACCATACACCGAGGTTTGAAATTCTGAACCCCTCTTGCAGTTTTATATCCCATTACAGCATAATTATGTGCACTCTGATGTGTAGTCTTTGGAATGAAAGTTATGTTTTGGAGGTTAGTATTTGGAAAACCTCTACAGCCGATGATGTAGCTGACTCTCATGAAGACTTACGATTCATTTGGTGTAACAAGCACATCTGCCTCCCAGTGCCTAATTCTGAAGGATTAATTGTCAGTGCTTAATCTGAGATGAAATAACACCATCTATTTCTATAGCATTTTTATGGTGTTCAACAGAGTTACAGTTGTTATCCTGCTTGAGGCTTTGAAAAATAGGAAGCTGTTGGTACATTCTCCACTGAGTAATCTCAACCTGCCCAAGCGTATTTTGGATTATGGAGAAATGGTATTCAAAAAGCCTTTCTCTTCAAATCTCTGTCTCTCTCTCTCTACAGGTGCTCAATTGGCGGGCGGTAATGTCACTGAATGTCTTTCCTAAACAAGCTTAGCAGATACAACCAGCCACAACATAGATGAATCACTCCCCAATGTCTAATTATGCCACAAATCTTAACCTGTTTCAAACCTGCTTTAGCTGTCAAGGCTCCCCATTAAAGGAGCCTGGCAACTACAGATGTCTCATACCCTTCCTCACAAATTAAGAGTTCCTAGGGCAATGAACTGCTACTTGCTCTGCCATGCCTATTGCCTTTTCACTGGTCACTTGGCAGACCACCAGTGGGGAAAGCAATTTTTGTCTTTTCAGGAACAGCTGGTTGTTATCACACAGAATGCATTTATGACTCATGCTGGGACCACAGATATTCTAGAAACGGCTGCGTGTTTTGTCAGGTCATTCAGTGGTAAGTTGGAGGAATGCAATAGGAAAAAGAGGGTTGGACTTGTTTAACCGTACATTCCTGGAAGGGCACAAAAGGCTCAAACGGAAACAACAGCAAAGAGGCACAAAGGCCAGAAACGTCAAAGTCATGGCAAAAGGTCCACATCCCATTCAACAGCCTCCAATTCTGTTTTCACTCAGCGCGTTATTTTTCTTAAAAGCAAGTTCCTACCCTTTACTGCTATAATAGGCTTGAAAGTGTGCATGCAATGCTTTTGTTAAATTTATACAATTCTATGATTCTATGAATTGATGCTTTTGAATTATGGTGCTGGAGGAGACTCTTGAGAGTCCCATGGACTGCAAGAAGATCAAACCTATCCATTCTTAAGGAAATCAGCCCTGAGTGCTCACTGGAAGGACAGATCGTGAAGCTGAGGCTCCAATACTTTGGCCACCTCATGAGAAGAGAAGACTCCCTGGAAAAGACCCTGATGTTGGGAAAGATGGAGGGCACAAGGAGAAGGGGACGACAGAGGACGAAATGATTGGATAGTGTTCTCGAAGCTACCAGCATGAGTTTGACCAAACTGCAGGAGGCAGTGGAAGACAGGAGTGCCTGGTGTGCTCTGGTCCATGGGATCATGAAGAGATGAAGAGTCAGACATGACTAAACGACTAAACAACAACAACATGATTCTATGAAATCATGAGGCGTTGAGCAGTATACCTGAAGGAGCATCTCCACCCCATCGTTCAACCTGGACACTAAGGTCCAGCACCGAGGGCCTTCTGGCGGTTCCCTCACTGCGAGAAGCAAAGTTACAGGGAACCAGGCAGAGGGCCTTCTTGGTAGTGGCGCCTGCCCTGTGGATTGCCCTCCCACCAGATGTGAAGGAAATAAACAACTCTCTGACTTTTAGAAGACATCTGAAGGCAGCCCTCTTTAGGGAAGTTTTTAATGACTGAAGTTTTAATGTATTTTTAATCTTTTGTCGGAAGCCGCCCAGAGTGGCTGGGGAAACCCAGCCAGATGGGTGGGGTAGAAAATTAATAATAATAATATAGCAGTCTGGCAGTCAAAGAGCCCAATCCAAAGTGTTGGTGCCTGCTTTCAAAGCCCCAAACCACTTGAGATTCAAGCACCTGACAGAGCAACTCTTTCCACAACATCCTGCCTATAGACTTAACTAGATGACTAAAGTCACCTGCCAACCCCAACCTCCAATTCCGTTTCATCTGAAATATGACTTGTTCTCAAGAATGGGGGTGCATAAGCTTTTGGGGAATGAGGGCCAGAGTGACCCATGACCAACCATCTGGGAGCCACATGACCAAATGGGCATGGCCTAAGTGCCAAAGCAGGTGTTAGTTAACACACACATATATATATTTTAAAAATGGCATTGGGGAGGGCACCAAAAACGTTTGGCATCACAGTGGGAGAAATAAGCAAAAAATATTTTTTCTTTTAAGGGAATACGTTTGGAGGCTACAAAAACCTTTTGGCATCGCAGTATCATATCATAGTACAGTGGTACCTCAGGTTAAGTACTTAATTCATTCCGGAGGTCTGTTCTTAACCTGAAACTGTTCTTAACCTGAAGCACCACTTTAGCTAATGGGGCCTCCTGCTGCCGCCGCGCCACCGGAGAACGATTTCTGTTCTCATCCTGAAGCAAAGTTCTTAACCTGAGGTACTATTTTTGGGTTAGCAGAGTCTGTAACCTGAAGTGTATGTAACCCGAGGTACCACTGTATCATATCCTATGGGAGCAGTCAGTATTTTTAAAAAAGTTTTTTTGTGGTTTTTTTAAAGGCAAATTTTGTGGGGCTCGTGAGAGTCCACAAAACACACACTGGAGGTGAAATACTGCCTTCAGGGCACAGGTTAGCCATCACTGTTCTAGAGATAGGATCCAGTTGTGGGAGGCTTGCTGGATACTGGTGCCAGCCTGGCAAAAATCCACCCCCCCCCTTCTAGCACTTTAAAATATTGTTATATCATGTGTCTGCTATCTATTTAGTCATATTTCATTTTTTTATCTTGTTTTTGCTGTTTCAGTTTTTGTAAACTGCCCTGGATTCTATCCCGGAAAGGCCAGTATTACACAATACATTACATAAATAACATTTCATTATCACCCATTCCCCCTCCCAAAACAACAGAACAAGTACATCATGTAAGCAAACATTTATATTAAACATTAAGGGGTATTCTTGCTGGAAGAGCAAGTGGACATTTTCATCCGCTCTGGAGTGCCTCAAAAGCAACTTACTAGAGTTACACCCTATTAATAAAATGTGCATGCATTGAGTTCACAGAACTCCTATTTGGTTTCACAGATTATATTCAGTGCACTGCTTACCTTCATCCCAACACAGTAAGACACACACAGCAGGATGCTTAAAAATATTTAATAATATTACAACAGTGAGCATGTGACATAATTTTTTTAGGAAGCTGTACAAGAGAGATGAACATTAGGCCGCATTTAACATTTTGCCTCTCTATTTATCAGCCTGCGAAGTCTGTTTTAATTGATAATAAACTTCCATCGGGATGCTTTCATGCTTGCTAAATCAACGAGAGTTGTGAATCCAGTACTGCCTCAATATCCAGCTGGAAATCTGCATTCCAGCATATACCTCGTTCATGATCTGATCCTCATTTCCAAATCCACTTGATATACAGAATTTAGCCATCCAACTTTGACCCACCCAGGATACAAACATGCAACAAACAGAATACAAGTTGTGCCTGAAGCAATGAGCAGAAATGGGAAGAAAGTTCATCAAAGGGCTTCCGACTAGTCCAGAGTCCCTGTCTCCTTTGCTTCAACTGATTCACAGTTCTGCTGTTTGACATACTGGTCCAGCAAGGAAGTCAAGTGAACAGGGCCGCGTTGTAGAAGTGTGCTAGTCTGGGATGTCATGAGAGAGAGGGCACCCACAACCTCCCCTTGGGCAGTCACCATGGACGGCAGTTTGGCATAGTTTGTGAAACCTTGTTTGCTTAGGATGGTGTTGTCAACACAAGCTCCTGGAAGGATGAGAAAATAGGCACCGTCAGGAACATCCAGAAGTACTAAAAGTAAAAAAGTGATGACAGATACCAGTCATAATATAGATATGGAAGATTGGGAATGATTGTGGAACATGGATATAAAATTTACAGCATGTTATAGTTTAAGGGAAGATTACCGTACTTTTCCATGCATAGGACTCGGTATTTTTTTGTGAAAATCATGATAGAAAAAGGGGGTGGTCTTATACATGGATAGTGCCATGGGGTGGATGTTTGATTGGTTGCTGCCGTGGCCATCAGCAGCTATCGTGAGTGTTATTGGTTGCTGCGTCAATGGGTGGTGGTGATTGGCTGACGCTGCAGCAATAGGGCGGGCGATTGTCAGCTTCTGCCAGTGAGGCGACAGAAGAGAGTCGGATTTTGTAATGCCGGCGGGTGAATGATTTTCAGCAATTTCCCCTAAAAAAAGCTGAACAACTCTGTGCCATCTCCCCCCATTTTCTTAAATTTGAGCCCCCCAAAATATAGACGGAAAAGTACAGTATATGAAAATGATATATTGTTTGTATCTAACACCAAGTAAACGGGCAAAAATGTATAAATCTAAATCAAACAAATGTTGGAAATGTAAAGAGAAAGAGGGTCTTTTCATCATATGTGGTGGTCTTGTAGTAAGGTTAAAGATTACTGGGAAATGATATATAATGAATTGAAAAGGATGTTCAAAATAACTTTTATTTTAAAAAACCCCAGAAGCTTTTCTTTTGGGAATTATGGGGACAGAACTACCTAAATTGTATAGAAATTTATTTACCTATGCTTCTACAGCAGCAAGAATGTTACTTGTCCAAAAGTGGAAAGAAGCAGAAGTCCCAGTAAAGGAAGGATGGATACAAAAACTTATGGGATATGCAGAAATGGAGAAACTTACCGGAAGAATAAGAAATCAAAATAACAAACTTTTTGTAAAAGAATGGAAATGGTTTATTGAATATTTACAGATAAATTGTAAACAGATAAAAACAATAGCAGGATTATTGTAATAACTTGCAGTTTTATAAGTGTATATATTTACAGTAGATAATTAAATGAGCAAGTTAAATGAACTTGGATATGCAGAAGGTATTAAAAAACAAATTTAAGGAACCACAGAAAGCGGGAGAAGGAACTCAAATTTTGAAATGTTCAATTGATTGTAAATCTAATGAAATGTATAAATTTGAAAAGTATAAATAAAAAACTAAAAAAAAAGTGATTTGGAAGAGGGTTGCCAAATCAAAACATTATAGTACTGGTCGTAGATTGAATATTTTTTTTTAAAGGACAATCATTTTTTAAAGGAGACATAGGGTTGTATCCAACAACGTCCTACTCAAAGGAGGTGCACTGAAATTAATGGACTAACCTGGAATAATGGTGTGCTGAGTCTCGGTACCCAGGCAGACACAGCTGGGTTAGCACGGGGCATTCAAGTTCATGCACCCGAGTCTCAGTTTTTACCCACCTCTTCTTTCCAAAGAACTTTGCATGTTTCCCAAGTGGTCTCACATCCAGGCTATTTCCAGGGCCAGATTCCCTTAGCTTTGGTAAGGAATCTGCATCGTCTGTCTTCAGACCATTCTATGGCCTCTCCCTGTAGCTCGATGTTCACTGGTTTCCTCTCTGTTATCAAGAGCCTTTCCTTCATTGCTGCCTGACTCACCCCTCTGCCATCCACACTTGTTGTTGCTGGCATCCCCCACTTGCTTTCCCCAACTCCTATCTTATTAGCTGAATAAGTTGATATACTCTATTCCGAACTTAAAAATGGAAAGCGTAATGCTGGCGGTCAACAGAAGAGTTTTAAAGACTCTCTCAAGGCAAATCTAAAAAAAAAATGTAGTATAAACCCAGACAACTGGGAAACACTGGCCTGCGAGCACTCCAACTGGAGAACAGCCTTTACCAAAGGTGTCATGGACTTTGAAGGTGCTTGAACTCAGGACAAAAGGGAGAAATGTGCTAAGAAGAAGGCACGCTTGGCAAATCCTCACCGTGATCAAGTCCCACCCGGAAACCTATGTCCCCACTGTGGAAGGATGTGTGGATCCAGAATTGGCCTCCACAGTCACTTACACACTCAGTGTTAAAACCGTGTTCATGGAAGACAATTTTACTCGGCTACGAGCGATCACCAAAGATAAGCCTTTTGAATAGGGACTGCACCACAACTGCCTTTTGTATTCACTTTGATGCTTAAAACTATTTAATAATATTACAACAGTCAGCATGTGATGTAATCTTTTAGGAAGCTATAGTACAGAGATGAGCATTAGGCTGCATTTGCCTCTCTATTTACCAGCCTGTGAAGTCTGTTTTAATTGGTAATAAAATTCCATCGGGATGCTTCCATGCTTGCTAAATCAACAAGAGTTGTGAATCACTGCCTCAATATCCAGATGGAAATCTGCATTCCAGAATACCTCAACTCATGACCTGGTCCTCATTTCTGAATCCATATGATAACACAGAATTTAGCCATCCATCTTTCAACATTTACCTAGGAGATTGATCTGTGGCACACCCCTCAGGACTCGCAGCATTTCCTGTGCCCTCGTTTCCGGACTCATCAGTAGGAGGTTGCGCCCCACAAAGAGAGGGAGGAGATTCTTATATTTGGATTCCGAAAGAAAGGGTATCATGACCTGGAAAGGTGGAAGTAAAGAACCAATTAAACATGGGGGAAATACCTGCTGAACCAGGGCAGGACTCCAGTTTTGATTTACAAGTGAGTTAAGTGAATACAGATAATATAAGTAGTATAAAATTATTGGAAGTTATATATTTTAATTTGTCATGTAAGTGTAATATATTGTATTTGTTTATGTTCGTTATTTCTATCTTTTCTTATTCCATTGTTTTCATTCATTTGTATTGTTTTCTGTATTATATGTTATCTTATGTATGTTATGTATTTCATGTATATTTGTCTATGTGAAAATTAATAAAGATTTTCTAAAAAAAGAAGAAGAGAGAGTTAAGTGATGCTGTAACTACAACCTCTCTTATTGCGTTGGAACTTTTAAAGGACCATGAAGGGTCTCCGGGTTGCGGTCTGGCACCACTAGCTATAAGGCAACCTTTAGTTGAAGGAAAGGCTGAATCTAGTTAGGGGGATATGGGGAAGAAAATACAGGGGACTGGGAGAAGTAGTTGGATTAGTATGCTGTAGAATTGGACTGAGCCATTGGACTGGTCAGACTCTAATTGCCATTTGATATTTTGCTGCTATACATTGGGCAAGGGACGAGAAGGCCCTCTAGGGAATTTTGCCAGCCAAATCAAAATTTCCGCTTCACTCAAAATTCCTTGGATGTTGTTGTTTCTGAGCAGATGTCTCCAAAAGGGTCTCAAAATTTCGCATGCCAAACTTGCTGGAAATTGGTGCTTTCTAATGAAATCCATTCTGAAGGAAATCAGCCCTGAGTGCTCACTGGAAGGACAGATCGTGAAGCTGAGGCTCCAATACTTTGGCCACCTCATGAGAAGAGAAGACTCCCTGGAAAAGACCCTGATGTTGGGAAAGATGGAGGGCACAAGGAGAAGGGGATGACAGAAGACAAGGTGGCTGGACAGTGTTCTTGAAGCTACAAACATGAGCCTGACCAAACTGCGGGAGGCAGTGGAAGACAGAGGTGCCTGGCGTGCTCTGGTCCATGGGGTCATGAAGAGTCAGACACGACTAAACAACAAATGAAATGCCTAAGCAACAGCAGTTTCTGCTTATCCGCTGCCCAGATACAAAGTCTGTCAAGATATCAATGAATACTGGCACCTCATGCAGCATTTTATATATCCAATACAGCAGATTTGCATGTCAAAGCTTAGCTCTGATTAAGGTTTGCTTTCACAGGATACGGAAAATTGCTTGGGGGAAAATGAGGCAACATGCTCTAAGGCACGTTGCCCTCTCTATTCCTAAAAGAACTGTTTGCATGTAACTGTACCTCATTGGGGAAGTATTTGACATGGATGTTGTACTTCCGCAGTCGATACCCCATGAGTACCATGTCATTTGCAGGAACTTCGTTGTACTGGCAGATAGCAATCATTTTACTCTCGTGGAATGCTTGTTCGACATCTCGACGCAACAGCTTCACGTAGCCATTTTCCTGGGGAAGGCGAGAAATTTTGTTTGCTGCCATTAGACTTGAAAAGAGTGAAAACCCACAAAGCTGCTGAAAGCTACACAGATGTAAATCCTGTGCTGCGAAAGGCAGGCAGAGTGCAGAGGTTTTGAGTTAACTCTGTAGGTAACATAAAGGTTCGGTTCAGTTGCAAATTGAACAGCAATGGCAAGCAGTATGCATGCCTGTTCAGAAAACAAATGAATTAGATTAAACTTGATTTAAATCAGTGGTTTAAATTGACATGGTGTTCCCGATGATTTAAGCAACTGATTTAGATCTACTTACCCTGCCCAGGGAACAGGGCATTTCCATGCTCTGTGCATACCTAGTGAAGCATTAAAACCAAATGAAATGTTTTCATTCAAGCCTGAACTCTGTTAGAAAGTTTTCGTGCTATGAAGCTTTATCCCTGTGACTTCAAAGAATCACAGAGTTGGAAGGGACCCTGAGGATCATCTAGTCCAACCCCCTGCAATGCAGGCATATGAAGCTGCCCCAGATGGGGATCGAACCTGCAACCTTGGCGTTATCAGCACCACACTCTTAACCAACTGAGCTATATCCAGGCTAAACAGGCAACATGTGCAAAACCTACTATAGTGATTATCACTCATTATTATTTATTTACTTCTATACTACAAACTCTTGTAAAATATATATTTGTGAGTTATGGAAACCAACTTTAGAGTGATGAGCAGCCTTCCCTGTATCACATAGCAATGAGGAAAGTTTCAGTAATTGTTTGTCATAGGAGAGTGAATTCCATTAGGTAATAAGACACCTTTGCATTACCCTAAGTAGTTCCTTCAATTCAAGCCCTTAAAGAGGATTCTCTGCAAATGAGTCCTTTTTCAAGGACTTTATTTTCCAGAACAAAAATTCAGTGACCTGTTTTGTGTACCTCCAATCCTTCACTTGGGGCAAACAGTTAAGAGCCAAAGTGACAAGGCTTGCCAATGATTCTGCCTCAAAAGGTATGTATGTGTGCGTATATACACACACACACACACACACACACACACACACTCGTACCTTGGATCCCAAACGCCTTGCAAGTCGAATGTTTTGGCTCCCAAACTCCACAAACCTGGAAGTGAGCATTCAGTTTGCGAACGTTCTTTGGAACCCGTTCAACACAACTTCCACAGCTTCTAATTGGTTGCAGGAACTTCCTGCAGCCAATTGGAAGCCGCACCTTGGTTTCTGAACGTTTTGGAAGTCGAATGGACTTCTGAGGTACCGCTGTATATATATATATGTGTATGTGTGTGTGTGTGTGTGCGCACGCGCGCGCGCGCGCACACACACACACAGAGCTATATTGTAGAAAAACCTCAAAGCAGTTTACAGATAAAGCAATAACATTATCACCAAAAGTTTACAACCGTAATTTAAAACATACAGAACATTAAAACCACGGCAAAGAAGACTAAAACAAATAAAACTGCCTAAAACTTTCTAAACGTCAGAGTAGGTGGGGTAGGCTTGTCTATATAATAATGTCTTCAGCAGGCACTGAAAGGAATACAGGGAAGATTCAGGAAAAGAGCAGAACATCAAACATCATTTGCATTCAGAGTTCATAACAGCCCTGCTGCAATTGGCAAAAACACGGATAAAGAAGGGCAGAGAGCCTACTCTATGATTTTGAGGGCTCTGCACCATAGAGTTTAGACAGTAACAATCAGCGCAGAAGGGTGTGTGGTGTTGTTACCTCTTCAACTTGTTTCACTTGGGGTTTGATGCACCTCTCCGGGATCAAAGGCTTTGGTGGGATGTATTTTGTCACCTCCATCAGCTTCTGACGCACAAAATGCATAGGTCTCCAATGGCGAGTGACGGCTTTGGAGCCATGGCGAATAAGCTGAAGGGTGGGCAGCCAGTCTGGAGCAATGGAAAAAGCAGAACAATCAGAATGGCTAGGCCCCCCCAAGACACAACCCCCAAATGTAGGACATTCTGTGGGCTCTCATACTGTGTAATCCCATCCTTTCCAACCATAAAAAACTGAGCTAAGGGGAAGCATAGAATCCTAGTGTTCCAAAGGATGAAATAGCCACCCACTCAGGTGTTGCCACTCCACATACTAATCCACACATTCCAAACTAGTGCTCCAGAAACATGCAGCGACATTAACAGACACTTACAGAGTAGAAAGCTTTGTGACTCATGCAAGCCAGCTAAATTACAGATTACAGCAGAAGGCGGAAAAATTAAAGGCACAAAGAAGCATCCGAATGCTGTTCTACATATTTATAGTGTGCCTATAGGTAAGGTATTGCATGCAGCTCTGGTAACTCAGCGTCAGAGACGAGCTGAAACAGGTTCGAAAGCGCAATTTTGAATGTGTATGCACACAGGAATTCTTAACACAGCTTGAGTGGGGTGTTTACCAAATGTTAATGGCCTGGAGGAACAACAGTATGGCCTATTCCTAATGGTACTAGGGAAGTACCATATTTTTCTGTCTATAAGACGCCCCCATGTATAAGATGACCCCTATATTACAAAATGAGGGACGCGGGTGGCGCTGCGGGTTAAAACCACAGAGCCTAGGACTTGCCGATCAGAAAGACGGAGGTTTGAATCCCGGCGACAGGATGAGCTCCCGTTGCTTGGTCCCTGCTCCTGTCAACCTAGCAGTTCGAAAGCACCTCAAAGTGCAAGTAGATAAATAGGTGGGAAGGTAAATGGCGTTTCCGTGCGCTGCTCTGGTTCGCCAGAAGCGGCTTAGACATGCTGGCCACATGGCCCGGAAGCTGTACACTAGCTCCCTCGGCCAATAAAGCGAGATGAGCGCCGCAACCCCAGAGTCGGCCACGACTGGACCTAATGGCCAGGGGTCCCTTTACCTTATATTAGAAAACAGGGGAGGACTGAGCTTTTTGGGGGGTTATTTGGGGAGGAATTCTGAAAATCGCTCACCAGCCAGAATCCAGCACACAACTGCTTGCGTTTCAGAAACCACCTATCAGCTGCCTGATCGCTGCCATTAGCCCTCCCGATTGTCGCTGCAGCAGCCAACAGACAGCTGCCCTTGTCGCAGCAAGCGGGAGTGTGATTGGTGGCCGCTGGCGGCAATCAGGCAGCTGATAGGTGGTTTCTGAGACGCGAGCGGTTGTGTGCTGCGTTCCGGCGGGTGAGCGATTTTCAGCATCCCCCCCTTGCAACAATCAAGTGGCCAATGCTGAAAATCGCTCATCCGCTGGAATGAAGCACGAACCCGAGATTTTAAGTGGCGATTGGCCCGTCATCCCCACCCCACCCCACCCCCACCTGTGTATAAGACGACCCTAAATTCTGAACCTCATTTTTGGGTCAAAAAAGCTCATCTTATACATGGAAAAATACAGTAAATGTAAATTCTGAGTATATACCGTATTTTTCGCCCTATAGGACGCACTTTTTCCCCTCCAAAAATGAAGGGGAAATGTTTGTGCGTCCTATGGGGTGAATGCAGGCTTTCGCTGAAGCCTGGAGAGCGAGAGGGGTTGGTGCGCACCGACCCCTCTCGCTCTCCAGGCTTCAGGAAGCTATCCGCAAGTCTTGCAAGCCCGGCGGGAGGACCCGCGGGCTCGCAAGGCTTGCAGGCAGCAGCCTGCAGCCCACAAGCTCGGGGGATAGCGGGGAGGCGGAGCACCGCCACCCCGCTATTCCCCGACCTGATCTGGAGGCTGGCGGGGGGAGAAGCAAGCTTGCTTCTCCCCCCGCCAGGCCCACAAACTCGGGGGACAGCGGGGCAAGCCGCTGCCCCACAGAGGCTAGAGAGGCTGTCCCTGAAGGCAGAAGAGGGAGACGGAGCGCTCCATCTCCCTTTTCTAGCTTGGGGATGGCTGTGCAAACCTGGGGGGGGGGGATAAAATTTATTTCCTTGATTTCCCCCCCCAAAAAACTAGGTGCGTCCTATAGGGCGAAAAATACGGTAATTAATAGCAAGGGACAAAGTGGTAAGGAACATTATTTTTGCTGTTATGGTATCAGAGGCACAAAGAACTTAGGACTGCCTCCCATTCATATTTTTTAGAGACAGTCTGCATTTTGGGTGCCTCAGGTAGGAAACCCATTATGGGAAGATTTTCTCCAGACTGTTACCATATTCAACAAACATTCCAATGGCCAATAATACATTTCACAAGAATGACAAATGATAGAGTATGTATTTTAAGAGACCTAACTAAATCTATTTTCTACCAAAGATTCCTGCATTGCAGGGGGTTGGACTAGATGACCCTGGTGGTCCCTTCCAGTTCTATAATTCTACGATAGCGCAATCTGCATGCCCACCAACTTCACTTCCACTTCAGTGCCAGACTGGGTAATTTTCCTTGCCACAACAAATTCGATCACACATCTGAGTAAAGGCAAGTCTGGGTTGCGGTCAAAACCCGAATTTCTGAGAACTTTGAGCCTAGCGCTCCCCACAAGAGTCCTTCGAGCGCTGCACGGGTTTAAAGAACGGATGCAGCTGCCTTTAGTTCTGCAACACCTTATTAGCCTTGAAATGAATGACTGGACACGCCACAGAGTCTGTCCAATTAAAAAAAAAGAAAGACCACCCCAGAAATGCCACATGCTGGATCTCGGATGGTGGAGTGGGAAGAAAATTACAGTATTAAGATTCTGGATTTCAACAGGGCGAGACGTAGGGCACTGGATCCCCACGAGACTAGAGGAAGGGGAGAAAATGCAAGGCGTGCAAGGGGCAGTTCTTAGCAAGCAGTATCTGCAGGAGAACAAAACTTCCCCAACAGCGATCTTGCCCTTACCGGTTTTGCAAAACCTTTTGCACCAGCGAGTAACGGCAGCCATCTTGAGGGGTGTGCGGGGAACAGAAGCCGAGCATTATGGGATGGGAAGCATAGCTCCTCCTTGGGTGGGCGGTGGGGAGGTTTAAAGGAGAAGGAACCCATTTTTTCCCCTTATGAAGCCTGACAAATAAAAAGAAACCTCCTGGCTATTAGCAACGGGTTGCGCGCGCTTTTCTGCTTCACAATTCTTTCACAGAAGGGAAAGGCGGAGGTTTTTGTTTCCCAGCAGCCCTCGCTTGTTGTTGCTAAGGGAAGACTTCACGACCTCCTCCATCCACTCCCCTAAATGCGCCAAGCTGTTGCTTCTAAAAAAAATAAAATCTCATCGAGACCCACCCCGCCCCGTCTCTCGCTACAGCTGAGACCCTTCCTCAAGACCCCCCACTCCAGGTGTGCTTAAGGCCTCCTTCGGACTGGGGCTCCCCCTCTCCTCAAGGTGCAACTCGGAAGACCCCTTTCTCAAGCCTTTGAGGCTTTGCAAAGGATGCTCCGCAAGCCGCCTAACCTCCCTCAGGAGAAACATACCCCAATGCATACACTCTCCTTGCTAGGCTGAATCCTGCTGCAAGCTCTTGCCCGAAAGGGCACTGCCCCACCCCCACAAATCACCCTTCTCTCTCCCCTCCCGCAGTTGCCGCACGGCCACTTTCAAGGGAAGCCTTCCACGCCTTCCTAAGGGGAATCCCACATCACCCTCTCTGCCTGTTGCTAAGGTGATCCCGCGACTTCCCACCCGTTGCTAGGCAACCTCCAAGCTGCTGCTGCTGCTAAGGCCGTTTCTCCCCTCCCCGCTCCCAGGGCTTGTTGCCAGGACGACCTTGACACTAGTTCCGAACGGTTGCTATGGAGATTTCCAAACTGTAGCTGCTTCAGGTTCCCTTCCTCCCCGCCTCACAGCACCACAAATTCCCAGGGTGCCTCACACTCAGCATAGATAGGCCTGTTGCACTGCTGGGAGTGGTGTGGTCAAGGTAGCCCGGCTGGTGACCCTTTCCATCAATGATGTCAGGAGGTGAGTAATCGTGTCTGAAGGTGTCTTAACCCCTAAGTGGGGCTGGTTCTCTGTGTGTTATATTTACAGGTACATTTTGTTGTTGTTTAGTCATTTAGCCGTGTCCGACTCTTCGTGACCCCATGGACCAGAGCACGCCAGGCCCTCCTGTCTTCCACTGCCTCCCGCAGTTTGGTCAAACTCATGTTGGCAGCTTCGAGAACACTGTCCAACCATCTCGTCCTCTGTTGTCCCCTTCGCCTTGTGCCCTCAATCTTCCCCAACATCAGGGTCTTTTCCAGGGAGTCTTCTCTTCTCATGAGGTGGCCAAAGTATTGGAGCCTCAGCTTCAGGATCTGTCCTTCCAGTGAGCGCTCAGGGCTGATTTCCTTCAGAATGGATAGGTTTGATCTTCTTGCAGTCCATGGGACTCTCAAGAGTCTCCTCCAGCACCATAATTCAAAAGCATCAATTCTTCGGCGATCAGCCTTCTTTATTGTCCAGCTCTCACTTCCATACATCACTACTGGGAAAACCATAGCTTTAACTATACGGACCTTTGTCGGCAAGGTGATGTCTCTGCTTTTTAAGATGCTGTCTGGGTTTGTCATCGCTTTTCTCTGAAGAAGCAGACGTATTTTAATTTCGTGACTGCTGTCACCATCTGCAGTGATCATGGAGCCCAAGAAAGTAAAATCTCTCACTGCCTCCATTTCTTCCCCTTCTATTTGCCAGGAAGTGATGGGACCAGTGGCCATGATCTTGGGTTTTTTTGATGTTGAGCTTCAGACCATATTTTGCTCTCTCCTCTTTCACCCTCATTAAGAGGTTTTTTAATTTCTCCTTACTTTCTACCATCAAAGTTGTGTCATCTGCATATCTGAGGTTGTTGATATTTCTTCCAGCAATCTTCATTCCGGCTTGGGATTCATCCAGTCCAGCCTTTTGCATGATGAATTCTATATAGACACCCACAACTATATCTGTGTAGGATTGGCTTTTGGGGAGGAGGAGAAATTCAGCAGGTGGAAAACTTCCTTTATCATCATTATGGGCACTCCAGGTACTCTCCTGCGCCAATTGCTCTTAATAATTTGTTAGATCTTATTTGCTTTCCATTATAAATATTAAACAAGTTTGCATGTAAGAGCTAATGCCCAAAACTAGCTGAACTTGAAAATTAGAATCCTTTTGATTGACTGTGCATTGTATTATAGGGCTATTATTATTATTAATTTCTATCCCACTTTATATTTTTAAGGAAAAAAACCTCAAAGCGGTTTACAACCTACATTAAAATGTCAAATAAAACAATCCACAGTACAGAAGAAAGTCAAATATAAAGCATACATTTGAAGCAATGCAATTAATGGGAAACAAAAATGTTGTTTTGAAGATTTCAAAAGAAAACATTACAAAGGAGATCAAGTGCAAAATGCACATTTAACACAGCAAAGTTAACAAACAAAATTAATAATAACATTTCAAAAGAAAACATTACTAAAGAAAGTAAAATATAAAATGCACATTTAAAATGGCATAATTAACAAGAGACTAAGAATATCTCAGGCATAGAACGTATCTGCTGCTGTTGCTGCTGATCTTGCAAATCATGGTTCATGATGGGCAGCAGCTGTGGAATTTTAAGAAAGTGTCATGGGCGCCAGTCACAATATGGCTGCCATGGGAGCATCAGATAGCACAAAATGGCTGAGACAGGACTACAAAATGGTGGAGGCATGTCAACCTACACCAACCACTGCTGCATTTGCTCAGAGAACAGGTCTTGCAATGTTCCTCTGTTCAGAGGAGAAAGGAAGATGGTTGTTCAGTCTTGCCAACCAATGGAGGGCTGATGTCAGTTTTTCTGGTTCTTTTTTTAATGAGAATATGCAGGCATAACTAATCAATGTTAAGTGTCTAAATATACAAATATGCACTCAGTCTCTTCCTTAAAACCATATGAATGTAGTCAGAGCCTTGATGGATGACATCAAAGTCCACGTAAGCTTCCTTAGCAGAATCCCAGCAACCAGCAGGTGCCAGGTGATCCACTAAAAAAGGACTAGTCCCAACACTGAACTACAAATTATGTTCTGGTCATCCCTGCATAGCATTTCCATGTGTCCTTGTTTTCCAGGACACGTCCTCTTTTTCATGGGTAGAGTCGTCATAGCGAGCCATAGTTAAATGTAGAAGTCGGCAGATGCGTCCTCTTTTGTGCTCTTCAAAATAAGGCAACCCTAGAGCATCATGAAGTCAATGAATAGGAGGCGATTTGAGCCTTTAGAAGACATGCTTATTTTTTTATTACTACCCTTGGTCTAATATGACACTTCAAGTGAATTGTTAGCTAAACATCACCTAGCTTTGCAATCTAAAGGGAATTCCAGTGGTTTTGCTTTCAGATAACTCACAGAAGTTATCTCCCCATAGGAGGAGTGAGTATGACGAAATCCCTCATTGCTCAGAGGAACCTGAACTTTCCAGTGGAAAAAGAGTCCCCAGAGAGTATGTGAGTATCTTATGGATGTTTAAGCTGGCATTAAGCTTTCATTCTGATGGTAATAATATTCAGGGCTGGAAGGAGAGGAGCTGTGGGGCTGATTTCTGATAAACTTCTCTTCCTTTTAGATCCCAAGCCTTGACTTCTCTTCATACCCTCCGGCTAGACAGAGAGAGAATTAGCTGCATCGCAAATCTGCAAGGATTAGAGCAGGTCCACAGCCTCTACCTGCAACAGGTAAAATATGTCACTACACCATTAAATGCCATGATACAACAACATTCTCTTGAAAAGATGGGGCTCTGTCAAAGCCTGGTCAGTTAGTGTAGAAGCATCCCAGGAGAAAGGTATCAGCCCAAGTTCAAGGACTTTGTGAAAAACTTTGGTTGTGTGTTGAAGGAGTATTGAACCAGGAACACAGGCAGAAAAAAAGTGTTTGTGTGTGGGCTCCATTATTCAGAGGCTCTGAAGCTGATTAATGTTAATTTCATTTTAGAACCAAATAGAGAAAATTGAGAACTTGAGCTGCTTTCCAGACTTGACGTAAGTGATATTACTTGTTTCCCCAACATTATACAGTGATTTTTCCGGTTTTTGAATGATTTTCAGAAGCTGAACATCTGGCGCAGCTTCCATGGCTTCCGATTGGCTTCAGGAAGCTACTGCAGCCAATCAGAAGTTGCACCTTGGAAGTCAAACATTTTGGAAGTCGAACAGACTTCTGGAACGGATTCCGTTCGACTTCCAAGGTATGTCTGTATCTACAGTATCTATCTACCTACCAACCTCCCTACCTCTAAAAGGACATTTTGTGTGGAAGTTAGAGAATTTCAACTGCTTCTAAATCAAGCCAACTGAGGAGTCAATATTTTGTTCAAGTAGTGGGTCCTGAAGGAGGAATAGGAAGTAGTTCAATGAACAGAGCAGGGAAGGCTGTGATGCATAGGAGGATCATGGCAGAAGACAACCAGGAGCAGAGTCGGAGGGGACAAGGCAGCCAACCAAAGATGAGTTAGAGGATCCACACCATACATGTAAAGTACACCCAAATCTCATTTAAAGCACATGACTTCCACCAAAGGATCATGGGAAGTACAGTTCCCCTTCCTATTTAAATAACATTCAATGCACATTTAAAGCACTTGGCTTCTCCAAAATGTGCATTAAATGTTCTTTAAATGTATGGCGTGGACCTGCCCAGAGAGGTAAGCGGTATTATTCCCACCATGTAGAGAATATAGGCTAAAGGCCTTCTCTCTGGTGTGCTGGTTTTCGTTGTGAGGGGATATTTTTATGCTTCCATCATCAGGAGCAAAGGTACAGGGAGTTTTAATTGTGAGGAGCAGAAGTGCATTGCTAATTTTAAACCAATGCAGGGGGATAAAGGATAGTGAAGGGAAAAGAGGCTGACTGCATCTGGCTCTGAGAGTTGCATCACAACTCATTCCTGCTGCCCAGTGAGAAGTAAATCACGACTTCAGTGTGCAGTTCCCCTTCTAGAGAAGGCAGAGTTATCTTTGGTCTCCTGGATCTCACCACCTCCTCCTATTGTGTTCTCACGCAACTGCAGTTTTCTGACACTAGCCGGGAACCGCATTAGCCAAGTGGAGAACCTCCATACTCTCCCAAAGCTGCAGTTTCTGGATCTCTCACAGAACCGCATTGAAACACTGGACACAGGTACAGCTTTTCCTACACTCAGCTTCACCACCTGCAATACTCTCTTGTGGACTATCAAGTCCCCTGGGATCCATTGTGGAAAACAACTCACCCATCCGCCTACTCTGGTGGGTATTAAGACTAAATCAAACTGGCCGGCTGCTTATCCAGCCAATTTGACTAATAAAACACTGGGCTAGGAGTACTCTGTGCATAAGTAACAAAACAAAACAAAACCCCTCTTGAAATCCAGTACCCGCCAACTCAAATTCTCTTGTGCAGGTGAATTTCCCACTGGGTTGACAAATCAGATCTGTTTGCCACCCTTATTTTAGCCTCAGAAGCTAGTACAGTGGTACTTTGGTTCTCAAACTTAATCCGTTCCAGAAGTCCACTCGACTCTCAGAACGTTCAGAAATCAAGGCACGGCTTCCAATTGGCTGCAGGTGCTTTCTGAACTCAAGTGGAAGCCACATTGGATGTTTGGCTTCCGAAAAAATGTTCAAAACATACTTACTTCTGGGATTTTGGTGGTCAGGAGCTGATTTGTTCATCAACTAAGCCATTGGAGAACCAAGGTTTGACTGTACCAGAAAGGCAGCTGCCCCATGTAAAAAAAGGAGCTCATCCCCCATTTTTTGCTTCATGTGCTAAACTTGAATAATCCTGTATCCAGTTTGCATTTATTCCCATCAGCTTCCCCGATTCTGCCTAACTTTCTGCACAGATGAGCTGCCCCGGAGCCTTGTGATCCTTGACCTGACAGGAAACGAATGCACTAAGCAGAACAACTACAGGTAACGCCAAGAATCGATCCACGCTTCTGCATAATATCCCACCCAATAGCTTTAGGCATGTGCATCATGCCCATGTAGAACCTACAGGTGAGGGATGAAGAGTGCAACGCTCCCATCCGGTTCCCTGTGTTGGCATACCTGCCCCATCTCTGGGACCTGCCTGCCTGTTGCCTGGGCATCCTGCAGGAATGGAGGTTTCTATGCACAGTACCATAGGAAAAACTCAAGGGAAGGATCAGAATGGATGGGAGATGTGGGAAGTGGTGGCAGGGCTTTTGAAGCAACAACAGCATGGCTTCTAGCAGCTATTGGGGGGGGGCGGGGAGGCCTCTGTGTCTGATTCTTCATTCAAGTGCCAAAGAAATGGGTGCATCTAGGAAGTTTGCCTCTCCTTTAGCAACTGTTCCCACCTCACTAGGGGGCTGCCATGGGCTTTGAAGATGTTTTGTTTGATGCCCAGCTTGAGAACTCTTGCTTCCTTCTGCCATCCCAAGGGAGCGCGTGTTGGCAGCTCTGCCCCATCTGAAAGAACTGGATACGCAGGGTGTTTGGAAAGACACCGTCCAAACTGAAGAAGAGGAGGAGGACAGTTCAGAAGACAGCGACGAGGATTGGTCTGATCTCGCTATACCTCTGAGCGTAGAAAAAGGTACCCCCAGTTTCCAGGCCAGGTTTTAGGTGTTAGGAACATCAGGGACCAAGGACCTGCTTTGCGTGGTGCCTCTTCCACGCGAGGTCTGGAGGGTGGCAACAGAAGAACGGGCCTTTTCTTAGTTGGAAATAACTTGCAGATAACTACAGTGGTACCTCGGGTTACATACGCTTCAGGTTACAGACTCCGCTAACCCAGAAATAGTGCTTCAGGTTAAGAACTTTGCTTCAGGATGAGAACAGAAATTGGGTGGCGGCGGCACAGCGGCAGTGGGAGGCCCCATTAGCTAAAGTGGTACCTCAGGTTAAGAACAGTTTCAGGTTAAGAACAGACCTCCAGAACGAATTAAGTACTTAACCCAAGGTACCACTGAATGTCACTTCTCTCTGTTATGGAACTATATGTAGCATTCCCAGAGGGTCTTCCCATTTATAGACTGACCTGACCAAGCACTCCATAGCTTCAGCAGAGCAGCTGCCTCATATCCCTGGGATAATTAAGTGCAGGAAATTTGAGTGACTCTCCAACTTCCTGCCTGAGCTGGTTCCGAGGCCAAAAGGGCAGTCGTTCCAGTGACGCACACTAGTCAAAAACTTGTGGGGGTTCCACTAGTCATCTCCACATAAAGGAACACTCTGTGCCCATTCTAGAGGCAGCAGCTGCTGACACAGAGCTTCCCACGCCTCTCGAGCAAGTGTCTTCCGGATGATGCAGACTCCATGTAATTGCAAATAATTCATATTATTTTGGCCAAGAGTGCACACACTGTTGCCCTTAAAAAAATTAAAACCCCCTGGGAAGTCATAGATTCTCGTTGCACATTTGCTGAGAATGGACAGTAGGAAAAGGAATTGTCGGGGAGGCGTTTCTCTAGCGCCAGACACAGCGGGCCTGCTTTTTTACTTATATCCTCTTCATTTGGCAGACTTCTTTGCTGACCTCCGTGAGGAGTTAGGCGCCCACTCAGCCCAGCGGAGGGAGGAGGAAGCGAGGGAATATGAAGACCGCTTGGAGGAGCTGAGGCAGATGCAGAATCTGAGAGCGCTGGTGTTCAACACAAGTGAAAGGCCGCCCTGGCCATTCGGTGTACTGGAAATAATATCCGCAGCCCCAGAGGGGAGCGTGCTCCAAAGTGAATATCCCCACCACCCTCCTTCCAACCTTTCAAAAACGGCAAACCCAACACCCAAAAAGGGGCCAAGAGCCCCAAAGGGGAAGGCTGGCGGCTCAAGTCCAACACAGCTGAAAGCTTCAAAGGGAGAGGGGTCTGGTGTAATGAAAACCACAAGCAAAGGTGTAAAGAAATGATTAGTGCATCCTTTTGCTTTTCGTTTTTAATTTTTGCTTTATTCTGTCAAACAAATACAATACTTCCTTGAATCTAATCAGCAGATGGGTTGTTATCCATCTTTTAAGTGTGGAGGGGCATGGCAAGGAGGCAGAAAACTGACAAAGGCCCTCTGCTGAAACCTGTAGGCAGTACTTCCTCTAAGTGAAGGCTGCAAGCGGCGAGGCCAGTTGCAGGTTTACTCAGGCCAATGGGGCTTGCTCCTTCCTAAGGACATGCAGGAAGGCTTTTTTGTGCCTGTTGAAATTCTGACCTGCTTGATGAAAACCGGCTTACCTGTGAAAACTATTCCTGGGAAGTATAGAGTTATGAGGCCACTCATAATTCCTTGTTAGGAGTTTGGAGCTGCCCAAAACTTGGCGAGGAAACAAAATAACGATGCAGGTCTGAAACCTTGCATATGCCTTTTAAAGGCAATTTGCGTCATCTCCCCAGTGTATTTGTGCTATATGCAGGTTCAGATTAATCATAGAATTGCACCATCAAACCTCTGAAATGCTTGGGATGGGATATTTGTTTAGAAGGCAGCTCCATCCCAAATCATCTCAGCAACTGAGAACAGTGGTAAGGCTGAGGATACAGAGCTCAAAAAAATAAAAAAAAATAAAAAAAAATTGCAGCATCCGTAATAGAAGAGAATATACATCTCACAGGTTATTCTGTAGTGCTATGTCTACAATAATACACTGGCAGCATTTGCTGGAATCGCGGGTCGTTTTAAGAAAAAATGTTTGGGATATCTCAGACAGATGTTAAAATTCGGAGGACGGTTTCTCTGTTTTTAGAAGGAAAAAAAACAGCCCTTCTCCCAGATTATTTTTCTCGGTCCCTCCAAACCAAAAATGCAGTGACAAAACTAAAATGGAGACCCATCTATCTTGCAGACTGAGATCTACCTAATGTGTCCCCAACAGCTTAGGCCCAACAATTCCAAATGTCTTATCTCACTCTACTTCATTGCTTCTGACAGTAGCCAGTTGGAGGTTTCTGAAGTGCACTAAAGTGCTACCCCTTCCCTTGTTTGTCTGTAGCTCTTAAGACGCAGAGGCTGCTCCACCTTTCAGAACCACCAGCCTTCACGAACTTTTCAAAGCCACAACCATGCCCGTGGTCTTCACTCTTGCAGCAGCAATGAATTCTGAAGGCTGCCTATGCCAACTCCACAATTTTAAGGTTTCGTTTTTGAAAGAAGGTGCAGCATTATCATATCATATCATTCAAGTAGGGTTTTGTTTCACACATGGAACTCTCAGTGGTCTCGGGAACGAGCCTCAATCTCTCTGCCCTGATAGGGATCTTACTGTTTATATAACTTGATTTCTGTGACCACACAGTCGTAGAAGAGGTCAGCCAGCTCCTGGGGTTTCAGAGTGAAGGAGCCCGCCAGCAGGTTCTTCATGGCCTCCAGGGCTTGCCGCTGAAATTTCCGCATAATCTCTTGGAGTCTCTGGCGCTCATGCTTGGGGGGGGGGAGGAGAGAAGAACGGGGCATTAATTATGGGGACCTTAGGGTGTTGCCATAACTCATTTGTCACCCATCCCTGGCATGGCAGATGCCACCCCTCAATACCCATGGTTGATGTCATCCAGGGGGTGGGAAGGCGGACTTGGAAGCCATTTCGCTCACCCACAAGGTTTCATGAAAAGCTGGGGTAATGAATTGGGGCTACAACTGGGTGGGACCACATCCCGAGTCAGGGCTGTTTAAACCCTGGCTGGGTGGTAAAGAGGAGGGAAGACAAAGAAGAGCAAGAAATGGAGAACAGCAGGTGGAAAGTGATTAGAGGCATTCTGGAGAAAGGACTTTATGATCTGAAAACAGATGATGTACAGTCGTACCTTGGAAGTCGAACGGAATCCGTTCCGGAAGTCCATTCGACTTCCAAAACGTTCGGAATCCAAAGCGCGGCTTCCGATTGGCCTGCAGGAAGCTCCTGCAGCCAATCGGAAGCCAGGGAAGCCCCGTCAGACATTCAGGTTCCAGAGAATGTTCGCAAACCGGAACAGTCACTTCCGGGTTTGTGGCATTCGGGAGCCAAAACATCCGAGTACCAAGGCGTTCGGGATCCAAGGTACGACTTATGTACTTTTGTAACCCAAAAATCTTTAATAAAAACAATGAGATAGGAAGTGATTGGAGACAGAAAGGAGAACGGAAAGAGAGAGCTAGAAATAAAGCAGCCAACGAGCAGAGTTCAGAGAACATGGAAAGTGGAACCAAGTCAGTTTGGGAAATATCAGGTGACAAGGAGCTGGGCTAGAGGAAAGAGTTCAGAATGAGAATATGGGGGAAGGGGCCAGAGATTAGTGGAGTTGTAGTCCGACAGCATCCGGAGGCGGTATAAGTCCCCCAGCCCTGATCTACAGTAACTGCAAGTGGTTCTTCAGGGCTTCACCTCATTGCGGTCCATGGTGTCCAGGACTAACTGGTGTTCCCTGTAGAGATTGTGCCGTCGGTCCACCCGTCTCTGAAACCTGGGCATCTGCCTGACGGGGTCTTTGTCGCCAAAGGTCGGCGATTGCACTTGGTGAAAGAAAGTGACGTTGGGAACGAAGATAAAGGGTTTGAAGATCGACCTGCCGAGCAGGAGAGAGGAGAGGATTTGGACAAGGTACCCGACACTCTTAATCAAACGGTTCCCCTAAAACACAGAGAGATCATATGAACATGACAACATGATTTATATATTAAAAAAACTAAAAACAAAACAAAAATGCAATGTGCTGCTTTTCCGAAGCTCAAAGTGGTGACCACCAAATTGGACAAATTTTAAAATATGGTTAGACAACGTCATGCAGGATTAGGCTGCATGCATCCTGCAAAACCTCCAAGTTTTAGAGGCAGCATGGTTGCTGATTCACAGTTGCTGGGGAGCACCTGATGGAGAGGGCTATCGCACTCATGTCCCGAGAATAGTCTGCGCTGATTTACTGCCATTTTACTTAATTTGAGATGTAATGATTTTTTAATACAGTCGTACCTCGGAAGTCGAACAGAATCCGTTCCGGAAGTCCATTCGACTTCCGAAACGTTCGGCTTCCAAAGCGCGGCCTCTGAATGGCTGAAGGAAGCTCCTGCAGCCAATCGGAAGCCATATTGGATGCTCAGCTTCCGAAAGAATGTTCGAAAACTGGAAAACACTTCTGGTTTTCGATCGTTTGGGAGCCAGAATGCTCAGCTCCCAAGGCGTTCGGAAGCCGAGGTACAACTGTACTCCTTTTATTCATTGTTTAATTTCAGTATCACCTGTCCTATACCTTTGTTAGGGGGCAAAAAAAACAGCTTTCTGGGAAAAAAGCATATTTCGGAGTCTTGCAGAAAAGGGAACTTATTAAATGAAGCATAAAATACTGACAGGATGAACTTTCACACAACCATATCATTATAAGTATCTCAAGGCTGGTGGGAGAAAACAACGTTTTACAAGAAAGATAATTTCAGATTATGTCATACTTATCCCGTTCCATAGATTATGTATTGGTTGGAGACTGGTCTTCAGTAACTGTAAAAGGCGCATTTATTTTGTTCACATAAAACTCTTTCCCATTCCAATAAATTACTGGGGAATAAGGAACTCGCCTGAAATAACAAATGCACTTCCAATAGCTGTTCTGGTTGGCCAGCAGGGCTCCTCTCAACTTGGCAGGTGCACTCACCAATTTTAATGAAGCAGGAGTTTTTGGCTTACCTGGAAGGGTCTGGCGTGGCCGTGAAGAAGTGGATGCAAGGCAGGTGGGGATCCTGCGGCAGGACGGAAACCATGCTTCCCGTGGTGCAGAAACCTTCCGAATCGACGCAGATCCCGCTGGCCTTGTCACTCAAGATGGTCATAATGGTCTCTGCGGTGATCTGCCCTACACATCAGTAAAGAGGAAGATGGGAAACTGTTCTGATACCAGAAGAAGAGGGTGTCAGAATTCACAAATACCCGATGGAGGCTTGCTCTACTATGGAGCCAAGGCAAAGGGACAGATTTGGGGAACCGTCAAGCGTGGCAAAGTGGGAGGCAGGCGGACCAACTGGGCACAATCCACTAGGGAAGTCTCCTGCACGAGCCCTGTTGGAAAATGGTCACCCATTTGGACTTTCTGAATCGGGCGCCAAAATGTCCTGGGCCAGGCCTTATTACTTATGTAAGAGTCACTTCCTCTTGACTACTTTCTGCCCCACCCAAACTGACATGCAGAAGGACTAGGTGAGGTTCCTGAGTGTTAAGGGCAAAGGGAAGCATTCTGCATGTGCTCATAAGCACTCTCTCTGCACCAGCTGATTGGTGTGTCCTCCTACACCTAAATGCAACGCCTAACCACCGCACCAAATGCAAGAGCCAGGAGTCTCAAGGTAACAAATCTCGCAATCCCGTGCCAGCATCTATCCATTACAGTGGTACCTCCGGTTGCAGACAGGATCTGTTCCAGAGGTCCAGTCAGTTCCAGAGGTCCAGTCAGATCCCGAGGTTTCCGCAACCTAAGGACCGCTTCTGCATATGCACAGACTGCTTTTGCATATGCATGCGCAGTGAAACCCGGTAAAATACTTCTGGGTTTGCCGCGCACCCACCCCGAAGTTTACGTAACCAGAGGTTTACGTAAACGAAGGTACGACTGTACTACCGCATAGATCTTCCGGCCTACATCTAAAACCACATCTTTAAATAGATCAGTTACATTACATTATGGGGCTGCAAACTGAATGCTAAATTCTCTGGGTCCCCCTTGAGTGACGCTTGCTAGGCAACCAGGAGGATGTTGGCATTTCCAGCTGCCACCCCAGTGGGGTCACATGACCAGCTGGGCTGCGCTTCTGACTATCTGAACCAACATTAAGTGGCTCTAAAGGACGCCTTTGCAACTCGCTTCCCTCCACAAAACAAAGCCAATAATGATAAAAGCTTTCTTGAAGATGAGATATAATGAAATGAAAAAAAAATGCTTAAAATAACCTTTGTTAAGAAACCAGAAGCTGTTCTATTAGAAATTACAGGTACCGATATACCAAAGGAGCAGAAAAGACTCTTCATGTATGGAACAACAACTGCTCAGATGTTATTGGCCCAGAGTTGGAAAGAAAACAAAGTCCCTACCAGAGAGGAGTGGCAAACCAAGCTGATGGACTACGCCGAGATGGCAAAACTGACTGGAAAACCCAGAAACCAAGAGGACAAAAACTTTATAAAAGAACAGGAAAAAATTAAGTTATTTAGGAGACCACTGTAAGCAGATGGAAACATTAGCAGGATTTCAATTTCACTTGTAGCGTAACAATTACCATGGATAATATGGATTGATATAAAACAGGCATCCCCGACCTTTGGCCCGCCAGACGTTTTGGACTACAATTCCCATCATCCCTGACCACTGGTCCTGTTAGCTAGGGACCATGGGAGTTGTAGGCCAAAACATCTGGAGGGCCGCAGGTTGGGGACACCCGATATAAAAGTTGGGAGTATTGAAGAGTATGTAGTATTAAATTTTAAAATGGGACCCTGGGAGGGGATGGGAGTTCTGAGATTCGGAGGAATCTCTGTATATGGATATATACAGTGGTACCTTGGGTTAATAACTTAATTAGTTCCGGAGGTCCGTTTGTAACCTGAAACTGTTCTTAACCTGAAGCACCACTTTAGCTAATGGGGCCTCCCACTGCTCGTGCCACCGGAGCACGATTTCTGTTCTCATCCTGAAGCAAACTTCTTAACCTGAGGTACTATTTCTGGGTTAGCGGAGTCTGAAACCTGAAGCGTCTGTAACCCGAGGTACCACTGTATTTGGATTCTTTTATATAACTTTGCATTTGTAAAATCAAATAAAAATCATTTCAAAACAAAACAAAAAACAAGCTTCCAAAACCCTACACCTCTACGTATTTTGGATACACACCTGAATGTTGGTGCAGCAGCTGCTGGCCAGCACAATAGCGAGCTTTGGCCGCCTCCATGCGCACAGGCTGGTGGGTGAGAGAAAACACCTCCAGGAAGCTGAATGCCCCTTGGCCACTCCACCATCCCTGCTCCCGGGCATGTTGCCTGAGGCCCGCATGCTCAGAGGTAATGTCGGTACCAATGCTCAGCTGGTTGGAAATGTTCCGGGCACCTTCTGCAGGGTGGGAGGAGAGACAAGGTGATCCTACTCAACCAGCGGGAAGTTTGAAAAGGGCTTAGCTGATCTGGAATACAGTTCCATAATACATCTCAACAGCCCGAGGTTTTATTTATTTATTACATTTATATACTTCCTTTTTCCTCGAAGGAGATCCGAGGTCCTAGTCTAACGTTCTAATAAATAATAAATAATAATAATAATAATAATAATAATATATTATTTAAACCCCGCCCATCTGGCTGGGTTTCCCCAGCCACTCTGGGCAGCTCCCAAGAGAATATTAAAAACACGATAAAACATCAAACATTAAAAACTTCCCTGAACAGGACTGCCTTCAGATGTCTTCTAAAAGTCAGATAGTTGTTTATTTCCTTGACATCGGATGGGAGGGCGTTCCACAGAGCGGGTGCCACTACTGAGAAGGCCCTCTACCTGGTTCCCTGTACCTTCACTTTTCTTGCAGTGAGGGAACCGCCAGAAGGCCCTCGGAGCTGGACCTCCGTGTCCGGGCTGAACGATGGGGGTGGAGACGCCCCTTCTAACCACATGCAGGGTTCCAAACTGAACTTTTCTCAGCGCAGAATCTGAACCAGGAATCTCGGCAAAGCAAGCAAACGAAAGCCCAGACCGTTCGCAAAAGAGCAACGCCAGATATTTCTGTGTATCCGTTAAGATCCAAGGTGTCCTATCATCTCTTTCTGAAATGCACTCACCTCGAATCCTCTGAGCCGCCCAAAACCGCCCGGCTGTTTCTACAACCCAGGCTTCAGTGCGATCCGCAAGGAGGAAGGTGTTGTGGTAAATGAAGGGGGTCGGCTCCTCCTTACAACTGCCCCCTTGGCCGTAACGTTCCAGGAGGGATGTTATAACCTGGACTGCTTCCTGGGCACTGCTGCCTCGCTCCAAACCGAGCCTGAAATACATTATTTTAGCCATTACTGCCTCTGCAAACCTGACTGTGAACTAATTTACTCAGGGATGGATGACCAGTGGCTCTCTAGTTGTTGTTGACTCCGCTTCCCATGAGCCCCAGCCAACATAGTCACTGGTCAGGGATGATGGGAGTTCATAGAATCATAGAATCATAGAGTTGGAAGAGACCACAAGGGCCATCGAGTCCAACCCCCTGCCAAGCAGGAAACACCATCAGAGCACTCCTGACATATGGTTGTCAAGCCTCTGCTTAAAGACCTCCAAAGAAGGAGACTCCACCACACTCCTTGGCAGCAAATTCCACTGTCGAACAGCTCTTACTGTCAGGAAGTTCTTCCTAATGTTTAGGTGGAGTCTTCTTTCTTGTAGTTTGGATCCATTGCTCCGTGTCCGCTTCTCTGGAGCAGCAGAAAACAACCTTTCTCCCTCCTCTATGTGACATCCTTTTATATATTTGAACATGGCTATCATATCACCCCTTAACCTCCTCTTCTCCAGGCTAAACATGCCCAGCTCTCTTAGCCGTTCCTCATAAGGCATCGTTTCCAGGCCTTTGACCATTTTGGTTGCCCTCCTCTGGGCACGTTCCAGTTTGTCAGTGTCCTTCTTGAACTGTGGTGCCCAGAACTGGACACAGTACTCCAGGTGAGGTCTGACCAGAGCAGAATACAGTGGCACTATTACTTCCCTTGATCTAGATGCTATACTCCTATTGATGCAGCCCAGAATTGCATTGGCTTTTTTAGCTGCCGCGTCACACTGTTGGCTCATGTCAAGTTTGTGGTCAACCAAGACTCCTAGATCCTTTTCACATGTACTGCTCTCAAGCAGGTGTCCCCCATCTTGTATTTGTGCCTCTCCTTTTTTTTGCCCAAGTGCAATACTTTACATTTCTCCCTGTTAAAATTCATCTTGTTTGTTTTGGCCCAGTTCTCTAATCTGTCAAGGTCGTTTTGAAGTGTGATCCTGTCCTCTGGGGTGTTAGCCACCCCTCCCAATTTGGTGTCATCTGCAAATTTGATCAGGATGCCCTCGAGTCCATCATCCAAGTCATTGATAAAGATGTTGAATAAGACCGGGCCCAAGACAGAACCCTGTGGCACCCCACTAGTCACTCTTGTAGTTGTAGTCCAGCAAAAGTTCAAAGCCCTCAGATTAACCACCTCTGCCCTAATTGATGCACTGAACTTATTACAGTATTCTTTAAAAGGCAATATATTTTCTCAATATAGATTTTTTTAAAAAGAGGCTTTTAGGCGAACCAGGGAATTTTAAGTAAGATCATTTGCAAACCGTGACTGATCGCTATTAAAAAGTCAGACAGTGTTTGATACCCTTTCGTTCATCCAGTTGGGAATTTTGTAGTAACTGAACAGGACTAAAAAGGCTTCAGAAATAAAAAAGTTTCCAATATCCACCAATACTGTGGGAGACCCAGGTTTAAAGGACACCAATTACAACCGTTTGCTATTGCGATTCTTATTTGGTCTGGGGGGAAAGATTAAAGGGGGGACACACATGATAGCCACCTTCAAATATTTGATAGGCTGTCATATAGATGATGAAGCAATTCGTTTTCTGCAGTTCGACAAGGCAGACCCTGAACCAATGGCTTAAATTACAAGAAAAAGCTTTCTTATTAAACATTAGGGAGAACTTCCTGATGATTCCAGCTGTTTAATCGTGTAACAGACTGCCTTGGAATGTGGACTCTCCTTCGCTGGAGGTGTTCAAACCTACCAGGGATGCTGTTTTCCTATTATGAACAACTATAGTGCTGTAAAAAGGGAGGCGGGTGGCGCTGTGGGTTAAACCACAGAGCCTAGGACTTGCCGATCAGAAGGTCGGCGGTTTGAATCCCCACGACGGGGTGAGCTCCCGTTGCTCGGTCCCTGCTCCTGCTGACCTAGCAGTTCGAAAGCACCTCAAAGTGCAAGTAGATAAATAGGGACCGCTCTCTGGCGGGAAGGTAAACGGCGTTTCCGTGCGCTGCTCTGGTTCACCAGAAGCGGCTTAGTCGTGCTGGCCACATGACCCGGAAGCTGTACGCTGGCTCCCTCGGCCAATAAAGCGAGATGAGCGCCGCAACCCCAGAGTCGGTCACAACTGGACCTAATGGTCAGGGGTTCCTTTACCTATAGTGCTGTAACTCTTCTTAGCTCACCAATTCTCAGAACAATTGTAGAGAGGGTGTTCACTGTCATTCCCATTATACAGATGCAAGAACTGAGGCCAGATCATCTTTTGTCCAGATGCAAAGACAGCATCTCAGCCTCCATGTGGGCCAGCAGCATGGGCGTAGCCAAGGGGGGGGTAGGGGAGCAGCTACCCCCCCCTCAAATCATTAAAAATCAATACAAATCTGAAGTTCTGACCTCCTAATGAAAGCTTGCCCCCTAACAAAAATCCTGGCTATGGCCGTGGCCGGCCAGGCGATTACAGAGGAGCAGAAAATACAACTTGGGCACAAGCTGATGATTCACAGCCACCCAACATGACACCTCCTACCTGACCAGATCCATGCCCAGCAAGGCTTCCTCCTCTGCCACGAGCTCCTTGGTCCACACCCCTTCATTGCCGATGCAGACCCCGTGCTCGTTGGCTCCCATCTCGGCTCCCCAGAGCCAGGCTGGTCGGCTGAGAATGACCGCATGGGTCTTCTCAACCTGGTCCACTTCAATATATGTGCACTGGGAAGAAAGGCAGTCATTGAAACAAAAGTCTACGCTGGCGCTTTCATTATTTTTGTTGTTTTGCTCACAAAAAAGTGTGATACGCTTCCCTGTTCGATGTGTTGTTTATCAAGCCATTCCTAATGCATCTTTGCATAGGGTAAAGATATCCCCTCTCCATCAGCACCCTACTGAAATGAATCTGACACTAATGAAGCTGTGCTGATGTGAACAGGTTTGGGGGAAAAGAGCTTTTAAATGCGGGAGGGGGGGCACACATATACAACTTCGCTGTGCTCCAAGGTGCTAATTTGAACATAATTTGCCATCCTCTATACATACTCCAATTTCCCAACGTCTTTCTTAAAATGTTAGTACCCAGAATGGAACACAGGACTCCAGAACGGCAGGGCTGGCAGTGCATTAAGGACAGATTCCGCCTCCTCTGTCCTGATAGTGGCTCAATTCACACATAATGCCGAGTGTGCAGGCTACTCGAGGGAAGATCACAGCTGCTTTGCTCCTTCTCTGGTCCTGCTGTTTTGCAGTGAGCTAATCCATGCTTTGGCTTAGCACGCTGCCCAAACCTGAGCTTATGGTTTGTCTCCTGCACAGACCATGGGATGCAAACAAGAACAAACCTTGGCTGCAGTTCATGGTTTGTCTGGAGCAAGACAAACCATGACCCCAGGTTCAGACGGCATGTTGGCCAAACCACAGGCTAGCGCACAGCAAAGCAGTAGAAGCAAAGTCACCATGGACTCCATATGTTCATGATAAACCGGCAGTTCTCAACAAGTATGGCAAGCCACACTGACGTGCCAGAAGATAACGACAAGTGTGGCAGGAAGATTCAAGGACAATCAAGCATTTAAACATTTCAGTGTAGTATAAAGCAATTGTTTTTATTTGCAGAATATGGATAGATATATTTTCAAAATGAGAACAAAAAGCATCAGGTCATACTGATGACAATCCTAGTTGCGATCTTTTCGTTTTCTAATTATCAACAAAATTTTGGTGTGGCAGGAGCAAAATACTTATTGTGTAAGTGTGGCCCAGAGAAAAAGGTTTGAGGACCAGTGTGCTAAACCAGAGTTTGATAAAGCATAGTTTGGCTTAGCACTACCTGCAAACCTGGTCACGGTTTGGAAAGTGTTCTGTTCATGGAGAATGTATACGCCAGTAATTGGGGGTGGTTTGTGTGCCCTGATTTAGGATGGACCGCAGCAATAGATACGTTGGAGATGTGACTTCTCATTACTTTCTAGAACATAGCCCTCTCCCACAGATGAAGCTCCATGCTCCCGTACTGCCTGCTGGATTTTAGCTCACCTGGACCTTTGCCCCCTTGGCATGGCTTCTGGCTGGGAAATAGACTACCTCTTGGACTTCATCCCTCGGCCGGTCAGAATTCTTGCCAAATATGACCTCTCTGGCCGCAGAGGCCGGGGGAAGAGAGACGAAGCAGTCGCAGGAGGAGGGTCCACAGGGACAAGGGTCAGCCATTCTATCTACAGGCAAGACCACAAGACAACAGCTGGAGATTGTAGCTTCCACTCCTGCTAAGTGTTGTATGAGATTCTCTCTGCTTTCTGACCTGGCGGGAAAGTCTCTCCCACTTTATTTGAAGCTACTGTGCAATGCAGTGCTAAGCATGCCTACTCAAAACAAAGCCCTGTTGAATTCAGTGCGACCTACTCCCTAACAAATGAGGTTAGGATTGTAGCTTTATCAGCTCAAGGTATGCAAAGATAGCCGTCACAAACAGGGACAGCAGGCTCCTTAAAATGCTTATATGCCACTCCTACAAACACCTGTATGAAAAGAGGTGCTGGAACTCACCAATAATGCCTCTACTGTTCTCTTAGAATGGCAAGGCACCCATCTGAAATGCACCGGAACTCAGTTCCAGCGAGTTCCGGCTGAAAAAAGCCCTGGATGCCCCTGCTTCCTAATGTTCTCCCTCCCCCAACCCCTTTGCAGGGCCCAAACTTTTCACAAGCCTTTTTTTTTGCAACATTTAAAGCCCAGCTCCCTCTCCAGTGTGTGCTATGCATGGCAGAGAACCTTGCACCCTGTAACCTTTTCATGGCATGCACAATAAGAGGGCATGTGCCACGGTGCAGTTTCTAATGTCTGATGTTTTATTATGCTTCTATCTATGTTGGAAGCCTCCCAGAGTGGCTGGGGCAACCCAGCCAGATGGGTGGGGTGCAAATAATAAAATTAATTATTATTATTATGCACCCACCGACTCACCCACGCCTATCCTAGCAGGCCTTGCGGGATGGGGACCCTGCTCAATGATACTTTACAAAGATCGCCCTACCTCCCCCAACCCCTGCAGCAGCCAGGGCTTGGCGGTGACTATTGCACTTTTTCCTAACTCTCGCAGGCCCTTCGCAATATATCCCTTTTTGAAACGGCTCATTCGCTCCTCCTCCTCTTCCTCCAGCTACAATCGAGCCGATTCACCATGCTGGTCCGTTTACTATTTGCTATTACGCTTGCAGCTGTTCCCCCTTCTGCTTTGCCCAGGGCCTGCTGAGTTATATTCTAGCCCTTGATAAAATATTATATCCCTTGATAAAATCCCTTTCTCGCGCGTGCACTCCCTCCCACCAGCCCCCAATCCCCCACGGCTCTTACAGGCTTCCGATGCAGGATGCAGGAGCACCGACTAGCCTTCCCCCACCGCGTCTTCCGGATCTGTCGCGTTCAGGGAGGAGACGTGTCCGCCGTCTGCAGCGAACCGGGGTCAAACTTTGCAAAGCTGAAGACGGCATCGGAGAACCGGCGGCGCTAGGGCCAGCTTATGTTTGGAGCTGCCTGGATGATTTATTAAGAAAGCGTGTGTGGGGCTTGGGGTGGGTGCGTGATGCTGTCGTTGCCCCAGAGGGACACTAGAGGGCGCCCTTCGATCACGTACCGAGCCCAGGACGTGAAACGCTGGTTTCTCTTAAGAGTGGACAAAGCGAAGTAGTAAAAAAAAAAAAGTTACTCAAGTGTCTGCAGAAGCAAACCTGGCCCAACTTAAGGTGTTTGGGGGCCCCGAGGTGGAAAGTCCAAATAGCTCGTTTGGAAAGTCCAAATACAAGAAGTCGGCCTTACTATAATTGTTATTTTATTTAAATATCCCCCCCCCCCCAAATTCTTCGCTCGCAGAGATAAATAAAAACAACACCAACTCTTCCCTCAGGATTACAGCCTAGAAGGTTAGGGCACAAAAGAAAAAAGGCCTTCTCACGAGGCAGGAAATTCTCCCAATGAACCCCCATTGTTGTTTTGTTCAATGTGTCTACCACTCCTCATTGGAAGAGCCCAGGGCGGTTCGCAACAGGAAAATACAAAATGAGAATGCAAAATACATAATAAAACAAAAACAAACCAATAGCACACACCCCCTCCCACAAACACAGCTTGATTGTAATTTCATTTCAAGATCAAATCCATATTATTTTGATCTGTTGTCGCGGGGCCCCTAAAAGGCTAGTGCCTACTTTGTCTATTTAGTAATCCGGTGCTGAACCCATTGTGGTCTTGCACACCAAAGATGCCCAGCTTCAAGAAGGATAGGGCTCCTGGGCCTTTAATCGTTGTGTACAAGAGGGAGTTTCAGCAGGTGTAGCTTGCCATCCCTGGAGCCAGGCCAGGAAGGGATCTTACAGCTGCTCATGCAAGCTACATCTGCTGAAATTCACCTGCTGGGAGGCCCTCCTTTCCACAACTATTAAATATACAGGAGGCCGGCCTTACTATCATTTTTATTTTATTTAAATATTTCCCCCCCCCCCAATTCTTCGCTTGCAGAGACAAATAAAAACAACACCATCTCTTCCCTCAGGCTTACAATCTAGAAGGTTAGGGCACAAAAGACAAAAGGGATGGGGAGGGTAGAGGAAAACAAGCAAACAGAAACCACATCCTTTACGTTACAAGGTACATAATATGAGCAGCTTGGATGAAAACAGGCTGTTCACAGTTGAGAAACAAGGCCTTGTTGAGCCCCTGAGAAATTGCCTGGCAATCCAGCTTTCGTAGCTCTGACTATAATGCAGCCAGAAGCTGTTGACCTTGGAGGTTGGGGGTCTCAACCTTCTGGAAACTGGAGTCTGCCAGCTTCAGATACCATCAAGTCCACATAAGATGGTCTTTGATGGCTCTTCATCTCCAGGCTGTTGGTTCTAAATTCACTGGCGGACTTTGGTCTTTCAAACTGGCGCCCTGGGGAAGCTGCGTCTGCCGAATGTCTGTTTGCGTAGGGAGAAGGGACCCAGCTGGTCAAGTGTTTACAGTTCTTTCTTGTCTACTACTGCTTTCCTATCTTTAGCCTCTGTCCTCCCTCTTGTGCTTTCCCATTCATTTTGATGGGGCAGAATTTCCCAGCGGATTGTGCTCCATGTCTGGCAAGCCCACAGACTTCATGGAAGGTTGGCACTACCATTAAGCAGAGGGAGGTGGCTGCCTCAGCCAGCAGAGGATGGGGTACGCTGGTATGAGTTTTTGTGTTTGCCACATGGCCTGTCTGCTGTCGTGAAGTGTGCCAGCCCGTCGCCAGTGTTGGAGTTTGGTCAACCTCTGGAATAGAAGGGGGATGCCATCTTGAGATAAACAACTACCTGACATTCAGAAGACATCTTAAGGCAGCCCTGTTCAGGGAAGTTTTTAATGTGTGACATCTTAGTGTATTTTTGGTTTTTGTGGAAGCCACCCAGAGTGGCTGGGGAAACCCAGCCAGATGGGTGGGGTACAAATAATAAATTGTTGTTGTTGTTGTTGTTGTTGTTGTTGTTGTGTGCATCAGACAGGAAAATATCTCAGTCCAAGCTCTGCCTCAGCCCCCTTCCGGTTTCTTGCTGTTTTTGGGTGGGATTCAATCACATACCAACAAATTTGGACCACAGAATTAAAGTTGCTGGCTTTTTGTGATAAGAAGAGTGATGAACTGGAAAGCGTGTGGGATCACAATTGCTTGACACCATGTCGTATACACAACACAAGCAAATAAGACTGGACACTCAGTTAATCGTCAGCACCATCTAAGCTCCCCACAAATTTTGTGCAAAAATTTACAGGGTGAATGCTGAATAAACAGGTCGTTTTATTAGTTCACTTGAGGCTTGCCTCTCCTTTCTAATCTGTCCTTGACCCTCCCAAATCTCCTCTGCTCCATCCCTAGGACTCTTCGAAAGGGCAGCAACAAGACCTTTTGATGCTCAAGGTGCAAAATCCAAGGGTGCCAGCAGATGACCTGTTTATTCCATGTTTATTCTGATTTGCTTGCACAGAGCTTATGCAGTGGTTAGACTAGGTCCAATTCTTATTCAGCATTTGTTCTGGTTTGTTTACAGGGCAGTTCTACAACAAAGTGCATTCATCCTGATTTGCCTGTGTGGTGTTTATGCATTTTCCAATTCATCTTTAATTCATCCCAAAATAGTCAGTGGATTTCCTTGTGACTTTTCTAAATCCCCCCCCCCCCCGAAGTCTGTGGCTGTTATTTAATGTTTTGTTATGTTTTTTCAAAACATTACAAAGAACAACAACAGAAACGTGCCGTCAGTAACAGCAACTCACAGATAGAGCAATTTTATCAAGCAGTCTTACCAGCTTTCATACAAATGGGGATTACTGAGTATGCAATTCTCGAATTAATACTACCATTAAAATAATTTTATAAAAGTCACACTAAAAGACTAAAAAAGTCAGGGACATTCTGCAATTACTTTTTAAAAACAGAATGTTGGGGATGGGGTTATATGAAAAATGGAGGTGTTTGGAAAGACTGGAAATGGAGCATTTTAAAATCAATTAAAAAATTTGTGTGAAGCACTTTTTCATTTAAGTACTACTGCATAAATATTTTATTTAAAAAAAAATAGGCAAATGGGGCAATTAAAAGACAGTTTTTAAAAATTTTATTGTCAAGAAAGGCAGTAGTGAGGTTGTGCCAAACTGTACATGCGTGGCAATAGGCCTACCGACTCAAAACATCTTTGCACACCTGAAAACTATGCCTTTTTTAAAAAGATGGAAGAGAAGCGCTACAGCAATCTACAATTGGGGAGACTGAACTACTGTTCTGTTCTTTAAAAAGAATATGGATTTAAGGTAAAGGTAAAGGGACCCCTGACCATTAGGTCCAGTCGTGGCCGACTCTGGGGTTGTGGCGCTCATCTCGCTTTATTGGCCAAGGGAGCCGGTGTACAGCTTTCCAGGTCATGTGGCCAGCATGACTAAGCTGCTTCTGGCGAACCAGAGCAGCGCACGGAAACCCGTTTACCTTCCTGCCGGAGTGGTACCTATTTATCTACTTGCACTTTGACGTGCTTTTGAACTGCTAGGTTGGCAGGTGCAGGGACCGAGCAACGGGAGCTCACCCCCTCGCGGGGATTCAAACCGCTGAACTTCTAATCGGCAAGTCCTAGGCGCTGTGGTTTAACCCACAGCGCCACCCGCGTCCCTAATAATATGGATTTACTGTAGCCTTAAAGAAAAAAGTTGCAAGAAGCCCAGGTAAAACCTAGGAAGAAGATGATTTGACAGATGTCTTGTAAAAACCATTAAGAGTGCAAGTACTCAGGGATGATAACCAGGCCTCTGGTTCCAAGGCCTGCCTTGCTGCTGGGCATCTTAAGTCCCATGTTTATTCTTCACACACTCTCTGAGCACTGCTAGGTGGGTGCAAATGATTCTCCCATTTTGGGTACACACCCATTTCCCAATTGGCCTGTGACTGTGACACCCTCCTTTAGATCCGGCTCCAATTTTTGCACCCACTTAAATCAAGCCTGAGCAAGTTCTTTGGAGTAAGCGAAAGTGTCCACTTGATTTAAAAACAAACAATCAACAACAACAACAAAAAGAGGACAAGGGTGGAGAAAGTAAGATACAGATAACAAGATACACTCCCTTACAGAGTTGGAGTTGCTGGTCCGGTGGCCTCCTCCGATTTGTACCCCAGGCATTATTTATATGGATGTTACACCCTGTTGCGTCACCCATAGGTTTTCCTCCTCTGCAACCGGTTGGTTCAGGCTGGATCTCAATCCAGTCTGAGCTTTCTGAGCTATGCCCCAGAGACTCCACCTTCTCCTGCTCCAGGAGTTGGAACCTCACCCTTCAAGAAAGTTCTGCCCTTCATGTTGAATTCCAAAGTGATGTGTGATACTTTGGAAAGGCCTTTTTACATACCCTCCAACATTTCTCTGGTGACAATAGGGACGTCCTATTTCATAATGATCGTTTGCTATTTATACCCTACACATCTGACTGGGTTGCCCCAGTTACTCTGGGTAGCTTCCAACATAGATAAAAACATAATAAAACATTAAACTTTTTAAAAAAACAACCCTTCCTTACACAGGATTGCCTTCAGACAGCTCAGGGGGGCAGATAACTCCATACCCTCCAACATTTCTCCAACGAAAATAGGGACATACGAAGGAAAAGTGGGACATACTGGGATCAAATCAGAAACCATGACAGGTTCTCTAAATCAGGGATGTCCCTGGAAAATAGGGACACTTGGAGGGTCTGCTTTTATCTCTCTATCCAGATCTTGTATTAAGATTAAGAGGGGTTTTCTCGGGAAAAGCGGTGGGGCAAAAAATAAACACCTCTTGGACCCGTGACCGTGGCAGCTGTAGTTTGTTAAACGGTACTGAGAGTTGTTAGGAGACTCCTATTTCTCCCACCCACCCCAGCCACAGAGTTATAATTCTCAGAGTTGCATAGGAAGAGGGATTGACTGCAAACAGGTGTAGATGAGTCTTCATTTGGCATCATTTAGCTG